CCCCCCGTCGCAGCTAATTTTGAGAAGCGACTATTGATGTGACGGGTCTTGGGGGGCGGTAGGCCCGCGAAACATGCCTGTTGCAGCACATGGAACATGGGGACAAACGAAGTCCTTCGGCGATAGCAAATGGTGTCGCCTCGCCTCTCTCGCACCGTGGGGTGCCAGGCTTGTCATTTCACTGACCGCAGGTTTCGTTGGTGGTGCAGCATATCTGTGCTGTCGTCTTTTTCAAAACGCTCGAATTGCGGGTTTCCAGGCGCAGCACAAGCTTCGTCTGCCATCGGGAGAGCTGCAAGATGGGTACGAGCAGGCGCTTGGCTGTGGGGTTTGGGCTTCGGAGGGCTGGCGCTGGGATCATTATGATTGAGGGAACTGACCGAGACGATGATGATGGGTGCTGGTTGCTGGGGGCGCCGCTGTGTGTGTGTGTGTGTGGCAGCGTAGGGCACCCGTTGATTCCGACGCTGTGGTTGAGGGGAGGCTCGGAGGCTCACAACGTGGCCGCCAGAACGCCGCGGCCCACAGGGCTTCTGCGGTGGAGGGGATGGAGCCACGGGGAGGAGTGAGGAGGAGTGGGTGCTGGCTTGCTGTGGTGCGTCGCGGGGCATGGCGGGCCCAAGTTTGCGGGTCGGGCTGGGTCGGGTGGTGGAGGATCATCTGGTCCCGATGCAGAAGGGAACAGCATCAGGGATTAGGGGGATGGCTTTTGGTGGCTTTCCCTCTTCCCAATAACCTCCTCAAGGGTCCGTGTGCGAAGTTGATCTGGTGCAGGCGGCAGTGTGAGTCTGACAGGGGATTGGAGATTATGAAGTCGTCTCGGAGTACGGAATTCTGTTGATTATTCGGCCGTGGAGAGGCACCTAGGAGATCAATCGTGCTCCGAGAAGAGTGAATTGAGCGATGCCGTGACACCACTATCCTACAAGTACTGCTTCGGAAAAGTGCAAGGACAGTCGCTGGCGCGTACGAGAATGCCGAGACAGAACAGAAATGCTCTATGTACTAGCAAATGATGCTGCTTGAACAGGGACGATGGAGGAGTGTGACGGCTGTGATGTTCGACAAACTCAAAATGTGATGACGGATCGAAAAGAGCTAGGCCAAAAGTCAGAATCCAATAATAATAATGGACATGGAATAGAACTGCGGACGGCATGCAATAATACTTGTAAGTGCAGGCGGCCTGCAGGGGCAGACAGCCCAGCAGGTGCAACAGAGAGCAGCGTGGCAGCCTTTTTGATATCGGCAGCCTGATAATGATTTGGCAAAACAGCAGTGGAGCAGTTCTCGCGCTGCAGTAACGTCCCAGGGAGCACTAGATCATCATCGTCGTCGACTCGTCGTCCAAAGCATGGCATGTACTCGGTACGACGGTGACCCTCGTCTCCGCAATTTCCCAGCACGAAGCAGAGAGGGCTGGCCGTGGAAGGCAGATGCGCGCTCGTCACAGCACGTCTGCAGTCGTGACAAACGTGACTTTATTATTATTGTTGTCGACAAGAAAGGAGCTGGGGACAACATGGAGTCGTGTTTTTTGGTTGACGGCTCGCTAAGGCGGTGGTCCCATTGGCTGGATCGTCCCGGGATCAGCCGCTGGTTGCACGCACACATTCCCCGAGATGCCAGGACGCGGCAGGAGCACGGCGGGAAAGGGGAATTGGGCGAGCGTTTCCGTGTCTCTTCTCTTCGCCGATGCCAGATTCACAAAAATATACGTCTGTACCTTGATTGTGCGAGTCTTTCCAACTTTTGTGTTCCCGACGACGTAGGACAGGCACCTTGCCTCGCCGACACAGGGCTTGTGCAGCATCACACAGGATCCAGCCGTCTGTCTCTGCCAGGGCCGTTCCACGTTGTCAAGACGCCATACCGGGACCCGGACAGCGGGCGGCAGCAGCAGCAGTGCCAGCAGCAGGAGCCTTTCTCTTCCCCAGTAGCCGCCGGGTGCGTGCGGTGGGAGACGGAAATGCAAGATGCAAAAGAGGAGGTGGGTTGGTTTCCTGACCTCGGGAAGTTCCTCTGCGTCATTGCACTGACTTGGCCTTGTGGGTCTCCGATGCGGCATGGCGCGGCGTTCCTGGGTGCAGTGCGAGCAGAGCGCGCCCAGGCGAGCGGGAGGCGTCCCCAGCATCTCATCGAGTGGGATCGTCCTGAAGCAAGCCTTTCATCCCCAGTTCCCAGTCACGCCCCCAGGCCGCGCGACACCACAGAGACGCACCTGGGCAGTGGGCAGCTCCGCCCAAACCAGGCCGCCGGGATGCCATTGCAGTTGGGTTGGACGGGGCCAGGAATAAACAAAGATCATGGGAGCATCCGCAAAAGCGATCATTCACCATCTACCGGTATGTACCACAAAGTTTCCCTCATCTCGCCGAAATCACCCTCAGAAGAAATCGTGTCATTTTCTTCTCCTCTCATGATACGATGCATCTGCCGACTCCCTCACGACTCGTACCTGGCCGGGACACGGCGGGGCGCCGGCATCGGATGCGGAGTGGGTACGAATTTTATTGATCTGATACCTACACCGTAGGTAGGTACAGTGCCAGAAAGGACCGATACAAGGCCAGATTCGCCCGTTTGCAGGTCGCTGTGGAACTGCACAGTGTGGTAGGGTCTACCCGACTATCAAGAATTGCAGCTCCACGTGGGAGATGTCCTTTTTGTGCACCCCGCCCGTGGCCAGGGGTCTACCGGTATCAGCCCTCTTCGCCGGGGCCCTCGAAGACGGCTCTTTCCTTTCACGTCTTTGTACCACAGTCCTGTGTACTCTGGGTGCTCGCGCTGCTTATTTCATTATCCATATCCCATCCGCGTCTGCCTGGGTCAAAGACACGTGCTGGTGACAAGGTCGGACGTATTGACAGCGCAAGGAAAAACCATGCTCGGGCTATTAATAGCGAACCCCCGTGATTGGGGCCGAATGGGAGGAGAAGACGCCGGACTGCGGGCTCCAGCTCATGTTTGTCTTTGTCAACCTTGTCGTTCCTGCTGCGATTGCGATTATCGCAATAATCATGGTTTCCCAGCTCAATAACAACAACAACAACACCGTATTTGCACTTGGAGACCCTGGAAGCCCGTCGGCCAGCTCCGAAACAATAGTACATTCAATTCTTGAATTAATTTCCAGGGATTCATCGAGTCTCAGAGAAGGGCCTTTGCTGCGACCCGCTTCCTGTTGACGCGCATCACAGTCATGTGCTCGGGACATGACGGCCGCATGCAACCGCTCCTTTCGTCTGGTCTTCCAGGGACTAGTACTCCGTAGACTAGGTGCAGTAGTCGGTATCGTGCACACAATCATCTACTACATGGCTCTACATGGTATGTCGAATACTTGCGCTCGCGTCGGCTACGCAACGCAACGCGTTTGACTCTCCCAAGTTCAGCTCCAGCAAGCAGCAGTCGCCGACGCTGGTTCCCTTTTGAATCCCCTACACGACCCTCTTGCGGCGTCGGCACCAGTCTTTCTTCTGTACGGAGTTCCTTCAGGGCTCCAAGGTTCGCTGGGCACGGCTGGCTCATCAAGGGCGCGCACCCACCTCTCCCCACGTCGACCTCGGCAAGACCCATGACATGAAGCTTTAGGTTCAGTGCGACGATTCACGAGGTTCCCTCATTGGCCGACACGGCGAGGACGGCGAGGCCCCGGTGGCATCTCTTTCGCAATCGCAAATGATCTGGCTGGGCTCAGGCTGGGCTCCGACTGACTGCACGTCTTCCTTCGTCTTTGTCCTCTTGCGGACTCTTGAGGGGATTGAAACTGGGGCCAGACCAGACGGCAAGACGGCGTCCGTGCGCGACCAGCTGCGACCAGTTGACCAGCTGCACTGTGCTGAGCTTGATGAGATGCTTCGGCCGCAGGCGCCTTCCCGACGCCCCATCCATGATCCATCATCCACATCCTTCACTCCCTGACCCTTACGCCCTCCCCCTTGGCAATCTGGCACATCTCTGGCACCCACTCTCCGCAGTCCTCACCCATCCTCCTCCACACCTCTTCTTTTGTTTTACCATACTGTGTATGCTTCGCCAACGCCACCTCCCCTGGCTATCAAAGAAAGCATGGACGGCGAGGAGCAAAAGCATCTCACGCGCACACCCTCTCCCTTTGAACTTGGTCGGCCCGGCGCAGGCGACGACACACACGTCCACTATTCACCACCCACCATCACCATGCTTGACCACGCCGTCCCGCGCGCCAGAGTCGCCCGACCTGAGAGGGCGGATCAGTCATGGACCCATGGTTCCAGGCCGGGATGCTGGCGTTGGCTGCTACTGGTAGGTGCGTCGTGCATCCATCCCGGCTACCGCATTGTTGTTCGAATCGTGCCAGGTGCGGGCCCCATGTCGAGCCTGACCCAACCTGAACGGTGTGAGTGTGTGTGGGTGTGTCGCTTTTATTATTTGATTCATTGATTCAGCGCTTGCCTTTTTGCTTTTCCTCCCGTGCTGTCGTCTGAATTTTCCTCTTACGTCCAAGTGCGTCGTCCCCTCTGTGAATAGCGCTTCCGCCCACACGGGTTCCGCCAGTGACAACAACAACAGAGATTATTGCCTGCTACTGCCCATCGCCCACGCCCACAGGAACCCACCACTTCAAGCCCCCTCCCCCGACTCAAGCCATCCTTAGCCAGGACGCTCGGACGAGTCCCCACCGCCTGGTTGAGGCCCTGGATGCTTCCCGGATGTGCCCTTAGCCAGACAGCCACACGAACTCAACCTGGACTCCCTGAGCCTGAGCCAGCCGCCTACCCTACTGTGTACATATACAAACCGGAGAGCCACCACAACAAAGCCCCTTTGGCCCACCACTCCAGCCTTCGTCCGCCATCGCCCTTGAGGCGCCCCAGGAACTGAACTTAACAAGGCGAGATCGCCGTTGCCTGCGCGCCTCGTCCACCACCACCGCCCTCTCTCCTCCATTGAACCGACGCCTCCACAGCTACCCCACCAACTCCACACCCGTCGACACTGCGGCTCTCTCACCAGATTCCGCAACACCGCTGCCTACGACTTCAAACTCCAGAGGCTTCATCTGTGCCTTTGGCCACATTGGGTAGAACTTGCCGCACCCGACGCCGTGGTTAGCATCCCTTGAGCCAGCTCGGAGCCAATCAGCTAGAGACGCGCCGCCTTCGCTGAACCGCAGTCTGAAGACATACGTATCCAGCGGGTCGACGTCTTGTACCAGATCCCACCATCCTCACAGCCTGTGGTACCGCCTCAGTAGCACTACGTCTACGCATTCCAGGAAATCGGCCCTCAACGAACACTGATTCGGGTCCTGAGGGCGCTGTTGTCGCACCGTCATCTATTTTGACTGCTCTGTACGCACTTCCCCTCGGCCTGCCATATCCAGCACCGCTGATTTGGTAAGGGTGATACTTTCCAGAAGGTTTCCCGGCATCGCGTGCATCGGTCCGTATCACGACCATCACGAGCGGGCGCAGGTACCATCATTAGAATCGGTTGTGATCGCGGCATTCGTACTCGTCGCAATCGCTCTGTCCTGTTCAGGTCAATAGACGAACCAGGGAAACACCGTTGCATAAACATCGACTCGACTGGGGCTTCTGTGCAAGAAGAAGGTCGATTACAAGATCACTGTGGTTCGGGCCTGTAATCCCTCCACCATCGAGTCTCGGAATACGTACTTTCACGGTTTGGTGACCGTCTTCAGAACCCTGCGCATCGCCATCCAGTCCTCACGTGGCCGGAATCAGATCGGTGTGCAGTAGTCAACTTCACCGCCAGCAGCATTACGGCTGCACTCCTTCCTACCCTCCTCTCCGGTTGAAACTGGTAGACCGCTTTAGGTCTACCTCAGAGACAGTCGCCAACGTGGCTGCTGCAGTGGCCCCGATTGCTTCCATGCATCCTGGGTCCGACCCTATGGGTGCCCCTCCCAGCTTCACAGCGAGGAGGCCACACGCTGCCCAATTAGGCAGTTTCGAGCTCCCACCACCGCCCGCCCACAACAAATACCACTCGTACAACACCATCAACAACACACCCCAGCCGTCTCAAGCATCGACATCCATCGCCAGCGTGGGCAACTTGCTCACTCCCCCGAATTTCCCCAGTGACGGGATAAGCCCTTCGTCTGGAGTCTCCACAAGCAACGCCCACTCCTCCGCAATGCCCTATCACGGCAATTTTGTCTACTCTCCTCCAGCTCAACAACCGGCTACGCAGTACGGCTACTCTGCCAGTTCACAACAGCAGCATCATTACAATGCCGCGAGGGGTACGTATGAACTCCACGACGCTAGTCGTCAGCTCCCCAACCAACAGTCACTCATACAAGCTTCAGGGTTGAATCCGCCACCCTACCAAATGAACTCACAACAGCTGCCTCCCTTCCCCTCGACATCCACCCCGCTCGGCGCCCCTTCCACTATGGCGGCTTTGCCGTCGCAAGAACAGCAACCCCCTTATGGCATGCCGGCGCGCACTCCTGTTTCCAGCTCGGCCCCTCAGCAGTCACCGGTGCCTGCCCAGGAGCCCTTCCACCGACCCCCACCGACTCCGACATATTACGGAGGCCAACATGCCTCGACTCCCCAACAACCAACGTTTCCCTACTCGACAGGGCCATCGCCCACACAACAGAGTCCCATAAGCGCCGGCCCGCATCCGAGAATGTCCCCGGCGGTCTCGCAAGGCACCATACCTTCCATACCACAGCAACCGGCCCAATCCCCTCATGCTTATCAACGACCTTACGGATCCTACCTCCCTCCGGCACCCGTCTTCTCGAATGTAAGCAATCCCAACGGGCACATGACGCTGGTGGGCGGCGTTCACCCCGGAATGATGCCCGGCTTCAACAGCGGACACGCCGCCAACCTGACCCACCTATTTGGCCCTGGCCAGCAACCGTCGACAAACGACCGGCCCTTCAAATGCGACCAGTGTCCGCAGTGTTTCAATCGGAACCATGATCTAAAACGGCACAAGCGGATCCACCTGGCCGTGAAACCTTTCCCTTGCAACCATTGCGACAAGAGCTTTTCACGGAAAGACGCCCTCAAGGTATGTCACTGCACCATCCGGCTCGCATCTTTGAAACTCAGGCTAACCCTCCCAGCGCCACATCCTCGTCAAAGGTTGCGGTAACCCCGACAAGAAGCCTACATCGACGACAGGCGACGTGAAACGAGAGACGAATCCGCAGGACGTAAGAAGGGAGGGCGTGGACCCGAAGCCTGCCATCTCGACGAGTGCCTAAACGGATGATGCAACACTCCTCTCAAATTCTCTTCGCAATATTTGTATTAGATCTACTTCTACTACATCGTTCAAGCCCACGACCGGACTCATCACAAGTCTGCGCTTCTTTGCAGCCAGACTCGAGCGGACCAGGAGTTAGGCGCCTTTGCTATCTAAGGTTATGTGTGTTCCGTGGTTGCTTCTTGGGCAGCGAGATACCTTTTACGGCTTGATATGATTTCAGCTTCTTCTTTTCTTTTTATTACCATATTTTTCTTTTGCGCAGCCTCCCCAAGGGGGCTATATTACCGTGGGATTATATCCGCGTCTCGTCTGCATTATCCGCGTTGCCTCGATGTTCTCAGGGTGAAGCACGCACGGTTTCGGCTTGGGTGGGGTTTCGCAAACAAACTTTCGGTCCATGTTTGGTAGTGTGAAAAGGGGGGGATATACCCGTGTGATATCTCTGAAAATGGAGGATATGATTTATTACTTGGTATACCTGCAGATAACTGTGTTTGCTGGAAGCGGGAGAGAAGGACGCATGCGGTCCTGTTGCAATACAGATGCATTCGCCATTTTCTGAGGCCGGTCGAAGTTGAGCTTTGTGTTCTGCGATGTTAGTGAGCATCTTCACCATTCCAAGTTCACCCATTTACTCCAACATTGAATGCAACAGCCAATCCTTCCACCTTCGGTCTTTGTCCGCTGCACTCCCCGGCTCCTACTTAATATAAAAGGACCGACGACAGGTTTAACCTTCTCCCGAGTAGCTGGTCGCCCTGTTCCCACGCGCCCGGTGCCTGAGCCAACAAGTGCACCAACCCTTGTGCCTGTTGTTGGTGCGCTGCGGCGCTGCGGCTGGACGCAGGTCGCCGGTTTTCGGCGCTGGATGGAGCCGGGGCTGGGCGTCGCGTGGGTCTGTCTGGGCGGAGTGGCCATGGGTTGTGGGGGCCCTCTTTTCGTCTCAACATCGAGATGGGTTATCTATGATGGTTGACGCGACGCGTCCATGTCGAGCGCGTCGCATTTGTTTATTAGCTTGTTGGTATAGATGGTCGAGGTAAAGGTAAAAAAAAGGTGAGTGGTCGTATGAGGGGTTATGGAAGAAGGATGGGAAGGATGGGCTACGTACAGCTGGTCCGTTGGTTTGTATATGGAGGGATTCGGCCAGTACACAGGCGTTGAGAGATGCACATTGGGACTGCTGGGAATGGAGGTAGGGGGAAATTGGGGGAGATTGAGGGAAGGTGGTAGGTATGCCGTCTATCCTTTCCGTGTCAGTCAAATCGGTTCCTTGAATTTCGTCCTGGTTACTATCGTTCCACGTCGTCTATTTACTCGCGGATTGATTCGATCAAGAAAGAGATATCTCCATGGGCGAAGCAAGGTTGATAAGGTTTTGATCTTCTGAGATGCAACCAAGGAAGAGATAGCAGGCACCGAGTTATCATAGTGGAGTTGGGGAAGTGAAATATCCTCTAGCACTCCAAGGTGTTCCGTCCGGTCTGCAGTTGTCGGGCCTGAAGCATCTGTGGACACTTCCATCTAGATTCATTGTTCTTTGAGGCTGAGAAAGAGATATTAGCACGGACTAGTTCTGTAATGCAGAGAAGCAGGATGGTAGGTAGGGAAAGGGACATGGACATGAGATAACCCCTCCACGCACTGCCTTCTTTCCAATAGTCACCTAATCCGCTAAAAGCATCCCTCGACAATTTCTTCTCCATTTGTTTCTTTCTGCGCGTGTAATCTCATCTCATTCATCTATGCTTCCCCGGCAACCCTCCATTCCAGCTACACACAGCAAATTGTTATATCCATTTCGGGTCATGCTTGGCACATTCTTGAGCCTCAAAACAGTCTGGCAAAGTTTTTGTCGATGTACTCCCTGGGGTGCAGAAATCATCCCTCCATTTCTTCGATCGTGCGGTCCGTCGCTCCTTCCGTTCGGTGTTGGTCGAGGGCCTGCCTGTTTTGTTTACCTTCCTGCTAGCGCCTTCCTCTGCGCGCCGCCTCCGCACACGACACCATCTCAACTCCACCATCTTCCCTCTGACCTCGACCACATCCTCTTGCATGCGTTGACACACCTTGCTACCCTTTGGCCATCCGCTTGCATCCTACGGGCGCGCCTTCTCTTTACCACCCTCATCGCGCACTGAGCGCAGGCTATCATCAACCTCTACACCACACAGCATAACAGATACTGGCTATGGCATTGGCTTAATTCAAGGTGTCGGGCACGTTACAAAGGCCGGCCTGTACTGCATCCCGTTGGCTAATCCGGCGGCATCTTTTAGGCTTCGTTGGCATCATCCTGTCCAGCATTTACTTCGACATCATACGCGTTGAGCCACCAGAGCGCGCGCTGCATATTGTTTCTACCTTGGTACCGCAATCATAGCAATGAGCACCCAGCAGGCTCGTCAACGCCGGCAGCCCCTCGGTGATGCCACACACCGTGCCAACGAGCGCAGCACTGCACGCCCTCGCCCCGAGAAACCCAGCTCGGGTCGGATAGCAATCTCGTCTCCGCGTCAACTCCCGCACAACGAGTCTCTTGTACCAAATAGCAATGGCACCCTCACTGTTCGTCATGGTCTTCAGGCTCCTTCTCCAGGCCCAGAAAACAAGCGGATCTCTGCTGTCGTCAACGAAGAAACGCGTCCTCATAACCCCAAACGCGACTCCGAAATCTCCAATGCAAGCACCAACGCGTCCAATTCGGCCCGTCGGCGCAAGACACATATTGGCCCGTGGCAATTGGGCAAGACGATTGGGCGTGGAGGATGCTCCCGCGTCCGTATCGTGCGCCATAGTCTTACCGGAGAGCATGGGGCAGCTAAGATCATCTCGAAAACCATTGCGGAGCAGGTTCGTGCTCTGAGCTTGGCTAATCTCTGCGAAAGTGCCGCAAATGGGGACCCCTCTCTCGCCGGTAGTGGATGCAAGCTCATACCTTTTGGACTCGAGCGGGAGATATGTATCATGAAGCTGTTGGATCACCCGAATATTGTTCGTCTGCATGATATCTGGGAGAATCGAAACGAAATGTAAGTGCCCTAAACGGATCAGGTTGGAGTTGAAGGATCTTTAGACTGATTAATTACAGCTACTTGATTATGGAATATGTCGAGGGCGGCGAACTCTTCCACTACATTGGCGAGCAGGGCATGCTTGAAGAGATCGAGGTCGTCTTCCTTTTCCGCCAAATCCTAGCGGCCCTCGAGTACTGCCACCGTCTTCATATCCACCACCGAGACCTGAAGCCTGAGAACATACTGTTGGATAGGAGGACAATGCAAATCAAGCTCGTCGACTTCGGCATGGCGGCGCTGCAACCCCAGGGGAAGATGCTCACTACCCCTTGTGGAAGTCCGCACTATGCTGCACCGGAGGTGATTATGACGACGTCTTATGACGGTGCTAAGGCAGATATATGGAGCTGTGGTGTCATACTTTTCGTCATGCTCACAGGAGATTCACCCTTCCATGGTGCCGGGGAAGAAGGGGATCTCAGGTCCTTGTTTACCGCCATCGCCAGGGCGGATTATGTCATGCCAGATACACTTTCGAGTGAGGCTCAAGACCTTATCCGGAGGATACTGGTTCCTGACCCGAAACGGCGACTATCAATCGAAGCAATCTGGAGACATCCGTTTATGCACAAATATGATTCTAATCCTGCTCTTGGAGGTGAGAAAGCGAAGTTCGAGCACTGGGTTGGTGCGCGGCCTTCGCTCACGGCCATGGGGTGGGAACCTTTGGATAAGTCCACCATCGATCGCGAGATCTTCCGTTATTTGCGAACGCTTTGGCATAGTGAGAGCGAAGAAGTGCTTATGACGCGACTATTGAGTGATAAGTAAGTTACCCCCTATTTCTATCCGTCTTTACCTTGATGTTGACATTGGCCACAGGAATAATGACGAGAAGTACTTTTACTCCGCTCTGGCCAAGTACAGGAACGAGCAACTTGAAGACTATTCGCCTGGCGCGCAGGCTATATCTTACTCTACTAGCGACCATCACCATCATGTACAGCCTCCTCGTGAGCGTGAGCGCGTACAGCGGTCCCAATCGGCTTTTTCGATCCTGAACGACGAACACATGTATTCCAAGCACAGCTTCTATGAGCCGCCGCCGTCCGAGGCCAGCTACGATCCTTTCAGAGCATCTCGAGCTCCCCTGATGCCGCAGAAAGCCCGGAGCCTCAATCAGAACATCACGGTTCACCGTGGATCAGGATCGAGCTGCAGCAGCCGGAAACTGCGGCCCGCTACCGCTCTCGGCCACTACAGGACAGGCAGTTCACTGCGTATCCAGACTCTAAGGCAGAATTCGAACCGGCAAAGCTCTGCGGTTTCTCGCGGCTCTTCCAAGAGAAGCGGTCTGTCCTCTGTGAGGTCTGGTCCGTCTACGCGTTCTCAAAGGTCTGCTGTAGTCGCGCGAAGGTCGGTGTCGAGGTCTTCTATGGCAACCTCGCACTGGCCTAGCAGTCCACCTGTCTTTCGGTCAGGGTCACGATCAGGTAGTGCGAGACGCCGCGTGAGCTTCTCTCATCCTGGACATTCATCCGTCTGTTCTACGCCTCGAGCTCCTATGACGGAGACACCCACTCCCCCTAATCGATTTGTGTCGGTCAAGGCAGCCAGTCCTTTGATACCACGGGTGAGGATGCGCAAACCCGACAGTCCGAACAAGTATATCCAGTCAGAGGCCCGAAAAGTCAGCATGGAGCTGGGGAAAGTTATGGAAGAGGCATTCAACCGCTCCTCACTGGAGGTTGGTTCAAGCGTTCGGTCCAGCGTCGCGGAACCGAAGGGCACATATGGATCCGGGTGTGACACGCCTCCCACTTCCCTGTCCACTGCCAGAGACTCAACTGGAAGCAATTTCGTTACACCATTGAACAACTCGCTACGATCCCGTCCGCTCCCGCCTATCCCGGATGAGACGCCCACCAGCTTTCTGCAGAGGAAGCTGGCCGAGACCCGTGAGCAGATTGCCATGCGTCTCGAACGGGAGGGTAAAGATATAAGTCAGTATCAGGAGGCGTTGGACAACCTAGATCGTCTTCTTCAACCCGTGAACAATGGAAACAAGCGCACTTGTTCTGCCCCAACCAAGTCGCCAGAGTTGCCAGTTATCTCAGAGGAAACGAAGACAGACGGCGACCGGTACAATTCTCGAGCTGTTACCGATCCGGTTCGGCCACTTCTGCGAGGACATCGATCGGCTTTCGAGCAGTCGAATACGATACGTCTAGTGGACGATTCGCCTGCTCATGTTGCTCCCCTTAACATTCGGAAGCGCAGCGGTGCAAGCACAGTGGCTCGGGGTGCTAATGAAGGCCTGCGATGGGCAGAGACGCCTCCTCGGCCTCAAATACCGGGCCAGCCGAGGAAGACCAGCGATCTCCGCGTGTTTCCACTTCCCAATACGCATCTTGCACCAGTAGCATCTGTTCGACCTGACTTGAAAGAGAAGGAGAAAGAGAAGAGAAAGGAAAAGGAAAAGGAAGAGGAGGAGGAAAGAACGCTGAAGAAAAGAAAGTCCCTATGGTTCCGTCGCAACGGGGATGGTAAAGAGAATGAACAGCCCATTCAGCCGAAGCCTAGCACAGGACGGCTCCGCATCCCTGAGGCATGGCAGGGTTTGGATGACCGATTAGAAAGAGGGGCGGTTAACCCTCCAAAGACAGCCCAGTCCGACAGTAACAGCAGCGAATTCCCAATGCGCAATTCTGCCACAACTGCTGGCAAACAGCAGACCATAAAGGAACGCAAGAGCTTTCTGGGCCTCTTCGGCAAGAAGACAAAGGAGGAGAAAGGGAAAGGCTCGTTGGAAATCCGATGTATGTGACTCAAGCCCCTTGTTCACTGTGACTTACTGATTATCATTTAGCTGAATTTAGCACTTCTTCCATCTTCTCCGGCTCGGACTTCACTGATGACGGACCTGGTGCTGCCCGCAGTGCTGGGTCTCACACCAACTGGTTTTACCGTTTCCTAAACATCAAGCCCGCGAGCAGAGTTCTCTGTTTTCGCGTCAGCCGTGGTCGTGCACGCGGAGATATGGTCCGCCTGCTCCGAGATTGGCAGCGCTTTGGCGTCCGCGATGTCACGTACAATCGTGAGGCGAATACCATTCACTTCAGAATTGACAAAAACAATCGTAAGCCGTCGTCCTTGTCTCAGTATTACGTCCATGTACTAACAATATCCTGCGGCAGACTTGAAAATCAAGCCCGTTAGCGTCGTCATCGAGATCTTCGTGGTTCTTGAGCACGGCCGTCGTGCCAGACTGTGTGTCGCCCGCTTCACACAGACCAAGGGCGCTGCATCGAGCTTCCGCAAAGTTACCGATATCGTCGAGGATGTCTTCCGCGCCCGCGATATGGTTGTTCAGGATGAGACAAAGAGGGCTGCCATGTGCGCGCTGCTGGGAGCATAGGGGCTTAGGAGCGGCGCGAGTACGCCACGGCATCGCGGCGTATCGGGATGGCATGCTGGGTGTTTCAGTGCGGGAGATCAAATCCATAACAGACGGTTTTCGTTTTCGAGAGGGTGGAACCGCTGATTTGCCTGAAGGGCGAACTCTTACTGGGGAGATGGACAACGGTAGATGCATATCTACAGGTTGTTAATATGCCCTGCGGAGAGACTGTTCACTTTCTTGATTTTCCTAACTCAGTTTCTGGCAATCCCCGCACTGCATTGCATTCCGTTGCATTGTCCTTTTTCTCTTTTTCTCTCTTCTTTCCCCCCATTTTGTCCTTCACGTCTCTTCCTGTTTTCTAATTTCATTGGCGTTCCCATTTTCTTCTTCACGCGGGGCCAAGGAGGCGTTTGCATTGCATCGTGCCGACCGTGAATTTATCACATTTTGGGGGTCTATGGAGCGAGGATATGTAGTTGATATAAGATTTAATGGCATGTCGGATTAGTTTCGGATTGTTTGAGCGCATTAACCTTGGAAAGTCAATCCTCATCCCCTGAAATGATGACATGTGGTTCCAGCTTGTGGCGTTGCGAATGCTCCAGCCACAGATCCCGCCAAGGTCGGCAAAATCATTTCTCCGACACACAAAGCGAGCTATCCACACTCATGTCAATTTTGGCCCAAGACCTACGACCCTCCATACTAACCCCCAGGTAACGCGCCAAACACCGTCAATATGCGTACCTACGACGACTCCTTCAGCGGTCAGAAGATCTACCCGGGCAAGGTGCGTTCCACCGCCATCCCTCCTCGTGTCCCGCTCGCATTTCCCGGCTCCGAATTGTGCCCCCCACGAATCCGCGAACGATATGGACGGAAATGCGATGGACAAGGAATGGAAGAGTTACTGGGAATTTGGGCCGAGAATATGTGCTGATGGTGTGTCTTTTTTATAGGGCAAGCTCTACGTCCGCAGCGACAACAAGATCTTCCGCTTCCAGAATGGAAAGTCCGAGTCGCTTTTCCTGCAGCGCAAGAATCCCCGCCGGATTGCGTGGACGGTGCTTTTCAGGAGGCAGCACAAGAAGGGTATCTCTGAGGTTAGTGGGTTGCGAAGACAATTTTCGTTTGCAAGCGATTGGGAAGAGATGGGGTGCGGGCAACGGGGTTTAGGATATTATGGATTGGGCGGCATGGGACATGGCATGGAGCTTGGAGACACTGTTGTGGCAGTTCGCTATGGCAGGTCGCCGGCTTCTTGTTATGCGCCCGGGTAACCCGTTGCCCGCAGCACTCTCAGGCTTCCGCAAATCGAAGAATGAAGATGCTAACCACAATGCGATGAACAGGAGGTAGCCAAGAAGCGCACCCGCCGCACCGTCAAGCACCAGCGTGCCATCGTCGGTGCCTCCCTCGACGTGATCAAGGAGCGCCGTTCCATGCGCCCCGAGGCCCGTTCCGCCGCCCGCGCCGCCGCCATCAAGGAGGGCAAGGAGAAGAAGGCCGCAGCCGAGTCGAGGAAGAAGGCTGAGAAGGCCAAGTCCGCTGCCAGCGCCGCGAGGGGACAGACGCAGAAGATCCAGAGCAAGCAGGGCGCCAAGGGTGCGGCACCCAAGGTGCAGGCAAGGACCCGTTAAGTTTCGTTCGGAGTCGAGAATGATGATGATGAACTTTAACGGAGCTGGCTGGTGACAGAGGAAGGAGGAAGCGAGGATGATGCATGCGAGCGGGATTTCCGGTGTTTTCATTACAAAGGAAATGGGAGATTAGGTTCCAGGGCGGGATGGCAATTACATACATCTTACTTTCTGAACCTGCGAAACCATAGGCCTGGGTTCCCCTTTGCAACAACAACTTAGGGTCTGGCGATAGGGCAAAATGCAATTCACGTCCTCACGACTTCCGAATGGCGTCCGTGTACTGTGGATATGTGTAGGTTTGGCGGGTGGAGGAGCTAGGTGCTGGTCTGGTCAGGAGTGTAGAAGGGGCTCAATGACATGTATTCATCACGCTGACATGCTGATAGATGTAATGGATGTCATGCCGTGGGATTTGAGCTACAGCTATATCCATTCGATCACACCGCTTCAATCCAAACCACGGCCGAGCATCCCGGTGCTTCATTTCCACATTCTCGAAGTTAGTCGTTAGATGATATTTAGAAACCGAGACGCTTCCTGCTCAGCCGACCCATACAGCTCCCGACTTCCCTCCATCACCCTTCTCTATCCAGGCTATTCGTCTTCATTATCTTCTCCAATCCGTTCATCCGAATTCCTTCTTGTAACGACCGTCTTGTATCCACCACATCTCTCTACTCCTCCTAAAATAACGTCTCCTCCTCCTCTTCATCCTCAATCCAAACAAAGCCGTCATCATCCGTGTCGGCCTCGACGACCAGCTCGGACTGCTCCATGGCCTCAACCTCCCTCGAATCCACATACCACCCATCCCACTCTTCCACCCTCGTCCGTCCATTCCTGTGCCTCCACTCCCTCAACTGCCTCGCCGCCGTCCTAGCACCCCCTCGAGCTCCGCCTCGCACAGCCTGCATGACCCTCGCCCCACTCCTCGCCCCCTGATCAACAGCTTGCATCACCCTCGCGCCCGTCCTGGCGCCATTCTCCGCAATCACCCTAGCACCGCACCTCACCCTCTGATCCACAGCCCTCAACACCAACCTCGCCGCCTCCCTCCGATCGCGATTCGCCGCCCTTGCCGCCCTCGCCGCGCGCTCCCTCGCGGACCTCAAATCCCGCATGATGGCTTCAACATGCGGCCCGCAGCGCTCCCTGCCCTCGCCCATCAAACGCTCCACGCGACGGAGGCCCGGCTCAACCACGTCCGACATGATCCAGGGTCCCCAGCGTACGAGCCAGCGGCCCGCGTAGGTCTGCATGTGGGCGCGTAGGGCGGCGAGGCTCGAGGCTTGCAGGCGGTGGGCGAGGTGTGCGGGGAGGGAAGCGCGGGTCAGGGTGTTGAGGGTGCGGAAGGAGGTGGTTGCTAGGAGGGCGAGCAGCGGGGCGTGTAAAGGGTCGAGATGGGGTGTGTGGATTGGGTGGAGGAGGGAGGAGGGGAGGGAGTCTGTGAGGAGGGAGGGGGTGGGGAAGAGGGTCGGGTTTAGGAGGAGGGTTAGGAGGGTGGGTGAGAGGGGGGCTATGAGGGGGATGTTAGCATGGCTCTTGGTTCTTGGTTAGGAGGGTGATGGTGGGGATGGAGAAGGGAGGACGGAAGGGGTGTGATGGGTGGGTAGTGGGAAGGTAAGGATGAGGTTATTCGCATAAGGGAAGAAGTATGAGAGGGATATGCGAAACCGCGAAGGGAGTAGAGGAAAAGGTACGTACCACCCAACCCAGCCAGCGTCATACAGCTCACCAGAAGCGCCACACGCGTCCAGTTCCGAATAGCAGGCAGTCCCGCGGCGCGAAACATGGCCAACATGTCTTGCGATAGCGTCCCATGGACGTGAGCGCGGAGCAAGCCAGAGATGAAAGTCGCTAGACAGAACGTCAGCCCCAATCCTCAATACTTGCACACAGCAGACGAATCAGAAAGGGGGATAAGAGAATGACGGTGGGAAATAGAACCAAGGCGAAGCAGAAGAGCAAGAAAAGGGGAGATTGAACGTACCCAACCACCTCCCCAACCCGGCTCCCACCAACGGAATGCCCCCCAACAAGCCCGGCACCACGGCCATCACCGCCATGGGCGCCGCGTACTGCGTCACCAGGTGCTCTCGCGAGGGCCGGTTGCGGACCACCAGCTCGAGGAGGCGCGTCGTGATGCGTGAGGCGAACGAGCCGTCGAGTCGCATCCGGGGCCCGAGGACCTGGGCGAGGGCACGCGTGGGGAACGTGGAGAGCCGGGTGTGGAGTTGTTGTTGTTGGTGGTGTTGTTGCTGGCGGGATGATGCGGTCGTTGATTGAGGTGAGCTTGATGTCGACGTGGCTGCGTTGTGACGGATGGATGAAGTCGTCCGTGGTCCTCCTGGGTTCTCTGATGGATTGGAAGCAGCGGAAAGGGACGAAGATGTCGGTACACGAGAAGCTGAGCCGGATACGCTGGCGTCGGTTTGCATGGCGGCAGCTATCTGCGCTTCCAGGCTGTTAGGGTTGGGAGAGCCGGAATGGGGACGATGTGTTGGTCGGCGTGACCGTGGTTCGGACATTGTTGCATTGGTTGGTATGGAAGAAGCTGTCTGTGTTGGTTGTTGGTTCCTAGGATTGGGAGAAGGGGGACGGGACGAAGATGGGGGTGGACGTTGTGCTGGTTCCGACATGGTTGTGTCGATGGGGTTCGCAGAGTTTGGTTGTGCAGCCCGATCGTCTGTGTTGGAAGAAGGGGAACTGACAGAAGATGTTGGCGGGCGCGGTCGTGATCCTGACATGACTGCGTTGGTGCGATGGTAGGGGTTGTGAGGTTGTCTCCCATGCGTTGGCGGGTTGTAGAGTTGTAAGTTCAAACGACACAAAGAAGTTGGTTTGGAGGGAAAACGTCCTGGGTTGCGCGAGGCATCACAGAAACATATGTTGCGCACTGGTCACACATTGGTCGCCTGGGGGAGCGGACTTTCACTGTTGTGATGGGTGTGGTGGGTGGTGAAAGCTTGTTTTGACAGTCGTCCGACAGGAGATGGGATGGCAATCATAAAAGGAGAACGTCTATGAATGACAGTATGGGAATCTAGCAAGGGGCATCGCAGCAGTTGCACGTTCGAAATGGACTGCTATTGATTGGAACAAGAGTGTGTTTGATACTTCTATAGAGAAGACAGTTACAGTTATATTCTGCCTTCCGGAGTTGAACGGGCTTGGCTTTCGCCGTTAATTCCATCTGTTCACGGTGTTTGCTTCTGTGGACTCCAGCATTTGGAGCAAGATTATACTCATACGCACTCGGGACTTGAAGCTCAAGAACGAAGAGACTGGACCAACTAGCTCGACTTTCGACCTCGAGACCGAAGGGACCTCTCTAACTGGGGCTCGAAGAAAGTAGGAGAACATAGGTGCGAGTTCATGTGATTTGGGCCGTTGGGCTGTCTGATCGAGGGGAAGATTGATTCGCTTCATTGTCAGACGAAAAGTGCTGGGATGTATAGAACTTATTGACTTAGACACGGCCTGTTCTGGAGAGAAAACAATTCGCACCATGATTCCTATAAGATACTGCAAAAAGGGGGGTAATCCGTTTCAATCTATATCACTGACTGTAACCTTTTGAATTTACTTGCAGATCTGACAGGGGTGAATATGGTGAATATGGCAAAACAGTGCATTTGGTTAAGCTATGTTTGCCTGCTAAAAGGGACCATTCGAATCCGCCGAAGAAACTCCAAGCTCTAATGCCAAATCCTATGAGACATCAGTGTCCCGCATCTGGTATGATGCTCACGCGACACCCCACCCGCACCCTCTTGCCACCGCATCCAGGCTCCACCATTTTCTCGAAACATGCCACAACATCGTACACACTCACGCCTTTTTCACCGCCGCTTCAACCTTACTTCCCGCCTCCTTGAGATCCCGCCCAAGCTCCTTCGTCTCGAGCTTGATATCCTCCCCAGCACTCTTCAGGCTACGCTTATGCAGCAGAATCCGGCCAACCTGCGTTGACCCCACAATGAACAGGAAGAAGTTGACCGCCGCAAGCATTATATTTTTCGGCCTGATGATGAAGCACCAGCGCGTCCATATGGCACCCGTAGACATGAGAGCCAGATTCTGTGTCAGGGAGAGTTGGTCGGCCGGACGCGTGAAGTCGGAAGCGCCAGTTAGAACGAGGGCCCATTTCATTACAGGTGCCCTGGTGAAAGTTAGCTTAGATTAATCAAGTTTGCTTTGTCATGCCAAACGTACCAGAAATGCACCGTCTTCGGCCCAACAGGGCTATTCCACAATTTCGCAAACCCATTCTGCTCTCCCGCAGCATCTGCAGCACTGGTCTGAACGCGCCGGCGAAATAGCAGCGGTTGGCGAAATGTGGTCCGGAGAGCGGAAAAGATGCGAGCGCCCGGCCTAAACGACATCTTGACTGTTTCCTTCAACCCCTCCTGACAATTGCGAACGAGATATAGGAAGCCAGAGAGTGAGGAGGTGGAAGTGAATGAAGGTTTCCTTGGGTGCTGTTGTTTGTCGTGCCCGATTCCCAGATGCTCAGACGTTGGTGAAGTTGCGACGTTCGGATTATGTTGCGCAGTTACTCCGGCTTCCGCTTACGCTAGCTTGAGTAGGAATAGCGTCTTGCAGTTGACCTGAGCTTCAACGAACGTCAAGCCGAACGATGAGAGAGTAGAAACACCCATTGCGCCCGCGTCAGTACTTCTACGCACACGACGAGGCCAGAAAACGGGAGGGAATACAATGGCCTCAAAATATGCATTTGCGCAAGGGCTGAAGGAGTTGCGGTTCCTGTTTTGTCAAACTAGCGAGCACAGCGCGCCAGTGAGGTATGTTGCGACGCTTCGTCATATTCGACAAAGAGACTGGCAAAAGAGTATTGGAATACTAGTGAAGAATAATGGGTTTGGGGCGCACACTATGCAGAAGAGCACCCGCTAACGTTGTCACTATAGGAATTTCCTTACCAGAAGCTACCCCACGATGAAGAAGCACAACCCCCACACGCCCATCATGATCCGGGAAGCCAGCGGTGTCGAGCCTAGAGTCTATGCGAGATTCGGTGCGTACGGTTCTACTATACCCAGAGAAGATGCAACTGGACAATAAACCTAGACTGAGTGGAGGCTAACAATGTGGCAGAGTTCGGCAAGGAGAAGATGCTCCCTCTGACCGGTATGTTGCACCTCCGAGGTTGCGCAAAATGAAAGAACCTGCAGCTGACATGCTTGGTTTAGGTCTGGACGACAAGGCAATCGAATCGAAAGTCACAGAGCTAGTGAAGAATGCGGTATAAAGCGCCATATGGGAAGGGGATAAACGGTAGAACGAGAAGGCTTAACCAATGTATATTTGTACTATGACGAACGAATCTTTTCATCAGCCGATATTTCCCCTTTGCGTCGCTATCGTCTCACAATGACGCTCTGCCTGCTTCAAGGCTCTGGTGCCAAACTTACCTTTGTTATCCCGCTTTCGTTAGAATATCTTCATTTTCACAGCACCAAGTTTCAGTCAGTCTCCTCTTTCTGCTTACCCATCATTCTCCATTCGCGATTTCCGTTTGTCGGTCCGTTTGTGATAATAGTGTCAGATACCTTCCGTTCTCCTCCATCCCTAATCCCTTTCGCTATCGCCTACGAACAGCATTATCGACCCCGACATTCGAAAAACTCACGAAGGCTTTCATGGGTAACGCCTACAACGTGCTCAGTGGTATAGGTCAAGAGATGGGCAAGCGCGCGGGCACTGCGGCTCGCGAGCAGCTCGGTGCCTTGGGCGAGGAGGTTGGCAAGCGTGCCGGCCCCGTGACCGCCGAAGCTTGGAATCACCTTGCCACCTTTGGTCAGGATGCGGGTAAGCATGTTGGCTCTGCCGCGCAGAAGGCTCAGGACTGGATCGTCGAGCATCTACGCGAGGCCGCTGCTATCGCTGCGAGCATCGTGGCCCCGCCCGTTGCAGCTGGCCTGGCTGGTCCCATCATCGGTGCTGCTGGATTCGGTTCCGGAGGCGTTGTGGCCGGTAAGTGTACCTTCTCGCAGTGTCGGTGGTGGATCTCGATTCTAAATGTTCGTAGGTTCCATGGCTGCGGGCATTCAGTCCAGTATCGGAAATGTTGCTGCTGGGAGCGCCTTTGCTTTCCTTCAGAGCGCCGGAGCAGGAGGAGCCGCTGCGGGAACTCTATTCTGGTCTGTGTTTGGCGCTACAAGTGCGGCCGCCTGGGGTGCTACGGCCCCAGGTCTGTCTGCAGCGGCGAGGGAGGGTCGCAGTGAGGGGGAAAGCCGCGATGGTGAGCCGGACGATGAAGGAGCTGGGAAAAAGGAGGACCAGAAGGGTAGCGAGCATGGTGAGGAGATGGAAAATGTGATCATGAAGCACTGAAACTCCTCTCGATTGCAGTTCCAGTCACAATGATCACCCTCACGATGAAGCAGCCCGAATCAGATGTTTCTCTTCCACATCAACTGGGCATCAATATTGCTTTACGGGCCCAGAAGACCTTCTGATTGCTTCATAGCGGCTGTCCAGGAAACAGTATTGTATGTTCCAGCAGTGAGAATCCTCACTACATTGAAACCTGGCTGCATATGGGCCTAAGTAGTCCTGCTTTCCTTCCCTTCCATTCTCAAATTATATGAAGCTTATGCTCTTTCAAGACGCAGGCTGACACTCACATCACCGCTGCCACACTTAATTAGCCCATTTACCTCGAATTCCAACACGCTGAACGCGCCGTCCAGGCCCTGCCTAGGTGGAGCCCGCGGGCGCCCAGCCATCTCACGTGCGCCCCACATTCCGCATTAAACCCATTCTAGCTAGCCTTTCCGGGCGGAGCATCGCTCACCTCCTCTCGGACGCCCGACCCTCCCCAGCTCCAGCTTCTTGCACAACACCTGGCAATCTTTCGGCCCAGGAACCCATCTCCAGCACATCGTGAGTGCACACCATTTGTCTTTGACATCTCTTCTCCATTCTTCTTGCCCTTTTTTCTTTGTAGCTGTCTGACAGCGTTCGCTGGCCTCCACGCGTCCCCGAGCCGCCTTCATCTTCAGCTCACTCACCCCCTTCCCTTCCCTCTCCGTCTCCCGGCAGTGTCGCAGGCACCTCAGAGACCGATATTACTCTCGTCCTTATTGTCCCTTTACCTCCTTGTTTACCCTGCCGCATATCTCTTGTTCATTCATTTGTCATGCTTTCTGACACGAGGCCATGGCGGCAAACAGCTCCGAGGCGCGATTGCTCTCCAACCCTCATTTCTCCCCATCAGCGGCGCCGCGCATCTGGGAGCAAGCGCCCGCCCATTCGCGGACGCTGATGCTGTTCCCCCCGAGCTTTCGCCTCAACGTCTAGAAGCCGCCTACAAGTGCCCCAGGCAAACCGGCGATTCACCTTCACTTTCACACCAGTCCGGCATCGGTTTTGGTCTCCGCGATGGACTCTTATACGTAAAGTTGCAGTCAGCTATTACTGAGGGCAGCACTGATGTTTCCCAGGACCCGTGAGGATGAGCGCCCGACGGGTGACTCGTATAGACGCCGTTCTCCAGGTACGCATCCTTGACTCATTTCAATTCGTTCTCGGGGTGCTCTATGACAAAGCTCTTTGGCGGGCAATGTGGGCGGAATAATCTCGACATCATTTTGTTCGTCAATTGCACCACGACATGCCCAGATTCTTCCACTACCTTCTCGTCCATTGTTTGCTGACTCACCTAAGTAGCCTCCGCCGAACGTCGCAGGAATCCACGTGGCCGCTCTCGATCGCCGCAGAACATAGACAGATACCAGCCCGATCGTGCGCGAGATTACGACCACCGGCCGCGGGAGAGTCATGGTCGACGACGTTCCTCACCTGCACCTGTTCAAGGTGGTATTGATAGATATGTTCCCGGGCAGGACACTTACACGCCAACCTTCACCGTCAATCCGATTCCAAACCCCATGACGTTGGAGTACCAAGTCGGATTCAACTTCTTCGCGGAATGGTGGCGCATCGAGCAGAAAATCAAGGAAGAGAAGGAGCGCGCGAAAAATGGAGGCCGCAGATTGAAGGGCGAGAGAGAGGCAAGGGAAGAGAAGGGCAAGGAACGCGAGCTCATTCAGGCCGCATACGACGATTATAAGGAGAAGCTTCAGGTGCAGATGGCGAAGACGTTTGTCGAGAAACATAAAAGCGAAGAGTGGTTCAAAGAGAAATATGACCCGGAATATGTGAAGAACTTGCGGGAGAAACTCCGGCCGTACCGACATCAACTCTATGGCAACTTCGAGCGGCAACTCGCTGAAGGCGTTTTCGACGAATTCACCCTCGAAGGCATTTACAAGAACGATAGCAATGGCGCAGGCGGTATCGTGGAGAAGGAGGAGGGTGAGACAACGGCAGCGAACGAAGTCCTTGGTGTAGGAGACCTTGTCCCATGCAAGGGAGGGGAGCTCCGCGACGAGGCTGCCCTCCAGCCTACGCTGCTGATCAAGACGATCGCTCCTACAGTCAACCGTGAAAAGGTCGAGGAGTTTTGCAAGGAGCACTTGGGTGAGGGTCCGGGAGGTTTCAAATGGCTGAGCCTAAGCGATCCCAATCCGCTCAAGAAGTGTCATCGCATTGGGTGGGTAATCTTGCATCCCAGCGATGAAGAGCCCATGATCATCGATGAGCGTGGCGACGGACGCCACGATGATGATGCGGAAGAGGGCGCGGTGGTTGAAAAGCCCGCAGCTGCAACCGGACCCTTGGCGACTGCAAAGAAGGCACTGGAAGCACTCAACGGCAAGACGGTAATTGATGAGGAGCGCGGCAATTTCACTTGCCATGTTGGAGTACACGAGCCGCCTGCGGCACCCCGTAAAAAGGCCTTGTGGGATCTCTTCTCTGCTCCGGAGCGCATCGAGCGGGATCTTCAACTGGCCGAACGTCTAGTTAGCAAGTTGGACAGTGATCTAAGGGACGGTCACGAGGAATTCGCCGATGTCGACGGAGTTGCCCGGATTGAGCAACGCGTCGAAGATTTGCGCTCCAAGGGATGGCTTCAGCCGCCAGCAAATGCTCCCGTTGCAGTGAAGAAGAAAGATCCCGAAGAGCTGGAAGAAGGTGAGGACGCGCCAATGGAGGATGAAGATGAAGGTCTATACGCCGACGAGGTTGATGACGAGGATCTGTTGGCCAAGAAAAAGAAGCTGGATCTGCTCATTGAATATCTTCGTCGCGTGTACAACTTCTGCTTCTTCTGCGTGTTCGAAAGCGATTCGGTTCATGAACTCATCCGGAAGTGCCCAGGAGGACATCTCCGTCGCCCTAGGGCAAGTCTCACAACGGCGGCCAAGACGACCGCCAGGGCTACGGCTTCCGGTGACCCGTTCCCTTATAAGAAGCAGGATGCCTCAGGCGAAGGGGAAACGGAAGAAGCAGGAGCGCAAGAGAACAGACCGAAATTGAGCGGAAAGTCTCAACAGCAACTTCAGCGAGCATACAACTGGGTGAAGACATATGAAGACAAGCTGATGCAGATTCTCGAGCCCGGAAATGTCGACCTCAAGAAGATAGGCGGAAAACCAGAGGAGGAAGCACTCGACGACGAACTCAAACGTTTTGTCAATCAGGAGGACGAATCCAAATGGCGTTGTAAAGTGCCCGGGTGCACCAAACTGTTCAAGGCAGAGCACTTCTGGAGGAAGCACGTTGAGAAACGCCATACTGAGTGGTACGAGGAATTGAAGAAGAGCGTAAGTATTGTCCAAGAATATGGAACCATCTTGAACCAGCACTGACTGTACACCCAGATTGCGCTGGTGAACACTTATGTTCTTGATCCCGCACATATTGCGCCATCGCGCAGCGATGCCAACAGCAACGGCCATTTCCCGGTGGGCAACCACGCTGTAACGGGCACTCCGCGTGGCTTCAACCTTTCTCAGATGCCGTTGAACATGGCTGGTGCTGGCTTACAGAGCGGCTTCAACATGCAGGCACTGTTCAACCCTGCGATGACTGGCAACTGGGACGCACTCGGCGGTGAGGGTGACAGGACTGGACCCATGCGTCGTACTGGCGGCCGTTTCACAGGCAACCGCAGCGGCCCATATGACAGGCAGTCCAGGGACAACCGCAATCCGCGATTCGGCGCTGGAGGTGGGCGCTTGACGCCTCCGCCTAGGGGTGGTCGCCCGGGCGGCGGAGGTCGATACGATAGCGGTGGCCCTGGGCCCCTCCAGTCCACTCAAGGTCGTTCACTGAAGAGTTATGAGGATTTGGATGCCGTGGGCAATGCCGACACCGAGCTCAACTACTAGTACTATCGCAGAGGGTGTGTCGGCAGTGCCAAGGTGAAGGGTAAGATGGAAATGCCGGCGCCGTTGGCGTTCCCTCCGGCTGCATTGGAGCTACAAGTAGATCCCCCTCTCGCCCTGGCTGCCAGCGTAGGCGGTTGCTTATAGGGGTGGGAGTTCTACGCACACTACTTCGCCAACTCGATATCTGCTATGGAAGTTGGCGCTACCTGGCTTTTCTGTCTCTGGAGATCATTTTCCCGGCGTTGGTGCCTGGGCTGGAGTAGCGTGGATGAGCCGTGTATTATAGGTTTCTGTGTAGGAATCGCAACTGGTTTGAGGATGATGTGTGCAAAGTTTCAGCCAGCAAGTTGTTGTAATGACTTGTGATCCAAGTGGTGGCTGCATGTGACTTGAATGTGTATAGTTGGTATAGTAAGCAAAGGAAAGCAGTGCAGTCCCGAGGCCTTGTCATGCACACAAACTGCACAAAGTTTATTACAAGACTCCGCCGGCCTTGGTAGAGAGGGCCCAGCCATGGACAAGAGCTTGGGTACCTGACTGCGCCCGCTCCATGACGAATGCATTCCAGTAGCGATGAGTGATGATATGTCTTGTCTCCTTCTCCGAGCACTATATTTAGAGTCCAAATCTTAAGGCTAATGACATAGCAATCTCATCTTCCACTGAAAGCAGAGCGTTGCTTTCACCCCACCCAAACCGTCCCTGTCCACAGTCCCGCTTGCCGGTTGCAGGGGCTCTCTAGCGCGGCCCTAGCCACAGCGCCCAGCCACACCAAGTCGTCATAGCCGCGTGCTCTGCTATATGTCCGCAGTCGGCCATATAACAGGAACGACCCGTACGGCCCTCGATTCTCCTACTTTGAGCGCAGAAGCAGCCAGGTTCGGGATCCCCGCCCCTGACGAGGATTACCATGACTACGCCCGCCGTCACAGTGAATGGGAGTACGGTTGTCGCTTCGCAAGAGCTGGGAGGGGTGATAGAGGGGCCGACCGCCGAAGCTGCGGGGAAAGAGGTGGTGCCAAAGAAGGAAGATGGAGAAGGGAATGGAAGTGGGGGAGCCCAGCGGCCTAAGGGACAGAGAAACGACACCAACTTTTCGAAATTCTCGTACCGCTCGGTGCCGCCCGAGGGCAGCATATTGACTGGGAAGCAGGAGCACTGTATGTTCCTCACACGTCTATCCAGATACAGAAACCCGGTGCTAAGATACTCTCAGACCTGAAGCGCGAACTCCTCTCCCAACAGACACGCTTTGAAATCGCCGAGCTCTCTTCCCCGACCGCACTGCAGCGGTTCGGCGCCCCGTTCCGCTCCGACAAGGGCGAGGTTGCGCCTGAAGACTCGGAGCTGCCGATCCTAAGGTACATATTCGTGCATCATGTGCGAAACTTCCCGTTTCTGGATAAGGCGAAGGAGAAGGAGTTTTGGCAGGATAAGCTGCAGGTGGTAGGTTCTTTGCCCGTTTCCTGGGGATACTGGGTTGAAAAGGAGAGTAGATGCTGACGAAGTGCGATTTGCTGTAGTTCCTCGAATCGTTCGCCAACAAGGATATCTCGTCCTCGGAAGACAGGCTGGAGGTCACGAAGCGTAAGAAATTGGCGGTCAAGGCGGAGAAGCTGGTCGAGCTGATGATGGTGTCCGGTATACCCACTGCGTCAGGATACGAGGAGAGAATACGGTTTTCCGAGATGGAGATTGTGGAGCGTGGGGCGAATGAGAATGGGTTCGTGATCAATGCACCCAGCGGACACTTCATCAATGGGTGGGATGTCAACGTTGCGGGAGTGAGGAGAATGTCGGTCAAGAAGCACGTACGGTATCACACTCATGCAGTAAGTTCGACCGTGTATCCACCCCAGGAGTGATATGCCGTTCTGGACACCGTGAGGATCGGATGCTGACCCCGCTGGTTCAGGAATACCTAATTCGAGTGAAGCAACAAGGGGGAGAAGATATCTATATTGGAAGACGGTTTCAAGACTTTGTGCAGCTGCATAAGAGGATACGGATGGAGTTGCCAGGGAAGGTGTTACCTCCGCTACCCCGGAAGAATAAGAAGGATTCATTGTTTCAGGCCAACCTGGATGAAGATGGTAGTTCCATATCCTCGGCGTCGACGCAAGAAGCATCGTCAGATCCGTATGAGAATAATGGAGGCAATGGAAACGGTGGCGGTGGCATGGGCGAAGGGTTGAGAAGTTACATCTTCGGAAAGCGGAATTCCTCTGCAACGTCAGTGGGGAAACATGGCCGCTCCCCTAGGACTTCAACCGATCGGGCGTCATATCGCGAGCCTAGGGTATTATACCGCGAAGAGCAGCGAGTATCCCTACGGGCTTTCCTGCGGACGTTTCTGCAAAACGAGATCATCGCCAAGTCCAACGCGATGACCGATTTCCTTAGCGCGAACCCCATCGAGCTGAACGAGGAGGAGCTTGAAGATATTGAGCACCGCAAAGAGATGGACGAGAAGCGCATGGAGGAGCAGAAGCGCTTTTACGAGGTAGCGCGACAACGAGCGGCGGAACTGGACATCCACATGGAGAAGTTCCGACGCGAGATCGTCGAGAGCAATGGTCTGTCACATCTGTTCCAGGAGATCAGGGTGAAGAATTCGATTGCGGAGCTCAGGCCCGAGTATCAGAAGTTTGCGGAGTGGCTGCGGATAGAAGTCGCGGCTACCCTGTATCATTTGTTTCTCGCAGAGGACAATTCACCGGAGCTGTTCGCGCAGGCAAAACGCATACATTCTCTGGTGCCGTACACGGTGCTGAAAAACGTCATCAGGATAGCGAATCCAGCGGCTGTTATGAGCGGCGTGCTGGATCTATTCCTCGCACAGCCTTTTGGAGCGCGGTCACTACTACAGAGGATGTTCGGCATGGCGATTCACGACGGAGTCCGATCTGTGCAGAAGACCATGGACACACTTGCCGCAACAAAGGTCAAGGATGACGTCCTCTGCTCCAAGCTCAAATCCTTCGTCAACGCCGATAAGCCCACCAAGGACCAAATCCGCGAAGAAGCCGTCTCCGAAAACGTCGACCTCGTCGTTGCGATTCTGCGGTCAGAGTACCTGGAGCCCGAGCTGACGGCCGAGCAAGTGGAAAAGGTATTCAATGCATATGTGGCGTGGAACAATGCCGTTGAGAATGTAAGATCCCACAACGATCACGGGCTGCGGCGGCAAAAATCGAAATCCAGCGCTCATAGCGGGTTGTCTGCGAGGTCTTCGAACACGGGTGCTGATTTCGCGCGACAGATTGATTCAGAGATGAAGCAGGGGGCGGAGCTGTTTGCGCACTTGAAGCAGTATCTGAAGCTTTGTATGAGACAAAGGGATAAGCTCATGATGTTAGAGATAATCGAGGAGGTACGTATCCATCCCCGTTTAAACCTTTTCCCATCTGCACAACCTATTCTTCATGATAGAGGCTAATTTACCACTTGCAGCCCACCACCCTCCACCTCTTCCGCGACCTCTTCACCATCTTCTACGAGCCCCTCGTCCGCGTCTACAAGTCCGCCAACGTCTACAGCTCCATCACCGACTTCGCCCTCTTCGTCGACGACACGATCCGCGTCATCGAATCGTGCCAACGGCAAGACATATCGTCCGACCCCAACCAGACGGTCCAAGCCTTCATCGACCTGTGCGCCCGGCACGAGGACAATTTCTACAAGTTCGTGCACGAGGTGCACATCCACGACAACGGCTTGTTCGACCAGCTGATGGGGTGGTTGGAGGGGATATTGGAGTTTCTGAGAAAGGGACCCAGGGGTGGGGGCAAGTTGGATATGAATGCGCTTTTCGCGGGGGCTGTCGAGGCGAGGAAGGTGGACAAGGAGAAGGCGATCCGGGAGATCAATAGCTTGATTCGGTGGCAGATGCGGAGGAAGAAGTGGCATCAGGATAAGACGAGGCAGAAGATGGCTAGTGGGGGGGATGACGCCGGGGTCGGGGGTGCGGAGGCGTTGTTGGGCGGGTTGAGCGGTGGTGGGTTTCGGACGAGCGATTTTGGGTTGAATGAGGTAGGTTCATACACTCTCTCGTCGGTCATTCATCATTTGGGAACTCGGGGTCGCTGATGAAGATTATCTGCAGATGGATCTCCAAGACCTCGAACTCGACGCCGACGGCGACGAGTACAGCTCCGCGTCCGGATCCGACCTGGATGACCAGGAACTCACGGATCCCATCGAAGCCGAACGGAGGCGGCGGAGTAAGGTGGCGGAGAAGTTGCGCAGGTCGGCGGGCGAGCCGCAGAAACCGCCCATTGAGGAGCTGAGGAAGTTGGATGGCGATTTTGTGGTCATGTTGAGAGGGGTGCTTGCCGAGTAGACATTGTTTGCCCCTAAAGGGCAGGAAGCCAGAGAATAGATGCGAGACGGTTTATTCGAGGGGACTGGTCTAACGAGGTTTAGAAATGTCCGGTTATTGATATCCATATCCCACGGGTTTTGGGGGGAATTCGAATATAATCAATTACTCTGCGATACGTACTGTCTCATCGTCGGGTGCGTCATGCGAAGTTCAGAAAGTTGGATTTGTACTGAAGGGCATTTGTGCGGTGATTGGGTGGGTTGGTGGTTGTTAGAGGTGGGCTAGGATGGAGATAATAATTTGGTGTTCGTCCCACGCAACGTGTATATTTACAATCCTGTCTTCTCCATCTTCTCCCTCTTCTTCTTCTGCTTCTCTCTAGATCCAGGCTTCCAAAAGCCGTTCCTATCGTACACTCACTCCCCTATATCCCTACACAAAAGATCCAAATCGGTTCGATAAACACTCCGCCAAGTCTCCCCATAAAAATGATATACCCACTCCCCCTCCGCCATCTACCCCATAGCCTTCAAAAAGTTGCCCTCCTTGATCTTGGCCCGCCGCTTATCCCTCAACGCCTTGCGCAGCTCGTCCCTCGCCCTGGCCGCCGCCACGGCCCCCTCGGGCGTGCCGTCACCCGCCGGCAAATCGATCGTCTGCTCGTAGATGGGGACCTTTGGGATGAGGAGGTCCGGGTTGGCGAGCTGTTCCTTGCGGAGCCGTTTTGCGGCTAGGCGGCGCTGTTTCTTGGATTTGGCTAGATGGGAGCGCAGGCGTTAGCTGGGTTCTTTTTTTTGGCAGATTGGTGGAAAGGGAGATAGAGAGAGGGGAGGGAAAGTACTTACAAAACAGATCCCCCGCCGCATCCCCGCCCGCACCACCGTCCTTCTTCGCCTCCTGCCGCTGCAGGATCGTCCACAGCCAGGGCGGGTACGCGCTATCCTCCATGGCGACGGGGTCTTCCTTGTTCTTGAGGAAGTTGAGGCCCTTGAGGGGCGTGCCGGCGGGGACGCTGGATTTGACGAGCGGGTGTTGCGGGAGTTTCTTCTCTTTTTCTTTTGGCTTTTCTGCGGGGGATGAGGAGGCGGCTGTGGGGGTTTGTGAAGAGGTGGTGAGTTTGGAGGAGGAAGGAGGCGGAGGCGGAGCGGTGGAGGTGGTGGTGGATGCTGCGGGTGTCGCGGTGGTGAGGGTTGGGGAGGTGCTGGTGAAGAAGCGGGATGGAGGTTGCGTGGAGGTTGTCGGGTTGGGGGTGGTGGCCCAGCGCGAGGAGGCGCGTATACAGCGCCGGCAGAGCATTGTGGGGTGTTTGTGTGTAAGGGAGGGACTGGGTGTGTTATCCCCCGGTAGACACAGTATGGAGATGGTTGAGGTTTGGTAAAGTTTGGATGGATCGGGGGGAAGGTTTTTCCGTGCCCGAATGCTGGAATGGAGGCTGTTTCCGAAAGCGAATGCTATTATTGGTCTGTTTAATCTATGCACATCGTAGCTATATCAGGAGGATACTCGTGGAATAAACAACCCTCATGCAAAGGCGTCCGCATGACATGGCCATCTGCCCCTTGATTTATAGTAAGTAAACACATGCGCAGAGTCAGCATGATCGACCGTTGAAGCCCAACGGCCGCGGAGGCCTAATAAGACAGAAGGATCACATTTGTAACGGAAACGATGTAGTTTTGACTGTGTGAATGTGATGATCATGTATTTGTAGAGACTGAGCTGGTATATCCCATTATAGCAAATCACATGCCTCCCAAGTAACTCCTTCACTCCTGACATACCACTTTTCAACCTGTCGTGAGAGATCGGACGGAGAATCATTTTCTCCAAGTTAGTCTGTGAACCCCGTAGATGCATTGTTTCCTTCCCTGCCAACAGCCCACCCAGAGCCTCCGACTATCAAGTTTGTCGAAAGGATATAAATATGTTCAGAGAAGAAAAAAAGAAGACGAGACAAGTCATGCACAAAAAGCATGCAGCTCATCTAGTCAAAAAATCGAACGTGTGCTCAAACCCGGCTCAAAGCAGGCCGACAAAACCAGTCGTACCCTAACAGAACAGTTTTAAATCCACGCCATGGGCCCCGGAGCCGCAACATGCGTCCCCATCCCATATCCAAACCGCCTACTAAACAGCGGCCGAATCTCCGCCAGGTACTCGTCGGCGCAGAGCCTCGCCAGCCCCCGCTCCCGAATCACCTTGAGATCCGCCTCGTACTCAGCGTCCCGGACCACGCCGCCAAACTCCTCGGCGATCTCGTTGAGCTGCTCCAGCTCCGGGCCGAAGGGGTGCGCCTCTTCCCTCTCCTCCTGGATGACGGCGGGCGAGCGGAAGATGTCGATGGACGAGCGCTGCTCGCGGCTGGAGCGGTTGGAGAGGAGACTGCCGCGTGTGGAAGGGGTCATGCTTTGCAGGGAGCGCTTCTGGGCGAGGCGTTCGTGGGCGCGCTTGCTGTGGGAGAGGGCACGCTCGGGGATGGCGGGCACGGGACATGTTTCCCCCGAAACAGCGGAGTTGGAGTGGGGCAGGTTGCTGGACGAAGCGGAGCGGCGGGGTAGTTTGTTGCCAGACGGGAAGAAACCCGAGAGTTGGTTTGGTGCTGGTGATCTGGGCGAGTCCGGCGATAGAGACGAGGCATCTGTGAGGGTTTCCCTGGAGCGAGTGGAGGAGGATCGAGAACGGGCAGTTGTGGTGCTGTGATCCGAGTCCTCGGCGGAGGGGGTTGATGGAGAGGAAGCTTGTCTTAGGGTAGCGATGTCGGGTGCATTGTAGGAGAGCATATTGGTTGTTGAGATCAGCGCCACAGGCGACGAGATCTTGTTTCTATCGATCTGCTGGCCTGGAGTCCTCATACTTTGAGCGCGAGTGGGAGTCGTCGGAACGGATTCTGCTGGCGAAGAGGAAGCGTCAGACCGCTTGATGCGTTTGGTAACGGCGCGTGCCAGAGACATGACGGGCTAGGCTCTTCCTTTAAATTCGAGAAGACACTTCAATCAAGTGTAATAAAGAGGCCAAATATGCGGGACCAGGGCCGGGACTCCTCTTTGGTAACGGATGCTGGGCCTGGTACCGTAGATAGTGCGGGGAAAAGGTGGCGGATAAATTGGGCTGCGTTTCTGTATGCCCCAGGGTGCTGGGAACCACTTCGAGACTGGATGGGCAATGTGGGACCAGCAGACCTATAAACCCAGAAAGCAAGAAGGGGACAGGCAGAGTCCAGAGGTCGTCGGATGCGTGGCCTGGCCGAGGTTGCGTCGCGATGTCGCGTGTAGCCTGAGGGTGCAACCCGGTGTTCACTGGGGCTGGCGCGTGTGATGCGGATAGATGGGGAGGAGCGGGAGTTGACACGGAGACGCTTTCCACGGGCCGACCTGTTTCCAAGAGAGATCGTCGCGGGGCAGTAATGAATTTTGTGGGTTTCAAATGATTGTTTTGTTGTTTGCAGTCGCCGACTTGCGGCAAACGAACGAGATAAGAGAAGGGCTGCCCTGGGGTGGTTGCCACTGAATGCAAAGGGGGGGGTGAAACGTCTGTCAAAGAGCGAATATCGAGCCTGCGTGGAAAGGAAAAAGGAGCGAACCAGGCGCCTGATGCGAGGGAGTGCAACGACCTGCGGTAAAGCCAGCGGTCACGCGAAGATAAAGGGAACGGATGTCGAAGGGCGACGTTGGGGAAAGGGGAGGAGGAAGAGGAAGGTCTTCAGCGGAGAAAAAGACTCTCTCAGAGGGGGAAAAGCGGCATGCAGCAGGACGTGGATCCGTTGGACGCTCTGCCCGCCCGCCACCCAGGAACAGGAACATGCACCGCTCAGCCAACCAACGGGTAACAATGCACGCAGGGGGTCGTCCCGTTCAGTGGCGACGGTCGCCCACGCACCTGAAGGTGCCATCCAATCCGCAGACGACCATCGGCGCCAATGGTTTCAAAGTGCACTGGGTCTGCTCCAATCAACATCACGGATTCGGGCGCCAAAGGATTCGAAGATGCTTGTGTGAGTGATGAGCAGGAAATACCGTTCGTGGAGTGAAGGTCGCATGTGATTTGCAACTTTTATCAACGTTGATGTGGTGGAGTGGGGATAATCAGGCAGTGAATGTTGTTCTGTGAAGCCAACAAAACCAGAGCGAAATCACTGATGAACACCATCTCGCCTAAACACCCTCCAGTCTCAGGTAGACATTCACCCCTCTCTATATCTCGCTGTTCTCCCCTTTATCACGACGTTATGAGGAGTCAACTCCATTGCAACAATCCAGTTTCCCAAGCGCCGTTTCGCGCGACACGCGTCGCCCTCACAAGGAAAATAGAAACATATGTTCTTTCATGCAGATGAGATGGCATGTTTGTTTCGTGCCATGACGCCGCCGCCTTGCAGCAATCTGTTTTGAAACAGGGCCGTCATGCAGCTGACTCTCTGCTTTGTGAGTCGTGACGGGACTTGTCATGACTGGCAAGTGGAGCCGCGCCCATGCATGCCCCATTCGTGAGAACACTGGGGACTCGGCGCAAAAGAAAAAGACCCACATACATACACAGTACATGGAGCTCATCCTAGTCGACGTTAGTACATACTGTGTATACAGTAGTAGTATCTACGGAGTACCATTTCATCAAAGCGTCGCAACTTGCTCAAAGATGATAACATATCGCAAGGTGTTGGCCCGCACATCAAGAACGCTACAGGATTAACCGCACTTGATCCTGATCCTTCACGATTCTTATTTTGGCGTCATACAGTAATCGCTGGGCTCGATGAGTTCAATAATCCTGGTCCCCACATATCTACACAGTACGTTGCCCGACACAGCCGTAGTGGTATCACACTTCCAGAGACTTGAAGTCAACACTCATCGATCTGGTACCCATCAAAACCAATAATGTTTCTTCACAACTCCCTGCATCCTAAGCCAGGCACAGCCTCGCGGACTCCGACCCTAACGACGCCGGAGATGCACCCCGGCATGCAGTCCGACAGTCCGCATCATAGGAGATTTTTTCACTGTACTTCTTGAAATCAACATGGGTGGTGCATAGGGCTGATAAGCCTCCATAAAAAGCCTTCCCCTCTACTACTCCTCCATCTCTTCTGCACCCTCCGCATCCTCGCCACCGTCATCTTCGCCCTCCTCGGAGTCAGAGTCCGTGTCAGACTCCTCCAGCCCCACCAAGCGCTCCTTTCCGTCCCCCCTAACCTGCGGCACTTTATTCGCGAACGCCGCCCGGACGGCCGCATTGGTGCTTGTGTCCCATATCTGCACTGCGCCTTTGCTGCCCGCGACCGCCAGCCGGAAGCCGACCTCCTGGTCTGGTGCGAAGGACGTGCTAAATACTCTGCCGACGCCGAGATCGCGGGACACGACCATGCTGGGACCGCTTTCTTGGACGTTCCAGAGCTTCACCTGCTTGTCCGTTGAACCTGTCGCTATGAAGCCGGGGATCACGGGATTGATGTCGAAAGACGAGACGGCCTCGTCGTGTGCTTGTAATATCCAGACTGGTTTCGAGCTCGAAGGATCCGCTGGAGCATTGCGCGCATCATGGTAATGGATGATACCGTTCTCGGTAGAGACCTGACAATGTTAGCTTGGGAAGAGAATCTTGGCCTGCCAAACCACTTACGTAGAAATAGTTGGGGTCATGAGGATTCCATCGCACCGTTTCCACATCACTCTCGACACCCCATCTGGGGGCTTTCGCATCGGGAGCTCTCATATCGGCTGCCACTACAGTCCGATCGTAGCTGCCACTCAGGAGCACTGTCGACTCGACGGGATGCCATGCCACCGAGCACACCTTGTCTGTGTGATATGTATATGACTTCGCGCATGTGGTGGTGTTGAGGTCCCATAGTTTGATAGTTTTGTCTGCTGAGGAGGAAGCGAGGAGATTACGGTGTTGTCGGTTGGCAGCGAGCGACAAGACGGCGTCTACATGGTAGTTGTCGTTAGCCTTCTTAGCCTTCTTCTTCTTTTTCTTCTTCGGCTTCTCCGCCGCCCCTGCATCCTCCGCTCCCTGTCCTAGTATGGCATCTGGGTACATGCCGTCCACAACATCCAGGTTCCATATTTCGATATCGGGGTCCATTGTGCCGACCGCAACGAAATTGCCTTTGCCGTCCTTTCCCGTTGCGACCTTTCCCACTGGCAAGTCGAGCCACTCCACTGCCAGAGGGATGGCCGGGAGCATGATATCGTGGTGCACGTAGAGATTGTCGGCCTCATCTTCATACACGTACACTTCAAGGTGTGCGACTTCGTCTTCTATCCTTCCAGCCAGTACCAGGTTATCTGTCGCCAGAATCTGCAGCTCCTCTCGCTCCTCATCCTCCTCTTCCTGGGTTTGCATGGTGATGTAAGGATCGTCCTCGTTCGAGTCGTGGAAGACTAGATTCTTGATATTGCCAAACATGGCCATTGTGTCTCCGGCGCCATCCTGGTCATCGTCGTCGTAGTGTTCCAGGTCGTATTCTTTCAGGTCATCGTCGATTTCTCTGGAAAAAAGTTACTATACACATTCACTTGTAAGAATTCTAATACATACTCGACATCGTTTGCTTTTTCTCTTGCGGTAGAAGTACCGTTCGCAGCCTCTTCCTCCTCTTTCTCGGCTTCTTCTAACTCCTCCTTCGCATCATCTAGCTGCAGCTTTGCCAAATGCGCTATGCGCTCGTACTCGTCCTCGTCGAATTCATACTTGGTAGGAAACGGTGCGGCAAATCCCCGAGGCACCCAAGTAGTCGCTGTTATCATAGACATTTCGCCGTCAAGATATTCGGGAAGACTTCTGCTCTACTCCTCTGCGAACAACTTCCCGGTGAAATAATTTCGGACTCGCCAAGAATGCGGGCGGCGGAGGCGGGAGTGGGTGGCCCAAGCTTCAAATTTCAACATCTATACGCCTGTTTACGGAGTACCACCCTTCGCCATCTGCCTCCTCAATTGCACACGTCGCAATGGACCGGCATGACAGTCCCAAGCGTCGCAAGATCGATCATGAGCACTTCTCGGTAGCGCCACGTCCGAGATTCCACAAACCACATCACTCGGGGCCATCATCGCGGCCGCATACACCACGGCCAGGCACCCATGGGTCAACACCGCATCAGGACTCTTTCGAAGGCCCGGAGCCCATGGTAGATGAGCTGGACTCGACCGCGCTGGACCGTGACTGGTATACTGGCGAAGAGAACGGACATACATTCGGAGACGATACCCACAACCCTTTCGGAGGCGCAGACGATACCTGGCTGGACCAGCAACGAGAAGCCGCCTTGACGGAGAAGAAGAAGAATAGTCGAGTGAGCGCTAGGGCGATACAGAAGCAGAAAGATGTCGATGCGTGGGAGACCAACCGCATGTTGCAGTCCGGAGTGGCGCAACGGCGGACCTTCGATGCTGATTTCGCGGACGATGAGGAGGGGACACGGGTCGACATATTGGTGCATGACCTGAAGCCGCCATTTCTGACTGGAAAGAGGGTCTTCACCAAGCAGGTGGACCCGGTATCGGCAGTCCGTGATCCTCAGAGTGACATGGCGGTCTTCAGCCGGAAGGGGAGCCGGGTGGTCAAGGAGAGGCGACAGCAAAAGGAGCGGCAGAAGCAGGCCCAAGAGGCAACCAATATTGCAGGCACAGCATTGGGGAATCTCATGGGCGTCAAGGAGGACGAAGGGGATAGCGCGGCCCCTCTCCCCGGTGATGAGGAGAAGAAGGGCGGCAGCAAGTTCGCTGAGCACCTCAAAACAAGCGAAGGGCAGAGCTCGTTCAGCCGGAGTAAGACGTTAAGAGAGCAACGACAGTATCTCCCAGCGTTTGCTGTCCGTGAAGAACTCCTTCGTGTTATTCGAGATAACCAGGTCATTATCGTTGTTGGTCAGACTGGCTCCGGCAAAACCACCCAGCTAACGCAGTTCCTATATGAAGATGGGTACGGAAAGCAAGGTCTGATAGGATGCACGCAACCGCGCCGTGTAGCAGCTATGAGTGTTGCAAAGCGTGTCAGTGAAGAGATGGAGGTCAAGCTTGGAGGTTTGGTGGGCTATGCTATTCGGTTCGAGGACTGCACGAGCAGGGAGACGAAGATCAAATACATGACGGACGGTGTGCTCCTCAGAGAGTCCCTTCAAGAACCCGATCTTGACAAATATTCTTGTATCATCATGGACGAAGCGCACGAAAGAGCTCTCAACACGGACGTTCTGATGGGTCTTATCAAGAAGGTGTTAGCACGAAGACGAGATTTGAAACTTATCGTCACATCCGCGACGATGAATGCTGAGCGCTTCTCACGTTTCTACGGAGGAGCCCCAGAGTTCATCATCCCCGGACGTACATTCCCGGTCGACATTCAGTTCTCACGGTCGCCTTGCGAGGACTACGTGGACAGTGCCGTCAAACAGGTTCTGGCTATCCATGTCTCTCAGGGTCCTGGCGATATTCTGGTGTTCATGACAGGTCAGGAAGACATCGAAGTCACCTGTGAATTAATCGCTGAGAGATTGAAACTGTTGAACGATCCTCCGAAACTCAGCATCCTTCCGATTTACAGTCAGATGCCTGCGGATTTGCAGGCCAAGATTTTTGACCGCGCACCCCCAGGCGTACGTAAAGTCATTGTCGCTACGAACATTGCCGAGACTAGTTTAACGGTCGACGGAATCATGTACGTGGTAGACTCCGGTTTTTCCAAACTAAAAGTGTACAACCCGAAAATGGGTATGGACACCCTTCAGATCACGCCGATATCTCAGGCGAATGCGTCACAAAGAGCAGGACGAGCAGGCCGCACAGGGCCTGGCAAGTGTTTTCACCTCTACACTGAAAGAGCGTTCCGTGATGAGTTTTACATTCAGACCATACCGGAAATTCAGCGTACGAATCTCGCTAATACCGTACTGTTACTGAAGTCTCTCGGCGTCAAAGACCTACTCGACTTCGATTTCATGGACCCGCCACCGCAAGATACTATCACAACGTCTTTGTTCGACTTATGGGCATTGGGAGCTCTGGACAACCTTGGTGAGCTGACTGAGCTGGGCAGAACGATGACAGCATTCCCCATGGATCCGTCGCTTGCCAAGCTCATCATCACATCTGTGGAATATGGATGCAGCGAAGAGATGCTCACAATCGTCTCCATGCTTTCCGTTCCCAGCGTCTTCTACCGGCCGAAGGAAAGACAAGAAGAGTCCGACGCCGCTCGAGAGAAGTTTTTTGTACCGGAATCCGACCATCTCACATTGCTACACGTGTACTCCCAATGGAAGGTCAATGGTTATTCGGACGGGTGGTGCATCCGCCACTTCTTGCACCCCAAGGCTCTTCGCAGAGCTAAAGAGATCCGCGATCAACTCCACGACATCATGAAGATGCACAAGATGGCCTTTGTCAGCTGTGGTACAGACTGGGACGTCGTCCGAAAGTGCATCTGCTCCGGATACTACCATCAGGCGGCCAAGGTCAAGGGCATTGGTGAATATATCAATCTGAGGACGAGCGTCACTGTGCAGCTCCACCCCACCAGCGCTCTCTACGGTCTTGGATATCTTCCTGACTACGTCGTGTACCACGAGCTTATCCTCACGTCAAAGGAGTACATGTCTTGCGTAACGTCGGTCGACCCACACTGGCTCGCAGACCTTGGAGCAGTCTTCTACTCGATCAAGGAGAAGGGGTATTCGGCACGAGACAAAAGGATCACTGAAACGGAATTCAACCGTAAGGCAGAACTGGAGGCTAAGATGGCGGAGGACAAAGCTCGTGAGGAGAAGAGGCTGGAAGAAGAGCAGAATGGCCCGCTTGTGAGGAAGTCGGGTTCGTTGGCGAAGAAGGTTACGTCTCAGGGTGGAGTGGTGAAGCGGCCTGTTATTGGGAGGGCTAGAAGGGGGCTTTAGTTGAGCAATTCTCGATAGAATAATAGACGGTTAGATGATCGAATTCTGGTATATCAGTAGACTGAAGTAATTCACAAATAGTCACACCATTTCAATGTCTTGGCAAACACTTGCAGAAACCCACCTCGACTGCAATATACACGTTGTCATCTCTTATAGAAAACCCAAGATTTAGCGAAGTAGCAGTAGACAGCATTCTCTGCGGACTGAGTATCATCTACCAATTATCACCTGGGTGTCAGGTTCATGTAGTCCCACGTGATCGTTGTAATTCGGTTAGCTCAACGTGGACCCCGAGTCCCCAGTTCCCAGTCCCCCCAGTCCCCCAGTTCCCGACCCCAACCCGACCAACGTAGAGTCGCACCAAGCTACGAAGTGTCTATCGCCGGACCTGCATCGCGCGTCGCCTCGTGAACCGCATCAGTGATTTCTCCCTCATCCATGCACTTGCTTCCGGTAGTTGCTCGTGGACGATTCGCGAAAACGGCCCTAAACCGGATGATCGGTACAGAGCGGACCGCCGCCATGGCGGTTGGGGGATGCGGGGGAAGGCATGCGGAGGAGGGATGAAGAGGTGGTGATACCGGGATGATATTCGTGGGATACGATCGTCGAAAGCACCTCTAGGACAAGATGGCTGGGATGACGAAGGGACGCCGCAGAAGAGGTGGACTGTATGCATATGAGGGTGTGGGGTAGATGGAGGACGATGAAGATAACGGCAAGTGCTGTATAAGTGCTTCGAAGAGTAGTCATAAGATACCTGGATCTTCAGAAACCGCTAATCTGCGCGGACGGGAAGGCATTCGACAGAGCTGGAGACTCGGAAAGGTCGCACCGCGGGGCATCGGACTGAAGACATGGATGCGCCGGGACATACGACAGAATAGCACGGCCAGGACAAAGGAGAACGGAGGCTATAAGAAGAGTGTCCACAGTATGAATGCAGAAGGAGGTGGCAGACAAGGAGACGCAGATTGTCACACTGGGCCTGCGGCCAAGAGCTATGAATATGGGTTGGTCCCGAGCCAGCATGCACCTCTAAGCAAGAAACCAATACGCTCAGACAGACCGTATACTGAAATCTCAGTTTCTAAGAAGAATCGCCGTTCCCGAACGGTGGGGAAACCTTTTCAGCGTTCCTGTCACTGGAGTACGATGATCATGGACTTCTTCGCGTCTGGTATTCGAACGTCCCTTTGCAACCTTCAAGCTGCAGGTTGATCTCTGCGTGGGCAGCGCGGTATCCGGCGCACGCATAGTCAAGCGGCGAAAAAAACACCTGGCGTCGGCGTCGTCATGAGGGGCTGATTGCCTATGCGATGATGCGCCATGCCCATTTGGAGACGGTACGGTAAACATGGGTGGGGCAAACTATCCAAAAACCTCATACGCCGTGCTTGAGCTTATCGGAAAAGGACATGGTAAGCATATCTCTTTGAATAAGAACTTGCGTGGAATGTGCGGTGAATGCACCGAGCCATTCTGAACACGTCCTTGGGCTCCTGCTGACCACTCCATCTAGACTGGCATGGATTCATCGCCGGACCAGCAGAACACCTACAACTGCGAGGAACATCGGCGTCAAACCTTGGGGTGCTGGGGAGAGGACTTTTCTTCACTTACCCCTAAGTCGTCACCGCCACTGAGCTCCTTCACGACATCGGCGCAATCACTGGACCCGAAGCCGCGGCGCTCTGGATTTACCTCGCACCCTGCTTCTGTTCCACTCTGTCCTGGCTCGAAAGTGCTTCAAGGCCGGTGGGAGGAAGGTCGCGTGGTCCGCGTGAGGTGCTCCAGGCCCAGCTCAAAGGACTTCTTTCTCTGAGGCACCGACTTGGAATCAGTAATAACAGACGATCGTCCATCTCCTCACACCATCCCGAAGCTTCACCTGCTCTCTTTTACTGGGTTCACGGAAGGGACGTCTGGCACTCGGCACATCTGGGCAGCTCCGTACTCCGCCCGCGAAGGCCCAAGCTCGCAGATCGCCTAGCGCACAACACGAAGGAGCTCGCGGCACCGCGAACATTCCTGCGCACCCATCATCCACGACGCTGCAATCCAGGTAAAACCGACTCTGCCGTTCCTTTCACCGTGCAGAATCACCTCCGATCCTTAGGAGCGGTCTGGCGTCTTCGATTGTCGCGTTTGGGGGTGCCTCACGTGACGTGCCCTGCGGCGCGACTTTCCAGAGCTTGACTCCCGCCCGATTTCTCCAAGTTCCCTTCACTTTCCTCCCACCTACAACCACCACCCGACCCACCCACAACCATCATTTCTCATCCACGCAGCCCGTCTATCATCAATTACGGTCTCACCCCTTCGATCCCCATACCTCAACGGGCATATTCACACGTCCCCATTACCTCGACGCGTCCTCGCACCGTGCCGACGTAAGCACGAAGCTTCGCCATGGCTGAGGAAGTGAAGTCGCCCGTCGCGAGTGAGGCTCCCAAGGTAGCTGAGGAAGAAACGCGTGCCGCCGAAGCACCGGCTGAGGCCACTGTCGGTGAACCAGAGGCTGGCAACGGTGGCGATGCAGCTGAACCTGCTGAGGTTGCTGAAGGTGAGTTTGCCCACCCTTTTCGTACACGCCGATCTATCACTGATTGTCCTCTCCCAAGGTGCCACCACATCCGCTGCCAATCCAGAAGCCGCCGCTGAAGACAATAAGGACAATGAGAAGGCTCAGGAGGAGACAGGTGCGTCCATACAGGCTGCCGATATGGCGGAGTGCAGCGTGCCTGTGGGCGATAGAGTAAGCGCGAGTGCGGGGCTGACCGAAAAACCAGCCGTGGCAACCGAGACTGCGCCTACGGACACGACCCCATCTGCGAAGGGTGCTGCCAACAATCGACGCAAGTCAGGAGCTGGCGTGCCTGAGCACAAAAAGAAGACGCCAAACAAGAAGAAGTCCGCCCCAGAGCTCCGTCTCAACGTATCGCCAGGCGAGATGTATCTTGTCTCCATGAGAGGCTTCCCGCCGTGGCCTGTCATCATCGCAGATGATGATATGCTGCCCGAGAACTTGCTCATCAAGCGGCCCGTTAGCGCTAGACGTATCGACGGCACTTATCGGGAAGATTTTGCAGACGGTGGCAAGCATGTGAAGGATCGCCGTTATCCCGTCATGTTCCTGGGCACCAATGAATTGTGAGCATATGGAGTCACATCTCGATATCTAGGTACTAACAATGACATCCAGCTCCTGGGAAGTCAACACGGCCCTGCAGCCATTGGATATTGAGGCTATCAAAGCTGAAGTCGCGGCTGGGAACACTGGCAAGAAGAAGAAAATAAAGGCACTTTGGGAAGCCTACGTCATTGCTTCCGAAGAGCACGACCTTCAATATTTCAAGGACCTGTTGGATCGCCATGAAAAGGCTATGCAGGTTGATGCCGAGGAGAAGGCGGCTGCAGAGGCCAAGAAGCTGGAGGCCAAGGAAAAGAAGAAGACCAAGCGCAAGAGCACGGCTGCTGCGGCTGACGAGGACGTTACAATGGAAGACGCTGGTGCCGAGACTCCTGCTGCGAAGCCCAAGGGAAAGAAGCGGAAGAAGGAAGATGACGGAGAGGATGAGTCTGAGAAGGTACGTGCAGCATCGTCTACGAGGTTGCTCTCAGTTAATAACGGCGACACAGCCAGCGAAGACGCCTAAGACTAAGCTGAAGCTTACGAACACCCCTAAAGAACCGTCGACTGCTGAAGCGAAGCCTAAGAAGGCGAAGAAGGCGAAGGCAAAGGTTGAAAGCGAGAGTGAGTCCTCAAAGGTTGAGGAGAAGCCAATGACGGAAGAAGAGCGTCGGGAGAAGCAGGAGAAGTCTGGTTAGTACTTCCACATTCCTCCTCCTATTTGGCTACTGACAAGATACAGTGCTGTATCTCCGCCACAGGCTCCAGAAGGGCTTCATTTCCCGCGATCATCCGCCCAAGGAGGAAGAGATGCCTAACATGTCCGAGTACCTCAAGCAGCTGGATGATTTCCAGAATCTGGAAGCCGAAATCATCAAGAAGACCAAGGTGCACAAGGTTCTGAAAGCCATCCTCAAACTCGACTCGATCCCGATGGAGGAGGTCTACAACTTCAAAAAGCGCTCGGCCGATATTCTGCAGAAGTGGAGTGGTGCATTGCAGTCGGCCGACGTTGCTGCCCCATCGGCATCCGCTCCCGCACCTGCCACGAACGGCGACAAGGCGGAAGCAAAGTCCGAGCCCGCTGCGGTTGATGACAAGGCCGAGAAGGTCACTAATGGTGACGAGGCCGCAAAGGGAACGGACGGGGATGGCGATGTCTCCATGGCGGATGCAAAAACCGAGTCCCCTGCAGTCGAGGGACCCGCTGCTGATGTGGAGAAACAGAAAGAGACGGCTGAAGTGGCTGCGTCATAGATGCAAACGTCGGTGAATATCCGAATGATCACTGAAAGTTGAGGTCTCCGTCGAGGGAGCGGAGCGTGCAATCAGGCTGGGTGTGAGGTGCGTACACGGTGGTGATGCTTGCGAGTGCGTATCCGCTCTACCTTAGTTCACGAACATGGCATCAGCAGAGGAAGGAGGATGGGACCGCCCCTGTACATGTGTTTTCTTGGATTGATGCGAGCAAGTACTGGGCGGGATATGGGAAGAGAGCCATCTCTGCCAGGGTCAGGGCCGGGAAAGACGTTCAAACTGCTTTTGCTAGAAATATTAATCAAATTGGCATGTGGGATTTTATGGCGGTTCGCTACCCTGCTAAGGCTGTGAAGACTAATTGAGCAAAGCTCTGAAACTGGTGTCGTCCCTTTCCCACAAGGTTCCTCACAAGGTTTCCTGCAGAATCGCGACATCACCATGTCCCGCGGTCCTAACGAAGATCTTCATACTCTCCAAAATATGTGCCTTCAGATCGGGCCTCCTATTGTCCTGGCCCATGAAGCCGCCATAGGTAGTTGTGAAGTGGAATGGCTTGAGCGATTTCCAGATGCCGTGGATCTGGTCGGGCGCCAGGGGAATCATGTTTGGATAAGACCACATGAAGCTGTAGCTTGTGGTTCCTGGGAGGCGGTCGGCGTGATAGTAGGCAGACTACCTGGTAGTCAGCATCGGGTTCTTGTCTTTTCACTACTCCATTAAATATAGAGAAGCCTTGCCAACAACGTACCGGCACGACCATGATCGAATCCGCATGGAACAATATCCCCTCCCCCTCCTCTTTCCCGTCCGCTCCCTCTTCCTCCTTCCAATGCAACACCATACTCCCATCGAAATGCCCACCCACTCGAATCGCCGTCACCCCGGGCACAATCTCCACCGTCTCGCTCTCCACCATCCTCCTCACGCCATACCTATCCTCCCTACACAACCACTGTTCATCCCTCTTATTCAGATAAACGGGACACGCAAACACCCTCGCCCACTCCAGGTGCGTGCTCCAGAAATGCGGATGCGAAATCACAATCGCTTTCAACCCGCCCTTTTTGCGGATGAAGTCGATGGTCGGCTCGTCGAGGAAGGCGATGAGGTCCCAGAGGATGTTGCCGTGGGGGGTTTGGATGAGGATGGCGCGTTCGCCGATACCCAGGGTCTTTGTGGGGGGGAAGGAAGGGTGGAGGGGGTTCGAGGAGGCTGAGGGGGAGGTGGTGGTTGTTATGTAGGTGAGGTGTGGGTTCGTGGGGCTCGCAGTGAGGGTGTTTCGTTGCGAGAGGGAGGCGAGCCGGAGGGAGGTCCAGGATTGGCCTTGGGGTGGGACGTATTGGCGTGGATCCTGGAGGCTGGAGTGTTAGTATATAGCTTTCATATAGTATATGGTGGTGGTGGTGGTGTTGTTGGTGTTGTTGTTGTGAGCGGGTACGACGTCATAGGCGAAGGCGAAGAGGATGGTGAGGACGAACATCACAGATGCGGCAGGATTTTGGAGGGGAGGACAAGGGAGCGTCGTATTGGGTTCCACAGGTTATGCAAATGGCGAGGTCGGCGCTTTCGAAGTTCATGTCGAGGTGAATTGAAGGGAGTGTTGGTCGGAAAGTGGTTGATGGGTATTCAAGCTCGGAACGCAATTGTGAGCGGGGAAGCTGGGGTAGAAATAAGGGCAGACGCTGTAGACTAGTGGAGCGTGGTAGCTAGTCAATGGCAGAACCAGGAATAGAGAGAGTTCATACCCTTATGACCTGGGTTCTAGGCCAAGGTGATTGGTGATGTCCGGGCGGTCGAGGTTGTTCGTATTCAAAAGCGGGATGAAATCCGATCTATCCGATCGGAACTAGCTGTCAACATGGGGGCCCATCTCCACCCAAACGCCTGTAGCGACCACAGTAATGACAATGCAGACCTTCGCCAGAACGCCCTCATGAATGTAATGACCCTAGACGATTACGCAAGCGAACCCGCGAGTACCCAGACCTCACCATTAGCAACCTTATCCGCGATGCTTACCACTTCCACACCATGGGGCTGGATCTGCGAAATCGTGTAAGCCATGACCCAATAGCGAATAGGCAGAAGAACAACAACATACCACTTTCTTCCCCTCCTTCGTCTCATACCAAACCTCACTCCCCGCCAAAGTCTTCACCTTCCTGCCCTCCTCCCACGGACTCAACGGCACCACATGCGCCTCGACAAACCGCCGCAGATTCCTATGCGCCCTGTCCTCTCCCTCACCCCCCTCATACGCCTTCTCCCCAAACGCCGCATAATCCTGCGGATCCTCCCACGGCTTCCTCTTCAGCTCCCTCATTACTCCATTCTGCGGCGCCAGCACCGTAGCATTCTGCGACGCGTCGTCTAAGCGCCTGGATATGGAGTCGATATCTCGGGTTAAACCGCTGAAGATGGCTATCGATTGCGTTTTCCCGATGACGTCGGAGATGATGACGCCTGTGGAAACTGTGTTGTCGTTTTCGGGCGGAGGCATGTTTTTGTTGTGGGTTAGGGGGTTGGGAAACAGGACGGGGACTTGTATTTGATCGGCGAGGGCGTGGAAGGCTTTGGAGAGGGAGAAGAGGGGCCGAGATTGCGCAGAGGCGGCGAGAATAAGGCAGATAGTTGCGGAGGGGTAGAGGAAGAGTTGTGCTGGTTTCATGGTCGGAGGATTGGCTGTTTGGTGGATCTGGGATGCATAGATTTGTAATGGCGTGGAGGGGTGAGTGAATGCACAGACGTCATTTGGAAACCGTTGCCAAGACGGGCGATCCCGTGATTGCGTGAGTGACGGTGGCGTGTCTCGCGATTTTCTGATGTTCACCTTCATCTTCATTTCTCACACGCATATTCGCATTCACCTTCACCACCTCGGGGTCCGTGTGCCAATGACGTGGTAGAAGCAATGCGTATACCATCAACTCAACCCCTCTGCCGTCCATGAGCGCGTGAAGGGCACCATGGCAATGCATCTCCCAACTGTCACTATCGTAAGCTCGCTCTTCGGCAAACTCACCGGGAATCCCAGTAACAATCGCAGGACGACCTCCGCGCCTTCCACGCAAAGCATTTTCCCAATGCCCCCATACCAGCCAACTTCCTCTCCGGCTTCACCCAATCCTCACAAGCCTACTCAAGTTACGAAGACGAAGACGGAGACTACGACGATGATCTAGGCTACTACCCCGATGGCTGCAAGCGCACCCTCACCGACGAGCAGATCGCCCTATTCCGACACACGGAAATCCAGACGATTCTGCGAGAACGGCGGCATAGGCGGGAAGCAAATGCGGCAGAGACGCCGGAACCCGAGATTGAGAATGCGCATCCCCAGATCCCGGATTTTTCGTTTGTGAGTGGCGCTCAGCGTGCGAAGGAGAGGGAAGACATATTGGTGGAGGGAGGAGCTGCTGCGCAGGAGGATGATGTGACACTTGCGCCGGCGTCGGAGCTTGAGCAGAAATCCGCGTCGGCCTCCATGGGCGGGGAAGGCGTTCTCCACGGCCGCATTGAGAAACCCCCCCAGTGGCGAAAACGCTCCAAGAAGGCGACGCAGCAGAAAAACGCCAGGAGCCGAAAAGCGCACAGGAAGAAGCGGAAAGAAGAGCGGAAGAACCGGCGCGAAGGGAGAGAGGGAAGAGAAGGTGGTATGGTGTCCGGCGCGACGCGGGAGAATGATGATGATGAAGGGGATGAGAGTGATGAGTGGGATCCGTGGCATCAGGCGAAGGGGCCGGATGCGCTGGAAGATGAAAAGGTGGAATTGGAGTACTGACGATTTACTTATAAGAAGGAAGAAAGCACCTCACCCTAAGCAGGTAGGATTGCAACATACGAGATACCCATGGACTGTCACTTGGCCTGTCTTACGAGGCTAATGAAGAAGGACTGCCCAAATCATCTACTTGGCGGCATGTGTTTTCTGATAGATATATTTTTAAACAAATGATTAATCTCTGCGATAAGCTTATCCATCTGAAAGTACGCGAGAGGACTTGCATCCAATGTGTCTGCGAACTCACGTCGGTTTGGTAGTCTTCATTCCCCCCGACCGATAGCGAAACATCCCCAATTCCTTGTTGAAAGAAATGCCATGATTCATTATGTGGTACCCTCCCGAATCACTCACGCAACCAAAAAGATAGCCCTTCTTACCCAGCCCAAAGATGCCCCCGCCAACGCCATGAAATGCACGCTCTACGCCTGTTCTCCCCTCCTCCCTTCTTTCCTCCTATTCTCTACTCTCCCGTAATACCCCACAATACCCCCACATCAAGCCCTCCTCTTCACAAACCCCTCCAAATCCCCCCTCGTCACCACCCCGAGCACAAACTTCCTCCCCGCATCCGTCACAACCGCAAACTCCTGCGCCCCACTACCATCCACACCCCCCTTGAAAAACGCCTCCAACTCCTCCAACGGCGTCTCCAATGTAATCACCTTGTACCTCGTCCCCCTCCGCCTGAACTTCATCATTGCTTTCTCCACGGGGTCCGAGTCCGACACGATGCCGTCTTTGAGAAGCGATTGCAGGCGCGGGATGCTGATGTAGCCGAGTAAGGAGCGGTCAGTGGGAGAGGTGACGGTGAGGTGCGTGTAGTCGCGCTCGAGGCCGGAGAGGAGGGCGACGGAGATGGGGTCCTTTGGGTGGACGGAGAGGGCGGGAGGTGGGTCGAGGTCTTCGACTGTAGCCTATAAATAACGGATTAGTACATACACGGATTCTGAGACTGCAGATGGGAGTAGGTGGGTGCGTGGTAATCTATAATGTGGATATGCGAAATTGAGGATGTATACATACCCCTCTGTATTTGTCCGCCCATATGGAATTGAAGTCCTGGTTGGTTTGGGTGCCGTTGGCTAAAGGCGCGGAGGTGGATGTTGCTTCCGCCATGTCTTGGAGGTGGGATCGTGAAACGGCCCGGGAGGTGGTGGAGTGTTGTCCGGGTCAGTGAGGGTTGCGCGAGTTCAAAGGTTTGGGAGACTTCTGCGGTGTTGCATCATTTCGCGCTAGGGATGCACGAGCCAGGTGTGAAAGCTTAGGAACAGTCTTTATTTATTTAGGGTGGGGTTCCAAGTAAACAAAAGTAGATCTCTGTAGGAAACGTGAAATAGATAAGTGAGGTAGTTTGTAGGCGTCATATACCTTGGGTTTTCAATCAGTTCCATTGCACAGGACCAGGTATTTAAGGAGCATCCAAGAGCAGAATAGATAGATGCTTCATGTGAAGGCTACAAATGGCGCGAATACACAACATATGTACCACCCGCTAAAGCCAAATTTCCCATAGAGCAGAGTTCCAAGACGCCATGCAATCTTACTGTGCTGTTACCGTAGAGTACACAATCAGGGAATCTGGAAAAGGGGAGAGAACCGACCAAAATGGTCATCAGAAAGAACACAAATCCTTTACCCCAATTTCAGCTCTCATCCCAACCTCTCAGAGCTGACATTCCTCGCAGCCTCAACCAATTCACCCAACCTCTTCTCCATAACCATCCTCCCCTTCAACGTCATCCAGACTTCATGCGGTGCCCTATTAACCGTATCCCACGCGACCAATCTGTCCGTCAGCCCAGCCAGGTCCTTCTGTTTCCTCTCCCACTCCGCATCCGTCCTCGACCGAATCCCCGAACTGATGAGCACATACGGTGTATCCCTCAACTGTATATTCCTCGCCGAAGCGACTTCATTCTTCGTCAAGGAGTCCGCCACCAGATTCTCCTGTAATTGCGCTTTGATGAACTTTCCATTTTGATAGGCATATTTCCCGTAGACGCGGTCTTCCCTCGTGCGACCCTTGAAGATTGCTCCACCCAGCCGCTCGATACCCAGCGGCGATATGACGCCCCAGCCCCAGAGCACGAAGCCGCGCCACGGGCTGCCGATTCGGTGCAGCAAGTCTTCGTGTATGGGGTCAATCAGCATGATGCCGACGACTTGTTTGAGGTGTCGCGAACTGAAAATTCGAGAGACGATGCTGCCTGTACCCGCGCTGACGAGAATCCACGGACCCTCTTCACCTTGCTTCGCAAGAGCTTCTGACAAAGCGTCTGCGGACATGCCCGCGCTATGGGGAGAGGGCGCGTTGTCTGACCATGCGTACCCGGGGCGGTCCCAGTAGCAGTAGCGCGAGATGGTGCCGTTTTGATACGCCGAATATGCCCAGTGCTCGAAGTCGTACTCGGAAGGGTTCTCCCCGGCTTCAAGGATAATGGTGGGATCTTTCTTTCCCGCTGTATAGCTCTCGTTGCCCACGCAGGCCAGATGTACGGCGTACTTGTCTCCGTCGACCAGGATGCGGTCGCCGTACATGGGGAGGGTGGTGTCTCGAGCGCGAAGGCCCAAGGTGCCTGTCAGGAGGATGACGATGATCACGAAGATGATGGCGAAGGCGGTGGCGAGCGTGACGGCGAGCCATTCCCTTACTGAACGTCGTGTTTCCGGGCGTCCTGTTAGGCGCTCCTCTTCTTCTCGCTTGCCCCACGCCACGACCCGGTCGGTGATGATGCACCAGATTGCCATGAGGGCGGCCCAGATTACAGAAGCGATGCCGACCCAGCCTTCCTCGAGTCGAAGGCGCGGGACACTGAGGATGATGATCATGTCTATGAAGAGCAGGACTGCGATGATTGCGGTCGTGATGCGGACGGCCTTTGCGGGAGCGACGAAGAAGATCACGGCCACGAGGAGGTTGCCTATTGTAAGGCAGGTATAGGCAAAGTCAAAGAATCCAGAGCCGCGCGTGTGCAGGCCTGGCGGGGAGACGAATATGGAGACGAGGAGGAGCGCCCACCAGAGGAAGGATATTATCAGGAAGAGGACAGTGAATGCGCGTAGGAAGCGGACAGTCCAGAGGTTATAAGGCGAGACCTGGAGTTGTTAGTCAAGGCTCATAGGTTTTGGTGACGGTCCCCGAAGTTCGTGTAAGGAGTGGGCAATTTGAATATATGGGGCAGCAGTTGACATCTTACCGCAGGGTCATCTGGATCCAAGTAACCATCTGCATGGGGCGGAGGCCTCGGATGATCGAGTAGCCGTGTCCGCTCATTCGGCTCTTGACGTCCATACTGGTCAGAGGGACGACCTTCTTGGGAAGTCTGCTGGCCTTCGCCTGACGCATTCTCGCCTTCGCCGTCTGTATCTCCCTTTGTCCTCCACATACTGATTCCTGCCATGGAGAAGGGGGAAAGTGCTTCGTCACCCGAGAGTGGCGGTCGGTCTCACCGGGCACGGCCTTCGTGGTGAAAAGAAAGGCGATGAGAGAGAGAGTGGGGATAGTAACTGGTCGGTGTTGAGGGGCAATATTTATGACGACGGGAGCTAGCTGCGCGCCTCGACGTCATCGATCGCGGTCATCAGATCTATCTATGCGACGCGTGGGGTACACGCTTCAAGAACCCCACGCCAAAAGGAGGGCGTCTGCTTGTGCGCACCACCTGGACACAGTATCACCGTGTGCCATGATGGAAACACGCATTCGAAGTCAAAGATGTGGATTGAGGGAGAGCTTTTGGCTGCTTCCTCCAATTACACCCCTCCCGCACTTTAAGCTCACTAAGCCCCGCCCTAATCCGCAGCCTCGGAGCCCCTGCACCTAAACCAATCCAGCCTTATTGATTGATCGTACAACACCAAGACTGCGACTGCAACCACCTAAAACCCTGGGCATACAAAGCCTCACCCGACAATGTCTGACCTTGCCAAATCCTTCGCCAAATCCAAACTCGGCTCCCTTCCCCCAATTCCCTCCTCACCCCCTCCAGAAGAGCCCGTCGACCAGACCCCCACCACCGAGGACGACTCCTCTTCCGCCTCCTCCATGTCCAGTACCGGCACCGTCATTCCCAATCCCTCCCTTCGCCCTGCCCCGCCCATCCACTGGTCTTCCTACTTCGCACAGGAGTTCTACCTAGAGACACACTCCCGCGCAGACTCGAGCCACGCCAAATTCCACGTATACTTGACGCCCCCCAAGTCGTCGAAGGCGCCGTTGCTGGTGCTGCATCATGGCGCAGGGAGCTCGGCATTGAGTTTCGCGTTGTGTGCTAAGGAGCTGCAGAGGTTGTTGCCAGAGGCGGGCATATTAGCGGTGGAGGCCAGAGACCATGGGAGCGTGGTGTGGGACAAGGAGGGGCATGTGGACAGTGATCTGTCGATTGATACCCTAAGTCAAGATTTAGTTGACATGTTGTCATTGACGGCGACGCGCATGGGGTGGGCTGAGCTGCCGACAGTGGTGCTGGTGGGACATAGTCTGGGAGGGGCTGTCGTGACGAATACGGCGAGTAAAGGCTTGTTGGGGGATAAGCTGTTGGGGTATGCGGTTCTGGACGTGGTCGAGGGATCGGCCATGGAGGCTTTGAAGCTCATGCAGGCCTACTTGAAGAGTAGGCCGCAGACCTTTGCGACGCTGGAAGCAGCTGTGGAGTGGCATATGCGGTCGAGGACCCTGAGGAATCCCGAGTCGGCGAGGGCCAGTGTACCGAGCTTGCTGCTGCAGACGCCCGAGGGAAGGTGGAAGTGGAGGACTGAGCTCTCAACCACCGAAGACTACTGGGAAAACTGGTTTTCCGGCATGAGTTCAAAGTTCCTGGGAGGCAAGGGCGCCAAGTTGCTGATCTTAGCTGGCACGGATAGGCTTGACAAGGAACTGATGATCGGGCAGATGCAGGGTTGGTGTTTTTCATTTCCATCAAGTTCTTCTACTTACAAGACTCTAGGTAAATTCCAACTGCAGGTATTCCCTACTGCAGGCCACTTCCTGCAAGAAGACCTCCCTGAAAAGACCGCAGAGGTGGTCGTCGAGTTTGTGAAACGCAACGACCGTAGCACCCTCGTGCTGCCGCCTAAGGTTTCCGATCTACTCGCGCAGGGCAAGAAAGTATGAGACCTGCCGAATTGCGTCGTCCACCAGCATATATAGCTGCACGAGTCGCCGGTATGTTCGGCCAGATGATACCGGCAGTCGAGGCCAGGAAGGGTTGATAATTGGTGACGGATCGAAGCCTAGTTACCTGGGAGTGACATGGCTTTCCGGAGTAAGGAGCAGGGCACCTCCACCGACATGGTGGTGGGTTCCGAAGTGGTTTGGGTTAATTATGAAGTGTCTGCATCTTCCTCGGGAGCTGCTCCGCCATCGCCCTTCGGCTTGTGCTTCCGCTTCCGCTTCCGCTTCCCGAGTTCTTCACCTTCTGCAGCGGAGGCAGCGGTAGCGTTTTCGTCTGGCTGACGAGTCTCGTTTGTCTTGGCTGGCTTTGGCTTGACGGCCTCCCCTTCTCGAGGCCCATCTGCCTGCCGCTTCTTAGGTTTCCTCACACTCAGTGGGTTGGGACCCTTGGGACCCTTGACCCGCTTCTTCTTCTGCGGTCTGGCATCCCCGCCAGATTCTGCAGCAATAGACTCAGTTCCGTGCTCTTGCGCGCCCTCATCTTCGTCATCCCGCTTCCGCTTCTGATTTGCATCCGCACCACCTCTTCTGCCTTTAAGTCCCATCTTGAACTTGGCTCGTTCTTCCCGCTCCCGCTGCTCTTCAGTCGCCTGCGCCATAGGCTCCAGTATCACAACACTCTTACTCACGTACACGAGCGGCACACCTGGGATCTTCCGCAGGGCAGCTCTGATCTTCGGATCCTGTGTCGCAACCACATAACGATGTTTATTCGTGCCCGACCCCTTCGGATCCACGCACTGCGAGATACACTCCAAACTCGACAGCGGCTCCTCCAACTCATGATGCCCGCACCGTCTCCGTTCATAGGTTTTCGCCTGCAGGATGAGCTGCTCGTCCTTGGGCTTCGCGTTGTACAAATGGCGCATGTCGCATTGCGTTATCATGGGTTTGACTTCGCCGCCTAGGACGCCTTTGAGGCGGCCTACGAGGTCGATTTTCTTCTGCGCCGTCTCTTGCAGGATCGCCGAGTCGAGGAGGACTTGGTAGGGTTCGCGGAAGGAGAATTGTATCTCGTATTGGTGCATGAGCTTGCGATATTTCTGTTCCGACGTTAGGGAAATCACTGAATGAAAAGCGAATTTCTTTTGTTTGTACCTTTGCGCGTTTGCCCCTCATCGTGAAATGTCGTGTCTGAGTAAAAGCGTTGTTGCAGAGAGCTCTTCACAGTTCCAATTCAGATTTCAGAAATTCGGGACCCATGGCGTCGGAGGTGGTTCGTGCGCGCGCCAGCGGACCTCCGAGTGCATGGTGATGACCCTGGCGCTTTGTCCCCACACTACAGCGAGGTCACGGATTTGTACGTCGTACCTCGTACGCTCTTTCTACTTTTCGATATTCCGAAGCACGAGTTTACTAGCCGCTTTCTACGAATTCAGTTTTCAATCTCTCGGTTCTAGGGTGCTCAGAGGGGAGCGCAAACACTCCGATGCAAGGGTCATAGCTTTGGATTATGGAGAACGAGGCCGCTTCCGGGTCCCCTATTGAGGAAAAGAAGAAAGAGGAGAAGGAGAAGGAGAGGCCGAGGCAGGAGGAGGTGGAATACGATGATTTTGGATTGCCTATAAGGAAGCCCCGGCCGAGGAGCCTGGAGGAGGAAAGTTCAGGGGAGGGGGACGAGGAGCAGTTTGTGGATACGGTGGACATAAGATCGGGGAGTAGGGAGAATGTTGCCGTACAAGAGAAGGCTACCTTGGTGAAGGAGGAGGCCGAGAAGTCGGAACCGCTGGTGAATGGCCGTAAAGAGGAGGGGGATGAGAAGGAAGAAGAGAAGGGGGAGCAGTCAGGGGAACATTCAGGAGCACGATCCACCCAGCAGATACAGCCGATTGAGGAGCCAATACCACATAAGGAGTCTCCTGAAAGCGAACCGCACGCCGATACTTCTGAACTTCACAAACCGCCCCCTGAAAGCTCAAGCGCACATGCCCGCCAGAAAGCAAGCATCTCCGAATACTCGCACCAACAGCTCGCGATATCAAACGACGCGGAGGGGAAGAAGAAGGATGACCTCGACGATGAGTGGCAGACCATGCCCGCATACGCGCATTGGGACATGTACGACGATGATAATAGGCTTATTGCTAGAGAGAATGCGGAAGAGCTGGAGGACATGAGCGGGTACGGAAACGTAGGAGGGGCTGCTAAGGGATATACGCGGGTGACCATGGACGACGACGTTGAATCTGTCACCAGCATGGACGAGAATACAGCATACCTTTTTAAAGAGCACAAGGGAACTGCGGTCTTGGAGGATGACGAGGACGAAGCTGCAAGGGACCCATTGTCACAGATGCAGACCACAAAGAATCTTCTTACAGAAGGGCAGCGCATAGCATACGTTGGGCTAGTGCGACTAGCTATGGTGGAGATGGAGAATCGGGTGAACCAGCTAGAAAGGACCAAGGGATCCAAGAAGATCATTGAACTCACGCTAGAGACAACAAAGATGTGGGCGCAAAAGATGATGGTTCGCCTGTACGCGCACATGGACATCGACGCTTCCGAACAAATCATGATCGAGCAGCTTAAAGAACACGGAGTCGTGCCATCAGACCTCACGCCGGCGTTGATGCAGAATGCGCGAGTTAAGAATCCTGTAGTGGAGGAGACTACCTCTTCTAGAGCTTCTCTCTCATCACCACAACCTGATAAGGAGAAGTCGGAATCTCTTGCCGAGTCCTCAATGTCACCATCACCTCCCCCTTACCAGGATCATGAAGGGGATGACTTGCCCAAAGTCCGAATACCTTCCCAGTTGGAGCAGACTAAAAACTTGGACATTGACCTGCGCTGGACGGTGCTCTGCGATCTCTTCCTCGTCCTCATAGCAGATTCTGTCTACGACGCTCGTTCAAGACAGCTCATGGAGAATGTGGGCAAGTCGCTAGGGGTCGACTGGCTTGAGATATGTCGGTTCGAGAAACGAGTGACAGATGCGCTCGAGATGCAAGAAGAAGCGAGCAAGGAGAACTGGAACGAAGAAGAGCACATGGAAGACAGGAGGAAACGGGCTCTGAAAAAGCGTCTGGCTTTCATGGGACTGGCAACGGTTGGTGGTGGCCTTGTCATTGGCTTGTCCGCTGGCCTACTCGCCCCAGTCATCGGTACAGGTCTTGCTCTGGGATTCAGTACTATCGGTGTGGCTGGAACGGGTACTTTCCTCGCCGGTGCCGGTGGTGCCGCTATCATCACTACGACTGGAGTCCTAAGTGGCGGTACGATTGCGGTGAGGGCAGCGAATCGGCGGACGGGTGCTGTCAAGACATTTGAGTATCGGCCGCTGCACAATAACAAAAGGGTGAATCTCATCGTCACTGTGTCTGGATGGATGAGCGGTAAGGTCGATGACGTCCGTCTGCCGTTCAGCACAGTGGACCCGATCATGGGCGATATCTATTCCGTGCTGTGGGAGCCGGACATGCTCCGGAGTATGGGTGACACCATCAATATTCTGGCCACAGAGGTAAGTTTCACGAGTACCTGCTGACATTTCAACGCTCAAGATCCTAATCAATAAACGCAGGCTCTTACGCAAGGCCTCCAACAAGTTCTAGGCAGCACCCTTCTCGTCGCTCTCATGTCCGCCATCCAGCTCCCTGTAATCCTCACCAAGCTGTCCTACCTAATCGACAACCCTTGGACGGTGTCCCAAGCTCGAGCGGATATGGCTGGGCTCATTCTTGCGGACTCGATCATTGCGCGGAATCTAGGAACACGGCCAATCACCCTCGTAGGCTTCTCACTCGGTGCAAGAGTCATCTTTGCCTGCTTGAAGGAACTTGCACACCGGGGAGCTTTCGGTCTCGTCCAGAATGTGTACCTGTTCGGGACCCCGGTCGTCGCGAAGAAGGATGAGTACACCAAACTGAGAGCGATAGTGCCAGGACGCTTCGTCAACGGCTACGCAAGAAATGACTGGATTTTGGGTAAGCGGGATGCAGGTATATGATACAGCTTCCTCTCTAACTGGTGTAGGCTATCTCTTCCGAGCAACAAGCGGCGGTATAATGAGAGTGGCGGGGCTGGCCCCTGTCGAGGTACCCGGTATCGAAAACATCAACGTGACGGAGCTTGTACCGGGACACATGGCCTACAGAGCAGCCATGCCGAAGCTACTACGCGAAGTCGGGTGGACTGTCGAGAGCGACGAATTCACCGAAATCGAAGACCCAGACCCTGACAACCACGAGCAGCGGCAGCGGGAGCTCATCAACGAGATCGAGGAAGCAAGGAAGGAACTCGAGCAGAAGCCGGAGAAGAAAGGATTCAGCTTCTGGCGGAAGAAGAAGGCAGCGAAGAAGGACTGGGAGGTGTATGACGAGCACTCGCAGAAACCGATTGACAAGGATCAAGATACGGCGGCTATTGCGGAGAATCCGGTCATTTTTGATTTGGATGCGATAAGAAAGGAGGTTGCGGCATTGTCCGCTGAAGGCATCGAGGTCAAGGAGATCCAATCGACGCTGCCGCCGATGAAGATCGACATGGCAGCGGCGCAAACGAATCCGCATTCGACACTGCGGGAGACGAAGAGCTACAACGACAGCATCGGACAACGTTCGGCTACTCTGGATGCAGATAAGAGCCCATTCTCACACTCCAATGGCGCCGGTGGCGCTTCATCTAGAAGAAGCTACGACGAGTACGACGAGTACGACGAGCATACCGACGGCGGCGTGACAATGACATTCGACACCTCGTTCCACGATTCCCCCGGCAGACCCATACCCCGCTCTTCTACGTCTCTCGAGTCTTCCTCGTACAAGGAGGCGGGTATGCCGACCTGGGACACGCCTTCGGAACGGCCGCCGCTCAAACCTGCAGTGACGGAGCCGAATCTGAATCTTACGCCGGGTTACAATGCCTGGGCTGATGAGTACGATGATGATGAGTTTGGGAAGGAGCGGGAGATGAAGATGACGTTTGAATGAATGATTGATTGGGCTTTATTCCTATCTATGGAGTTGATGGTTGGTTGGGACTTGGTTCGCGTCTGTGCTGGTGCATCCGCATGAGCGTTCTGTGTTGTTGTGCGCGCATTCATGGGAGGGCATTGAGGCGTTCTTCTTTTCTTTTCTTCTCTTTTATATGTTTCTCTCATTGGTGCATGGGTGGGAATGAGACGGGAGGGCATGTGATTGTTCTCCGTTTCTGGAAGGAGTGTCTTGGTGCTGCGGGTGTCTTGTGGAGTAGAACTCTTGGGCATTGGCCATGGTGTAGAACTGGAGTAGAGGTGTAGATGCATATAGCTGCTCATGGTCATCGAGTCGATGCCGAGAAGGATCAGAATATATAATACATGAAATGTATATCTGGAAGATGCTTGATCAATGGAGAGAAGGTGATCCACGTGATCCGACTCTCTTCTTCTTCAGCGTGTACCCCTTTCGGGTACGCCGGCGCAAAGTACATAGGTGTAGATCTGGTGTCTCTGCATTAGAGTTCCCGAATCGATCTTTTATGAGAATGGATACTCTAAGCAGTATCGATCTCTTCGCTTCCTCACACCGAATTACACGATGGCAAACATAGTCATACCGTACTTCGATGCCCCATACTTTTTCTTCTCGCTGCATTCCAGCTCATTGAATCCAATCACATCTCGCCACACTGGGCAATGACGACGTCCTGAATGGGGCGGTCGTTGACATTGGTGCGGGTGTTCTCAATCTTGCGCACAACGTCCATGCCGTCGATGACCTTGCCGAAGACGACGTGTTTGCCGTTGAGGTGCGGGGTCGCGGCGCAGGTGATGAAGAATTGGCAGCCGTTGGTGTTAGGCCCGCTGTTCTGGGGAAGTTAGTAAAGGTTCAAACAGGGGGTGTTTGCTGTGGGAATGGGGATTGATGGAAGGTAGATGAGAGATGAGAGAGGCCACTTACGGCCATTGAGAGCAGGCCCGGCCGGTCGTGCTTGAGGTCAAAGTTCTCGTCGGCGAACTTGTCGGAGCCGTAGATGCAGCGGGAGCCGGTGCCGTCGCCGTTGATGAAGTCGCCGCCTTGGAGCATGAAGTCTTTGATCTGCAAAGGGTCAATACCAGTTTTCAATAGTTTCAATTTTCCCTTCTCTCATTATATCTTTTTCTCGAAAAGAAACGGGTCCGGTAAGAAATGCTTGTAGCGATATACAGTCCATTGATACCACTGGGAAGAAGGCAGGGATTATCACTCACCACACGATGGAACTTGCAACCTTTGTAGCCCTGCGGGCGACCTTGGTTGTTCTTCGACTCGCCTGTGCAGAATTGACGGAAGTTTTCAGCCGTCTTGGGGACTATGTTTTTGAAGAGCTCCATCTTAATCCTGCCAAGCTTTTCCCCTAGACATGATGGTCAGAGAGAATGGAGAGCAGTACTAGCATTTTGCCAAGGATAGCCAATTGCATGCATGGTGTATGCTGGACGCGTGGATATCGAAACTCTGCCCGATAAAATGAAAAACAAACGTGATGGGTAATAATGCACGTGTAAGCAGAACATGCAGCACTGCGTACCTCCCAATGTAATGTCGAAGAAGACGATGGGGTTCGGCTCGTCGGCGGCGGACATGGCTGGAGAGCAGGTTGGGGCAGTGCAAGCAAATGCAAATGATATGATATGCAGCTTGTCAGACGTGGATGACGTTGGCTATCTATCCTATTGACCGGATCGATGTGTCGAGGGACCACAACACGCAGCGAACGGTAGACAGAGTTTCTCTTGCCTTGCAGGTCAGGTGGTGCGTTTTGTGGACTCGAGGGGTCTGGGGTGGTGCAGGAAGCAGGGCAGTGGGCAGGACAAGACTGGGGGCACAAATGCTTCACTGCCAACACCCGGCTTGGCGCTGGAGCATCTTTGTCACTTGCATGGTGCAGAAAAGACTGAAGAGAATGGTGGTTGTTGTTGTTCTTCTTGTTGTTGTTACCAGTTGGGACTGGACAAAGGACGCAGTTGTAGAGGAGTATTGTTGGACTGTAAGGTTAGCTCCATTACTGTGTATTCACGACCTGAGGGATTATTACGGCGTCTGATTGTCTGCACCGTTTTCGGCGTTTACGGTCTACCAGCCGGTGACGGAGGCCCACGTTTGCCGCTGCGCTGTCGCGGGTAGATATCCTTCCTTACCATGGTGGCTTTTTCTGTCCCTTCGTCGGCTGGTTGCTATTACTTTCCCATAGAAATCCTTCATTCACCTTCCCTCACTCGCACGCACCGCCGCAACTCGCCGCATATACCACATTCAACCATAACATCATCACCTAATAAAAGGAAGCTGACCTGCACACTGAGCACAATAACAAATAATAATAATCCTCTGGTAATTGTCATCCTCCACCATTCCGGGCCATCTTAGCGAAGTCTTGCAACCCCGGTCCGCCCGTATCTTGCGACCATCCCTGAGCCGGTTGGGCCGCTCCACCCAATCTCCACTCCCCTCCTCTTCCCCGGCCACCATCCATCTTCATCCACTTCCAACTCTCACGACCTAGTGACTTCTACTACTATACCGTACTTCTGCCTCTTATCCTCACCGACCGAGGGCATGGCCACCACAGCCAGCATTGCACATAACCACTCGTAGTCCACCCGCGACCGCAACTTTGTGCTCGACCGACCCCTTCCCTTCACCCAGGCCCGCCCGCCGACCCCTTCAGCTCTTCGCCACAACCGTCATTCACCCTCAACTCACGTCCGCTTCCTACACAAGTCCCTCGCTCCTCTACCAGACACGTCCTCCCAGCGCCTCGCTCGCCCCGCGATCCACCACTCCATTATTCGCCGACCCCTACCTTCATTCGCCCGTGTCGAACAAAGAACACAATACCCGCATCCGTGCGCCCAACCCGTTCGCGACCCATCTAATCTCAGCCTTCGCTCCCGCCCCTCTCATACTCTGTAAATAGCTGCGACAGGGACCCAGCTGTCCCGTACCACGCTTGACACCCACCGCCCATCCTTTCCCCTATGGAACGTCATAGGACATAATGTCTGCATCAGCTTCAGCAACAACCGCCGTCGTGCCTACGACGAGCGCTCCTTCTTCTAGCAACAATGGTGGTGGCCCGACCAGCTCGCCTTTGCTCTTCTTCGTTGCTTTGGGCTTCGGTGTTGTCTTCACCAATCTCTGGTACGGCTTTCCGTCATTGTGCTACCATTCACCCTCAGCCTAACCTTTCCCAACAGGATCATCGTAGGTGTCAAGTACTGCTTCCGCTACAACCAGCGCAATCGAGCCGCTCGCGCCGCTGCAGATGGCGAGCCCATCGATCTGGCCGCCATGCCGCGCCCGCACCGGAGAAGAAGAGAGAAGAAACTCATGACAATGGACGAGGTCAATGAGCGCTTTCCGCTTACCAAATATAAGCAATGGAAGGCCACGCGGGAAAACAACGGCCTACCTGCTGCCGGTGGAATCCAGACTGCTCCGACGAGCCGGGCTGCCAGCCTGAAGGAGGTCGAGGCCACGACATCCCCTGATGAGGATTCCGCATCGAGTCCCAGGCGTGAGACCACTCTGGAGCTTGCTCGAGAGCATCGTGAAGCAGCCTCGGCCGCCGAAAAACAGGAAACCCACCCAAATGATGGTGCACAGCAGAAGGAGCAGACCGTGGAAAAGGATGACAACACAGCCGCTTCGCTGGAAAGGGTCCGAACAGGCGAAACAACCACGGAGCGTTACCAGCCTCGCAAGGGTTCGGCCGCAGGACATGATCACGATGGCGAAGACTCTGACGACGAAGACGATCCTATTCGTACAGCAGTGGCGCCGGAGATGCTCGCCGAGCCTGGAGATAACTGTGCCATCTGTCTCGACACGCTGGAGCACGATGACGATGTGCGAGGTCTGACCTGCGGGCATGCTTTCCATGCCAGCTGCGTGGACCCTTGGCTCACTGGCCGCCGTGCATGTTGCCCACTTTGCAAGGCTGATTACTATGTACCAAAACCTCGTCCGGAATGCGACCCGGCCGAGCAACTGCCATCTGGCCGCCGTACCACTGGTCTCAGGTCTCCTACCTCGCCTCAGGCTGCCTGGACCGGCGGTCGAAGCAATCCCTTCTCTCGATCCCGCGTTGTATACATCGCCCCTCCCCCTATCCAGAGCGGAAACAACACGAACGGGGGTCGTAACAACCTCCCATTCGGCCTATCCAGAGTTTTCAATCCCAATCCTGCACGTCAAGCCCGTGCAGCCGACAGTGGTGAGGCGCCGTCTGGGACGAGTGAGCCCACAAGTTGGAGGTCAAGGCTGGGGGGATCAAGGCAGGGGGCCCCCATCCTCAACAACAGCTGGTTTGGCCGCAATCGGCGAAATGAGGCGGCAGGAAATGCCGCTGAGACTCGACCCACTCCTGCGCAGCTTGAGGCTGGCAATCGGTAGCCCAGGTCTGCCATTTCGCTCTCATGTTTCATTTACTCCTATCTCGTCATAGCGTCCTGATCCCCTCTCACGAAGTCTCCCTCGATTCTCTCTAGCTCTCTTATTCCTGCGCAAAGTTCGAATTTGCTCTTTCATGGTTTCTGAATAGCGTTTCTGTATCCAACGGCGTTCATTTCTTGGGGGGAAATCAAGTATGCCACACCTAACTGCTCGGTCCATATCGGTCCCTTCGACCGTACCTTTTTTGGAGCATCTATACATATGATGGGATTATCTGGCTTCAACTCCCTGCTCGATGTTTTCCTCTTTTCTTAGCCCGGCGTCTCTTGGGCGATGGCTGCATCATACCCTTGTATGCTTCTGCGGATGGCATGCGGCAGAGGGGTTGGTAGGACTCTGGCTCATCTTGGTGTACATAGCGCAGACAGATCTATACGCTGAATGTAGCTGTACATACTCTGATGCTGTCATCTTGGATGGCTCTAGCGTGTCTACGGTGCCGTTAGATACCTGGGTTCCTGTTTGTGTGTATGGATATGGGTATGGATGGGCGCTCCTGCCATGTTCGTTCACAGCGCCAAGCCCTGGAGGAGAAACAATCTCATGCTTCCTCTTTCCCTCTCTCTCATACAACTGCTTTCGTCTCTCCTACGTGGGTACTTCCTCCGGGTCCTTGGCCACTTTGACAGAAATCATTCCAAGTCTCCAATCGTTCAATCCTCCATTCAGGATGCTTGTGCATACCTTCATCCCATGAGAGAGAAGAGAGAAGAGAGAGCTACTCTCTGTTGCTGCATGAAATATTATCCACCTGAGTCAAACTCATACTTCACTCGAAGCACAGGCAAGGCGGAGTCGTACATTTGCCAGTAAGGATCAGATCCCTCTTATCATTGCTCTGGGGTATGCCAGCCACTGACTCCACGCAGGACCCAAATACTCCTCAATGATACCAAATATATACGTCCCCGCGTCCTTGACCTGCCAAAGCCCCCTTGCGTAGTGCAATAATATCGCATAGTACCCCAACACCACTAAAGTCTCCGGCCTCTTAGCAGCCAGTAACCGCGTGAACTGGGCTGGTACCAACATAGTCCACGAGAAAACCATGTGGTATCTGCTCTGTTCGGTTGCAGCCTGGCCGTCTGCCGTGTTCGCAGCAAGAATCGCGTCAAAACCAACCTGCAGGTAGCGGATTGCCGTGAGACAAGCTTGTCTTTCTGCTTCATCCGTGTACTCCTGATTGTGTCCGCAAACATCTTGTTCCGAGGAGAACAGCATCTTCAAGGTCTCGCACTCACTGCCTCTTGGCTCACGTGAGGTCAGACCCGCACTTGCAGTCAGGACCGGTTCCAGCCGTTCGTTCTGCAAGAGCATCGGCCATGCCGTCCTGGCGATGGTGTAGATGCCCCTGTGCATCTCAATACAGTGCGTGTAGTGCGAAAGGAACGGCTCTAGTCCCCCTGCCGGCCGCTTCGCCAGAGTGTCGGCGAGATGATGGTGTCCCAAGACGGAGGAGAAGAGGAGGATCGGCACACAGTTGGATTGGTTGAGGGGAACAGGAACGCTCCCATGGCAGGCCTCCTTGAACAGTGCGATAGCACGAGTTTGAAGGGCAATGGCCTGCTGGGTGTATATCCCGCTTGCCTCGGACGCTGCGCCATCGGTAGAGGGAAAAATGGAGGGCTCGTGATGCACATGGGCGAGATGGCGGGCGGAGAAGGCCAACAATGCGTGCAAGAGGTAGGGGTGCGAGAGGCCGATTTCGAGGCCGTAGGTTATGCCGCCGGCGTGATCTGGGACACTGTCACCTAGAGTGAAGAGTTCCTTTGTTGTGAGGAGATGGACGATGAGGGCGGTGTGCGTGAGGTTGACGGGGGAATAAATCGAGGCCGTCAATCCGCAGTCAGTGTTTGTTGCTTCAGTGATTACCGGGGCTCTGGAAAGCCGGTCAAACTGGTTCCCGCTCGCTGGATCGTCAGTGGAGGCTTCTCCTTGGTGGTCACGATTTCGCTCCATGATCCCCACGCTGGGACTGGTGGATCGGGACTGCGGAGACGCCCCGGGGGTTGGGAGGGTCTGCCTCCCCAGGATGCTGGAAGAGTAACTGCATTCCCGTTCGGCAATCTTGCAAAGAAGACAGATGGGACGACCGCCATCACACTGAAAGCCGGAAGGTCAGGAAAGGGACTCGAGAGGTCGGAAAGGGCATTCACCTTGACATGTCGTCGCTTGCTGCAGTCATGTTAACCACAGTCTCACAATTCCGACAATGGGCGCTCTCCCTATCAACGTACCATTCCAAACAGCCCCCTCGGGACTTTTTGTGACTACGGCGTTGCATGTCTTTGCAGGTTCACTGGCGCCAGGAACGATGGGACGGGATCAATACGCGGACTTCTGACGACTAATATGAGAAAATTGGGCCATATGCTGCGCCTCGCCCGGCCATGCAGCCAACTTGGTATCCATTCCGCAATCCTCTGACAGACTTGGCATCCAAGTGGAAGATCGAAGTATGGTCCCACTAACGTCCACCAGGAGTGAGCGGCAGGGTCCTTTCTGGATCAGTCCCGAAAGGGATGCCTGGGACTGGATTGTTTAGGGACGTAAGTGCCAAGGATATACCAGTGCTGACACCAATAGCAAGCAGCGTAGTAGGTGAATAGCCGACGTCACGTGCCGGGAAAGTTGAAGAAATCTGCCAAGGTCTTACTCGAACCCCTGGAATACGCGTATTCGGAAGCTTCCGGTCTGAGGCTTCATCCGTCTTCGACCTTGAAAGCACCAGTTTTCGATTTCATGCGAAAGTTCGATACCTTTCGCAGGGACTACAAACCTACTGTGCATGCGCTGCACAGGTCGCCCACCCATTATGCGGGCATGTAAAGTCTTGGATGGCCGACCTACGCGTCATCCACGACCGTCGCTGGCTCTTCTTCAACCTTTTATATATATATCTGATGAGGGAGTTGTAACGGTTTCTCCAAGATCTGGTGGTCCTTGCATACGCGTGTCCAGGAACTGTCTACCCTTTGAACGGGAGTCTCATATAAGGAGTTGGAAGCTGGACCTCTCGAATCGCATTTCACTTCTTCACGTCTTTTCCAGTCATTATATCATTTTGCATTCGTCTCGCATTATTCCCTTTGTCAAATTCGCTGGCCTTGCTTTCCTTTTCATCTTTTTTGTCTTAGTCTTACAACCTTATCTTATATCCTCGTCATGCCAGAACTAAAACCATATAAGGGGTCCTACTACCTCTGGGACTACATTCCCAACCTTTGGGCGGCCCTCGCTTTCGCCATCGTCTTCACCTTGCTCACAGCCATCCATGCCTGGAAGATGTACAGGACTCGCCTCTGGTACTGCTCACTGTTCGTCATCGGCGGCGTCTGTACGTTCACCCTCGCCCCCTTCCCTTCCCTAAGCTAGTTCCAACCCCAACGACAGTACGACGACGAAGTCCTCTTTACTCACGCCTCCCAGTTGAAGTCATCGGCTACCTCTTCCGCATCGCCGCCCGCTACGACACCTCGTCCCTCCCACTCTCCATCCTGCAGTCCGTCTTCCCTCTCCTCGCACCCATCCTCTTCGCCGCCTCCCTTTACATGGTGTACGCGCGCGTCGTCCGCTCATTGCACGCCGAATTCCTCTCCATTGTTCCCTCCCGCTGGACCACGATCATCTTCGTCGGGGGCGATTGGTTCTGCCTGAATGTGCAGAGCTCGGGCGCAGGGCTGCTGGGTAAGCCCAAAAATGCGAAGATTGCGGAGGCGATTATTGTGGCGGGGCTGGGGTTGCAGATCCTCGTGTTTGTAGCGTTCATGGTGCTCTGCTCGCATTTCCACGTACGGTATCGGCGTCATGAGAGGGAGAAGGGCTGCTCTCAAATCAGCGAGGCCGTACCCTGGCAGGCCATTCTCAATATGTTGTACGGCACCTCGCTGCTCATCCTCGTGCGCAACGTCTTCCGCATGGTCGAGTTCATCATGGGCCAGGATTCGTATCTGTTTGAGAATGAGTGGCCGGTCTATGTGTTTGACGGGGTGTTGATGGGTCTGGTCATGGCGGCATTTTGGTGGTGGTTTCCTGAGGGGTTGGAGGAGGGTGGTGGTGGGTGGGAATGGATTCGGAAGAGATGGGGATGGGGGAGGGAGAGAGTGCACAGTGAGGATCGGATGGAGTTGAGGGCGAGGGAGGAGGGGGAGGTGGAAGATAGGCGGTAGCCTGTGGGGATTACCGCGTCCGGGATGGGCCGTGCTGGGCTGGCGTTAAGTTGGAGTTGAGGGTATGATAGATTCCGCCTGGGTTCATTGTACTCGGTGGTTGGCGAGGTAACTTTTTTCATTATACACTTGTCGAGTCTACGTCTGTTATGTGGATATATTGCATATAGAAGGTACCTTGGGAGGCTGTTGTATCTGCGGTGGGACTGCTTTGCGGTTTATGCTAGCTAGCGTTTCGTGGACGTGCATGGCCGTTCATTTGTGAGGGTAGGCTGCGGGAGGGAAGGTGTGCAGCTTAATGGTCTTTCACCAAATCCAACGAATATTCTAACTTTGGTTCCGTGGTGTCGGAAGGGAAGATGTTGACGACATAAGCTCTCACTTGGCCGGCCGATTTGCTGTACTCTGGACGAGATATAGCCCAGTCATACGACACTGACACCGCGCTGGACTGACTGCGCTGCGAATACACAGTACATACGTACTTCCACTGACGCGATAACAAAATCATCCTTTTTCCGATTCTCAACGCACTTCGCTTACAAACTCCATCAGAAGTTTTCCAAGAGGTGGTATATACAATAGGAAAAGTACTCTCTCTGCCCGCAACTTCGAAGCCTTCATTCAATAGTAGTTTTAGCCAAGAAAAATCCGGTTGGAAGGACGCGCTAGCAATCCAACAGCCACAAACACACAAACAGAGCTAGGTACGTAAGGTAAGGTATGTATGTATGTACTAGAATCCTGGATGCCGATGCTGATGCCGATGAGAAAATGTGTCATGCCAGTGTGCCAACGCCGTCGCTAATCAAGAACAAGACCGAGAGCTTTGTAAGGAACCAAGAACAAGCGCCAAGAACAAAGATGAAGAGAGGAATAGAGGACGGGAAGTACCCGAATCGACAAAGGAGATGCGGAGGCGATGTGGTGTCGTAAGGGATGGGGTATCCAAAGATCCAAAGCGTAGTAGTGAAGAAGAAAAGGAAGAAGAAGCCGAACCTCTCAAGCCCAAGCTTCAATGTGAACGCCGCACTCCATATCCCAAAACAACGCCCATCAAGCTCCATTCCAAAAAGGCCAGCGGCAACGGATTACCTCCCCCCACTACTCCCTCTCCATCAACACCCTGATCTTCTCGTAAAAACTCCCCGCATACCCCCTTATCTCGTCCTCAGTCGGCATCCCCCTCTCGCGATCCCCGCACCTCTCCGCCACCCTCTGAATGATCTGGCCGAGTAACTCCTGGCTAATCATCAGATCCGGGTACCCATTCTCCGGATACAGAAACGCATCCCTCTCGCTCAGCAGCTCCGCTATCGAAGGCCGTAGCGCGGGGTCCCGCTGCAGGCACGACTGCAGCGTGTGACGCAGGCCCTGGGGGATGCGCACGTTGCCGATGCCGCGGGTGGGGAATTCGATGGCGTAGTTAGGATCGACGATTTTGAAGACGCGCGCCATTTGGTTGGGGATGTGGGCGAAGGGGGGCCGGCCGTAGACCATTTGATACAAGATGCAGCCGAGGGACCAGACGTCGCTCGGTTTGCCCAGCTTCATCATTTTCCCCTGGTGGTGGACGCCGCCTAGCGCTGCCCCGCCGGAGGAGCGATTCGTGTCGATGAGGCTTTCGGGCGACATGTAGTTTGGGGTCCCCACATGCGCGTCTCGATGCACGTTGACCGTGTTGTCGATGTCGATGGCGTTTGCGATGCCGAAGTCGATGAGCTTGAGGCGGCCCCGGACGAGGAGGAAGTTTGCGGGTTTGAGGTCCGAGTGCACGATATCGTGTTCGTGGACGGCGAGGACGCATTCGAGCATCTCTTTCCAGTAGAAGCGGGTGAAGCTGAGGTCGAGGGGGGAGTCGAGGGGGTCGTATTTCATGCGGAGGATGTGGGCCAGGTCGGATTCGCCGAGTTCCATCAACTATAAGAAAAACGTATTAGGTCGGGTTCTATATTGGAGAGGATGAAGGAATGGGAAAGGAAGGGGAAGCAGGGATGACATACGACGCTGAGGATTTGGCGCTGCTCGTCGACTTCCCAGTCGTAGAGCTGGACGACTCTCTCGACGTTGTTGAGTTTTCGCAACAAATCGATTTCGCCCTTGTATCCGCGGACGGCGGATTCATCCTGGTCTTCTAGCTTCACGCGCTTGAGGGCCAGTTGCTTAAAATTTTCCGCCATAACCCTGTAGACGGCGGAGCTGCCTCCCCGTCCTATTCGATCCATTTGAGAGTAGTGTTTTCCATTGACGGTTAGGACGCTTCGCTTTTTCCTTTCCCTTGACTTTGTTGTTGCGGCCCCGGCAGCAGCGGTGGCAGTTTCTAACACGGACATCTTTGGCGGCGGGGGAGGAGGTGCAGGTCTGCGCGGCGTATTGGCACTTAAGCTCTGTAAAGGGATTGGCTTCTCTTGCTGCTCGTGTCTTTGTACCGGTACAGGTGAAGGTTGTGCCGACGGTTTGCTGGGCTCTGGCTCCGCAACCTTCATCACTGATTCCGGCTCTTTCGAATCCGCCCTCATCACCGACATGGGCAGATTCTCCTGGTCCTGCGACGGCGGATGGTCCTCCTCGCTCTGCGGCGTTCTCCTTAACCTTCGCATCGGCGCTCCCCTCAAGGGTACTCTTTTTATGCGCAAACTCGGCGCCGGAGTCACGGTGTCGTGCACCGGGGGACTCGAGGGGGAGCTCGCTCCATTCCGCGAGATCCTCAACTTGGGCTTCCTCCCCGCCGCCTTTTCCGGGGAATTGAGCTCGTTTTGCGCCAGCAGCGCAGTCGTCAATGCACTTAGCTTCATAGGCTGTGGGATTTCGTCATCGGAACTGTCCCCCATATCGATGTTTTGTATCGCTGCTGGCTGCTGCGGCGCCGTCGCCAACGGCGCGTCCGTGGAAGACCTATGCGATCGACCCAGAACAGAAACCTGCAGCGGCGACTCGCGACGCTGCATTGATCGTATCGACGATTGCGAAGACCGTATGCGTCCTGCGCCGCTGTGGTACCTCATTGGGGTGGGAGATGCGGTCGACATTGCGGTGCAGACAGGGCTTTGCGCGTGGGGTGCTCTCTCTTTTCTCCGGCGACGGGCGGCGCTATCTATGATCCAGCTGGTTTGTGGGGATAACGAATGTTGGCGATACTGCTGTTAGCTTTCCATACATAAGGTCCGGATCCGGGGCGGGTTTGTCGTTGTAGCGATGCGAGGCGTGGATTGGGGGCGTTGGTGATGGAGCAGCGCGTGGGTGAGGTCGGTCGCGTGGGTTTGGTTGCTGGGCAACGGCCTCGTCAACAATGGAGACTTGGCGGACGGGAAATTGAGAGTGAACGAACGGCGAATGCTAATGTGAGGATACTGTAAGAATATCTGATAATCACCAAGCCAGTTAAATCCATCATGAGATTAAATTCGCCGACTTTCGTCGTGAACTCTCACCATGGCTGACCTTCACATTTGACAGGTCCGAAGATGCCCACTCATCGTAGTCACAGCAGTAAGACGTGGTGAACAAGAATCGTCAGTCTCGCAGGCAGACATACGATGTCTAGTATATATCTACAAATGATAACTTGATTCGCCGTGCTTATCAGATGCTCAGCGCCCCGATGCGGCCCCCGTGCGTGCAAAAATTCCGCAAACGCCAACCCATGCGAAGTTAACAACGTAAATAGGAAAATTCGAACAAAAGGAAACGATCTTGCGATACTATAAGGCACTGTCTTCAACAACAACAGCCACTACAACAGCAATGTCGTCCGGCTTCCCTCCATGCCAATTCTCCCCTGGATACCACTTCTGCACTTCTCTTGCAAACGGTCCGTCTCTACGGGAGTTGTGACTGGTTTCCTTTGCCTCTTTCGCAATCGCAGTAGCCAATCTCGCCTGCAATGATGACTTATTGGCGTGATGATGGGTTGCGGGTTGGGCCAGTGGGCCCAGAAGAGCACCAACTTCTATCACACCGTTCTTGTCTACCCACGCTCCTAGGTCCACCATGGTCCGGCTGACCACGCCCAGCACATCCTGAGGGCTGAGGTTGTCCCATACTCCATCTGTTGCGAAGACAAGGACGTCACCATGGCGAACGCGGTGGTGCGTGATACTGGCCTCCGTCGGCAAATCGGAAAGGGCGCTGGCTCCTCCAAAGATGGCCATCTGGACCAACATGCGTTGCGGGGTCTTGGACAACTGAAACGGTGTGTTGAATCCGTGCGTCTGCGGCTGCGTTGTATGTCGTACAGCGTTCAATCCCAGGTGCATGAATCCAGAGTCGCCTAGGTTGGCGACTTCGACGTTTCCATCCGGCTCCGCGACAGCCAAGCATGCCGTGCTGCCTCCACCCACAATGTCCCTATCGCGAATGACTTCGTCGTACCCCACTTGAAGCAGGTCCATCGGGTGCAACGACTTTCTGCTACTGGCTCCGTGAGGCCATAATCGTGCGGCGCAAGTCATGTACTCGCACAAGCCGTGCGAGAAGTCAGCAGGGTCAATTCCCGAATCGACCCAGCCCCCAACTCCGTCTGCTACGCCAAACGCAGTGGTTTCTGTTGTCCCCACTTGGCTGTAGAAGAAAGCATCCTGCCCACTCCTGGGACGTTTGCGTTTATCTACGGCGGCTTTGCATTTTCTGATATCCGTAACTTTTTCCCCAATGGTATTGAAAGGCCCCGCCGTGAAAACGTTTCTGTTCGGATCGAATCGTTCCCCTTTCGCCGAGTATGCGGCCGCGACCTGATAGGTAAAGTGCGGCGCTGTGCGCCAATGCTGAGAGGTTGAGTGGAAGGACCGGACTCCTGGGAGGGCAGGACAGGTGTCTCTTATCACCGAACAAGTTGACGGTGAAACGAGTGCCCGCTGGGTATGGAAAGCGGTATGACGCGCCGATATTGGCGCTAATAACGACGAGGCAGACAGGCACACTAGAAGAAGGCTCGAAGATGGGGTCAGTCGTCGTAGTGGAGCCGCAGACGGTGGTGAAAGGCGAGACGAGAGGCCCAAGATTCCAACGAGCATGGCCGCAGCCGAAGCCTAAAAAGGAGGTCAGGAGTCAGTGAGTGACGGTAAAAGGGGGCATTATGTGGTGGTGGGCATGGCGGCGCATTTACCTGAGCCAAGAGTGAAAGGAAGAAACAGAGCTTTTGGGACCAGGGAGAAAGTCGTTCACCGCGGACTGGCGTCATACCGCTAGCGTCCCACTCGGCGCAAGGGCTGAGCAGCGGAGCGGCCCCACGGTGGATCGAAGGCGAGAGAGCGCAGCAGCGCTGATAATTGAGAAGCCGTTGAAGATGGAGAAGGTCTCCATATCATTGCTGCTCCCTTCCCGCAAGTGCGGGTTCAATTCGTAAATGTCCCATCTGTCCTCCGCAAACGCCAGGATTAAGCGAGTCGACAGGCCATCCCCAGAAGTTTGGCTGGTGTGGCTGGTTGGCGTGGCTGATGCACTTCCGCCGGGATAACTTCGGAAACGCTTGGAGCTCTTGCCCAAAACTTAGGAGCTGCTCACGACTTCCGCTGGTGACGACGTTCCACTTTCCAACAACATCCACCCTCAATATGAGTATGCATCCGGCGAGGCAGGCATATGTGGAGGAGGACGAGCCTGCGGTAAGTCAATCAGCCTCCTGTTCCTGCCATCAATAGCACATGATCCAATACCTCTGCCCATGCCGGATCCGGGGCTCTACCGAAGCAACACTGACACACTGTTCAACCAGGGCGATGCCATGGAAGGGATTGACCTTGCCAATGTCCGTAAGTAGCTGTTGTCTTCCCCATGACAACCCTAGTAGATGTCTAACGCCCTTCCCTAGCCATCGACCGCGACCACTTCATGCCCGCTGCCGGCGGCATCCCGAGCGAAAAAGCTTCTGAGCTCATGTCCCAGTTTGAGCGTAAACGACGAGCCGCCCAGATTCACGTACCCACCGCCGACCGCGATGTTCGAGCTAGGCTCCGTGCCATGGGGGAGCCCATTACCCTCTTCGGCGAGGACGCGGCCGACAGACGTGCTCGGTTACGCACCCTGCTAGCAGATCAGGCCGAGCAGGCCGGCGAGGATGGGGATATTCAGATGCAGGAGTCCGAGGCAGCTGCAGCCGACGAGCAAGAAGAGGAGTTCTACACTCAAGGCTCTCAACTGCTTCTAGAGGCGCGGCGGGATATGGCCAGGTTCTCGCTTCCCCGGGCGAAGCAAAGGGTTGCTTTTCAGCGAAACGAGTCGTCCATTCCCCTCAAGACACATATCGCATTCCGCAATCAGATCAAAGAGCGCTTACAAGGATTCGATCTCTACGGGTCGCAGATGTCGGAGCGCCCGGTCGGCATTGTCCGCTTCTCGCCCAGCGGCGAGTATGTGGCGTGCGGCAACTTTGCCGGCCAGATAAAGCTGCTCGACGTCCCTAATCTGGAGCAGAGGAAGGCTTATCGCGGCGGCCACACGGATCGTACCACTGGTATAGATTGGGCACCCGGCGCAACTCTTCCAGGAAGCAACATCTCAACATCCGCTATGAATTTTGCCTCTGGTGGCGGAGGTGGGAAGATTCAGCTTTGGTCTTTGGATGACGACAAGCCGATGAGAACTTTGGAAGGTCACAGTGAGCGCGTATGCAGGATTGCATTTCATCCCTCGGGTCGCTACCTCGCTTCCGCCTCCGAGGACACCACCTGGCGACTATGGGATGTTTCGACGGGGCAGGAACTCATCATCCAAGAGGGCCACTCAAAGGAAGTGTACACGGTCAGCTTCAATGACGACGGATCATTGATTGCAAGCGCTGGCCTTGACAGTATAGGACGTGTGTGGGATATCAGGACCGGACGGGTCATCTACATGATGGAAAGCCACATCAAACCTATCCATGGGCTAGACTGGAGTACCGACGGCTACCGCCTGTTATCTGGCTCCGCGGATGGCTTCATGAAGTGCTGGGATGTGCGGGCCATGAGGGAAACTAACTCAATCGGCGCAAACTCCGGAGGAGTCACTGATCTCCGATGGTATAGAGGGACCGACGGGCCAAGCAGTGGGATCCCCCTGCGCGTAAATGAGAAAGGCGAACTGGTTCCGAAGAAGGCCTCCACAATCGTGGTGTCTTCAGGTTTCGACAAGAGTATCAAGGTATTTTGCGCAGATGATTGGGCCCTCTGCAAAACACTCAAGGGCCACGCCGGGCCCGTCCTCAGTACCGACATCTCCAGGGGTGCCGCTTGGATTGTCAGTGGAGGAAAAGATCGCACAGTGAAGTTGTGGTCCCGGGACGACATGGAAGGCATATGAAAACGGACATCTTTCCACAAGACTGAAGAACAAAACAGCTTGCTAATGGCAGAGAATCCGGATGAGGATTTTTGTTCCCAGCAAGTATCGTACGGCGGGCCCCCAACAATCTCTGACAGTACAGACCTATGTGCGGGCCGAGCCCGTCTTTGATGGGTGACAGGACTTGTCTGGCTTCGGGCTATTGTGACGATTTCTGACCTACAGAGTCTCGCGACGTTGGCCAGGCATGGCAACGCGGATTTACGTCTGCATTCTATTGCCGAGACTGTCAACGATGTACTCCTTCCGACCGGGCGAAGCTTTGAGCTCGATCTTTGAAGACAAGAGACGAGAATAATATGGCCCTTACTCCGTCAGCGCTTGCGAGGAAATGTAAGGAGGTGAGCTGAGACGTGGATAGGCGATTTCTTGCAAACAGGTTACACCAGACAATACAAAAGCATGCCGGTACCCTTCCGCGCGGAGACGGCTTTTTCCCCAACACTACTTTCAAACTGACCGCCATTCTGGAGCAAGGGATTTGTTTACGTGTGTACCTTCGGAGAGCTTTTTTTGAACTACGATGGGTATTATGCTAACGGAAGCTGACCAACCATGGCCCAACCATGGTCCTGCGGATGTCTTGAAGAGGTCTTGACCCACCGTCCGAGCTTCGACACAATGATATCAGTCGTCGGCTGGATCCTTCACCGCTTTCTCCTCCAGGCTTTGAACCTGGATCTTCCACTTCGGAGAGAGAAGGGGATTGAGGTGCCCGGAAAGCGGAAATCCTGTTGCCCGTTGAGCATCACTCTGCAGCAGTCTTCGGCCGCGGGCAGCGCTCCCCGATGACTTTGACTCACCACAGTGAATCAGGCCTACTTTGCCCGACAAGTTCATGTGCAGGGACTCGTCTCCAACAACAGCAAACAGGAAGCAAGAATAGTATCTACCTAGAACGAATGCTGATGCAGGGTTGGCGCAACGCGTGGTGCGGAAGCAGGAAGCGGAAGCGGACCAGTGAGCTGTACCGCCTCAGATATATGACAGCCACAACTGCGCCCTGGGATTGGGCACCAACAAAATCCAGAGGAATTCGTGATTGGCTATGAAGCAGTGAGGCAGCTGGTCAACAACTATGGGAGATGTTTTGGTTGCGGCAGTGTGAGAGTTGATGCCGCGAAGGGAATGGGCTCCCACATCAGGTCCAGGCGCTCAGCCCTCCACGGGCGCGCGTCGGGGCTGCGACTGGATCCTGGTGAATGGGCCTCAGATGCCGGATAGAAAAATCAAAATCAAGATGGGGAGCAGAAGCGACAGTGGCGCATGGCGAAGTCGCATTCTTGGGGAAATGTGGTGCTGGGAGGGTGCAACGCGGCCTCACAGCCGCCTCGATATGGAGAGGAATGCCTCATTCGCTACGAGCAGTGTCACACGATGGACAGCGGAAGACGCACAAACAGAAGACGATGCTCCTTTACGGCCGTGACCAGCGACAATCGGTGGAAATAGAGGAGGCACTCTGCTTGTCTTCGCCTTGCGACTGACGGCGGAAGAAGCCCTCATGCTATCGAAATTGGGCTGTGAGGAGCGGCGAGGCCTGCCGGCACCAGAAGTTCGCATGGCTACCATGTACCGATGTAGGACGATGCGGGACTGAAGCTGTTGTGTTTGCGTCGCAACGGTCGCGAATCATGGGCAGCTTCGGCCAGTTGCGGGGTTTCTGAGTATCTCTGCACCTCACACAGGGCGCCATTTCACGATAATGCGAAAGAGTTCCAGAGGGTTGCGACAGAAAGGAATGCAGAGGGAGAAGTGAGAGACGCTGGATGGTCGCTGGCAAATAGCAGTGGGAAGAACTCGCTGACGACACCATGTCAGAAAGAAAACGGATGAACAAATTGACATATACCGAATCATGAGGAGGAAGAATTTCTTGCTGGGCTAGGCTGATGGTGTTGAAGCCGACTTGGGCAAGGTGGGAGCACGGGGAACGCGGGCCAGTGCCAGAAGGGAGTCCGGAAGCCCTGGAGCCGTCGAGCGCTGGGAAGCCGGCCGCAGACAAAGTCCCGTGCACATTCCGGGTGACGGCCCACCGTCAGCGACAATGGACTGCAGATTAGATACGGTTCTCGTGCGGCAGATCTATCTCTCTTCACTCAGAGCGCAGTCACGCCTGGATCCATGGTCCGTCACTGCTGGTGTTTTTTCTTCTTCTTTCCTTCAGACGTCCGCTATGGATTCCAAGGAGAGGAACCTGCGAGCGGCGTCTCATCAAGTCGGCGTCCAGCCCCCATCCACCCCCACACACCCCCCAGCAGCAACAGCGAAGATTTGCAACTCTCTCGGCACCATATCCTTGGATGGGCCGGCCCGCAGCCGGGCCTCTTTGTTATCGATACTGTCCCGCCCGGCAGAGCCAGCAGGATGATGACTCTGATTTGACCTGTTGTGTTGTCTCCCATCTGGATTTGCTGCCTTTTCCCCTCCCTCACCCACCGATTGATTGACGAGGCTTCACAGAAGGCTGGTTGCAGCAAACGGGCTGGTGCGGGGCCGTGGTCTCACGAGGGTACTCCGTACTGTGCCGCTCCCATGTCGCGGCGTCTGAGGGCGCGTGTTGGGTTGCTGCTGCCGCGTCTCCTGCTGATGTTCTCTCTGCGGCCCAGAGGAGCACAAGGGCAAACAACCCCCCGTGGATGCAGACGCAGATGAAGTCTGTCGGTGCCGTGAATGGCATGTCCCGGGGGGGTCAGCATGCGAGGCCCATTGATGGCGCCGCCCAGTGCTCCCAGAGCTCCCACTTGACCCTCCGGCATGGCTGAGCGGTGGAGGAGCGCGCACACCCAATCGCCCTGAACTGGCAATGCACTGCGACCTGACGAGGCGCCCTATAACGTTACGCCCTCGCTTTTTCGCGAGCATCCCGCGGGCGAGGGGGGTCCCCCGTTGAGCCAGTTGGAGTGAAGGGCCCTTCCCCGGCGCACCACACTGTTGTGTCCCCCCATCCTGGCCCCGTACCGAGCCTGTCCTGTCTGGTCCTGGCCTGTTTTCCCAGCTTCTCGCTGGCCTTGCCTTTTCCTTTATCAAGCCTGCCCGCCTGCGCGCACCAAGCCCTTTCCCCTCCTCTCTCCCCACATTGCAACCTGCCCTCTCCCTGCACTGCTCTCCCGCCCGCCCGTCGCCCACGGCAGACGAGCATCCATTTGAGCAGCCGGACGTACTTCTTTCGACGCTGAAAAATTCCTTGGATTCCCTGGGAATTCCTCCATCGTTTCTGGCCTCCGTTCGTCGTGGTCCCATACCTGTTTTCGGTCACTGCGACGATCCGCTACGGCCGCCATACCCAAACGAGACATCCACACCGCCAGTCCTTGGGTACTTCAGCTCTGCCTCCCACAACAACACCACCCTCTCCTCTTTTCGCTCTCACATACACATATACGACACGCACACATCATGGATTTCCACCGTCCAGCATCCACAATCGGTTCCGTCGACCGGAAACCTTCCACATTCTCCTTCGACGACCAGTCGGCACTGGATTTGGACACGCCCACCCTCATGTCTCCCACCACCAGCACCCAAGGCATCTTCTCGCCTGATACCGCCTCGCTGTGGGACGACTCCTCCTTTGGCCAATTCGTCGACCGGACTGCCACGAGCTCCGTCGTCCATCAAAATGGCAACAACCCCTTCTTTACCGAGCAGAGCAACAACCCCTTTGCCCGCTTACCTGCAAACCAAGCTGCCACTTATGGCCAGCAGACGTGGCCCGTGGTCGACAACAGCGGATCCCAGACGCCTACTGCCACCAACCCATTGAACCCCTTCGGTCCAGTCGACTACGACCCTGCTCAATCGGCCTTTGTTCCCCAGCAGATGCCCCTCAACGGGCTGCCAATGCACGGCAACGTCAGGCCCAGCTCCGTGTTTCCCCCTGGACCTCCGGAGCAACCTCTCTCCCCCCACACCAACTCCGAATGGATGGCCTTCAACCAGCAGGAGATGGAGGCTCGCCCGGGAGGACCCAAGCGCATGCGGCCCAACTCCCCGCACACCCGCTCCTTCTCCCCTCGCCGGGACGGCGGCATCAGGAAGAAGAATGCGCGTTTCGAAATCCCGGCCGACAGGAACCTCCTCAACATCGACCAGCTCATCTCCAACTGCACCAACGAGGAAGAGATGAAGGAGCTCAAGCAACAAAAACGACTACTCCGCAACCGCCAGGCCGCGTACGTTCCCCTTTTTGGTTTTGGTCCTCCCTCATTTGGTTCTCTACTCCGCCCCCTTTTCCATCAGCTAACATGTCCCTAGTCTTGACTCGCGCCAGCGGAAGAAGAAGCACACGGAAGAGTTGGAACTGGAGAAGAAGACATGGACGGAGAAACTCTGTCAGCTCCAAGACGAGTTCCAACGGCTGGAGCTAGAGTACAACACTCTGCTCCAGGAGAAGGACGCCTGGTACCATGAGCGGCGCGAGATGACTCAAATGTTGAGCCAGTTGCAGTTCGACAAGGAGGAGCTTGTGCGCACGCACACTCTGGAGACGGGCGATCTCCGCAAGAAGATCTCCGTCCTCACTGAACGCCTGGAGTGCTCTAGCTCTGCCATGTCTGTGCAACCCAGCTCGACCTTCACCGACTTCGCTTCCGAGATGGGCAACCTCAACATGAGCAACAGCGACTGGGACAACTACATCTTCGTCAACGACTTCATCGCCGACGAGCAGACTCCCGCACCACAGCAGCCCGAGCAATCTCTTGTTGTCGCCCCACGTGCCAAGGAAGGCGAGGACAAGTCTGCTGCCTCCGGTCTTCTGCTTATGCTGTTGCTTTGCGGCGCGTTCGTTGCAAGCAAGTCGACTGGCTCTACCGCTCCTCCCATTCCACGTATGCCGGACGAAGTTCGTGCCGCCTCCGCCACTGTCTTGGACAGCATCTTCAAGGATGCCGGCGTTGCTCCCACGCTCACGGAGCAAGGCGTCGTTGCCAATCGTGTGTCCGAGTTGGAACCAGGCCCATCCGGAATGCCCTGGGCAAAGACGACCATCTCTGGTTCGCAACTGGCCGGCATCTCGGGCTCAAGCCTTGACCAACTGCACGCTCAACTCACTTCGACGACAAAGGACCAAGAGAACGAGCAACTCTTCTCCGTCACCCCGGCCCAGTACAACAGCATCAACTCTATGGACTACTCTCGACCCCGGTACAGCATGACAAGCGACGACTACTCCGATGCCCTCTCGCCCGGCTCGCAACCCTCTCATCGCCGCAACCTTGCAGAGACTCTGGCTGCCATGCGCGAGCAAAGCAAGGGCGAGTCGGCTGCCGACATCTACACGCGAAGCTTGCTCTGGGACAAGATTGCCCCCGAGGTCGTCATCGAGTTCAAGCGTATCGTCGAAGAAAGTGCCGTATGCTCCCGACCGGCAACCTCTGACGGCACAAAGGTGGAGGGGGCTGATTAGGCCCTCCATCATCGAAAAAACATCCAAAACACCCAAAAACTTCCCTATGTCGCGCTCGCATCGTTTCGCTTTGCAGCTTTCACCATTCTACCTCACCCGCTTGAGGTCTCCGTAGGGACAAATTGTTGCATATTGGCCGGTCATTCATCCTCACTTCCGCGTTGCGCTTTCCACCATCAGAGATAGCGAACAACGCTCGAGCCTTCGCATCCACCCTTTGCACCTCTTCCACAATACCCACACATCATTGCTCTGGCACACAACAACCCCTCACTCGTCGCTCGAGGGCTACTCTACATTTTGGGACGGCAACGTCAATTTTCTTGCACTGCATTCTGGAGGCTTGAGCATTTAGCGCCGGGTGGATCTGGATACTTGGATTGACGGGCTGGTTCTGTTCTCATTTGTCACTGCTTTGCTCCCCCTTGTTTGCCCTTTTGAATTTGATGGTTATTCAGCGAGCGAATTTGGCACTTATAGTTCTTGGCTTTCACCCCCCTCTTGTTATCTCCCGTCTTCACCACAGTTTTGGATTCGTTGTTGTGGAGCGTTCTAGCGATGTCGTTGTTTTTTCTTCATGATTGAGATGATTTGATGGGTCATGGATTTGTTGGGTAACTCCTGATGGTTGACGCGGATGATAAGGATGATGCATGAGCGTGAGCATGAGCATGAGCATGATTACAATGAGATATGAGATTTGATTTGGTTTTTGATTTATTATCTTTGCGTTTAGCGTCTGAGCGTTCCAGCGTCTTCGTCACTTTCTCCTACTAGTTACCTATCCCACTTGCAGTGGGTGGCTTGAGGATGGATGGTAATGGATATGATAACGGTGGCATTTCTTAGGGGTAACGGCAACACACGGAGTGGATACCTATTCATTCCTATCAATCAACCAATAATACTATGGTATATCGACCACTCGGCCAATCCATCAATCAATCGATCCATCAGTCAACTAATTCACTGCCAAACCACCGATCGTTTTGCCGTCTCTCCACTTCACTTGTTTCACCCCTTTCACGCATGCATCGTTCGTTTGCCGTTTTGATTGGTGCTGCTGTCCTGCACATGTGCGATTGTCACTCGCCTGCGTGCGACGAATAGAATCTTCATACTCTGATATCTGCCTGCTTGGGGACGAGTCACGCGATGGCTGCGTGTGAATGTGACGGATGGATCTCAGGCAGGGCAGTAGTGATTCAGGCCGTGTATGTATGTATATTCGCTATGTGGAGCGAGCGCAGATCCGGGGACGACGGATATGGATGGGAGGACGATGAGTTTGAGTGTTAAGTATGAGTATGAGTAGGAATGAGTATGAGCATGAGTAGAATAACGGTACTGAAGAGAGGCACGCAGCAAGTTTCGAACTGCCTCTTCCGCGAACAAGAACAGGAACAGCGTATACTATGATGGCCCATCTATGTGCAACCTGCGAGTGCTGTGCCTTCATCATCCACCAAGTCTCAAGCCATCGATCTACTACTACCCAAATGCACCTCTGCATCTCTCAAGATCGAGCTGAATACGGAGAGTACTGTCGACTCGATGCCCAACACCCTCAACCCCATCTCTCCAGTATACAAAATACACCCCACTCTCTTGAAATGCACAAAGCATCCAGCACCCAGCCCATCTACCACCAATACCCCATACCCTCCTCCGGCCCTATTATTCCAAAACCTTCACCATCCCATGAACTCCCCCACGACAGACGTCGCGTGCACTCCCACTGTCCCACATCTCTCAATCCCGCAATCCCTGTCCATTATCCCAAGCCTATTTAGGATTATACTTCTCCTTCCAGATCCTGCGTTGGCACCGTTGGTTAGTACGAGTTCACGCACGTGCGCGGATGCCGGATGCGGATTCGCCTACCAGGGGCTGCACCGTTGACGAAAACAGACAAGGAAGTAGTGGGATGATTAGGAAACAAAACAGGAAAGAAAGGGAAGTTAGGAAAAAGTAGGAAGTGGCAGTGCTGGCAAGCCCAAGCTGAGCTGATCCGAAATTGTTCCGATTTCCGTGGGGGAAAAGGATGAAAGCGGGAGAAGTCGAGCCGTCAACGGAGGTGCGCAAGTCCGGAATGATGACGATGCGACGAGGGATGCGTCGTCGTCATTATCGGGAGCTGTTCGGGTAGCCATCAAAGTATCTCCATCCGCTTCGGCGAGAGACGAGACGAGACGAGAGACATCCATCCAGTGATGTGAAGTGAGGCTCCCGTGACCGAGCGGCGACATCAACACCGCCTCCAACAACACCGCCTCCAACAACCAGTCGCCCATCTCCGACCCTTCCACATCTCTCAATCGACAACTCCACAACAACAGGAGTACTCTCGCCTCACCTCCCCAAACAGACCTCTTCTCCATCGTCACGCAAGCACCACTCACACACCCTCCCACTCCTCCCATATTACCCATCCCCCAGCCCAGCCATCAACAGACCGCCACGTGTATCCGCAAATAGAGGCCGCCAAGCCTCCCAGCTCAGCCAACAAAACCAACAGGGGCGCCAGATCGGTGCGGCCCAGCGCGGTGGGATAACCGGATGTCGGCTGGCGGGACATGCGAAGCGTGGGCCGCGGATGCCGATGGCGAAGTAGCGAATGGTTGCTGAGAAGAGAGAAATAGAGGGTGCAAGTGATGTTGACCCTGGACCTTAGGATTCACGCTTGCCTTGTCTGAAGTTTTTGACCCGTGTTGGACGCGAAGGCGCAGTGGCTGATGATGCCTGGCTGAGTGACAGAGGAGTGATGACGACCATTCAGACGTGTGGGGTAAATAGAGATGAGGTGCGTGACAGAGGGATGGGAGGGCAGGGCCAGTCCGTTTTCCGATGTAAGCGAACGGGGTACGTGAGATGGACATGGGAGAGAGGTTGTGTGCTGGCCAATGGGTGAGGCTTGGCGGCTGGAAAGTGAGACTCGCAGACTGCGGCGGAGGATAAGGCTAGGAATCCTGGATTGTGGTGTGTGATGTGTGGTGATGACGGTGGCTCTGTTGTTGTTTGACTTTTGGTGATCGCGATGGTGATGATTGCGGGTGGTGTCGTTGGTCGGAGGCGCTGGTATGGAAGCGTCGCAAGCCTGATGGGATGATATCTCCGGATAACATGACCGGTTTCCTCCATCGGCATGACGAATCGCAATTCCGGAATAGGGCCAGATTGTCTCAATGCAAGCAGAAAATACTGTGAAGGGAAACGGAAAAGAGTGTCTACGTACCACGTATTCCCCAGGGTCTTACTCCCCTTCTGTTCGGCCAGCCGCAGAAACTGCGCCGCCTTGAACTGCTTCCCTGTCAGCGTCTATTGTCTTAGGAATTGCGGCCCAATAAGTGAGGCTGTAGTCACGTCTGTGTCAGGGAGCACTCTGTTGTGCCGTCCGGTCATGTCAAGGGGAGCGCCGAACTGGAGACGCCGACCGGTGAAGTAGTAGATCCTTCTTCGGAGAAGGATGATAAAAGGGAACTCACTTTGTCCTTCTTACATCCGAAGCCCTCGAGATAGCACCACGCGACCTCGTTCATGGCGTCGGTATCGCCCAGGTTAGCTGCCGTTTCATAATATTGCTTTGCAGCCACGGGATCCTTTTTGATGCCCCAACCCTATACATTCCCGTTAGTAACAATGCATCACTATCTCCGCAAGAAGAGTAACCCTTGCAATGCTTGCTCTCAGGGAAAGATCCGCAGGTGCAACCTCTTGAGCAGTAGGAATGAACTCACATTCCGGAAGCAATTCGCCAGCTCATACATCGCAAGCACAAGCTCGCCCTTGGCCGCACCGCCCTTCTTCATACCCGCGGACAGCGCCATGGACTCGATTTCAGCGCTGTTTGATGCCGCGTACGAAAGGTATGTGATGGCGCGCTCCGGGTCGGGCTCGCAGCCCCATCCGTGTCTGTTAGCCGTCAGCTGCTAGACTTACCACATTATGTACGGGATACTGGCGCAGCGAGCACTGCGAACCCAGGGCGTCATTCGGGTACGAGGGAAAGGAAAGTGAGATTGGGCTCTCAGAAGGAGAAGAGAGGCAATACCGTAATGCAAGGCCAAAGAGAACTTGACTCAGAGCGTGGTTTTGGCCGTTGGGATCCGCCAACTTCTCAAACATCCTCGTTGACGCTTCAAGGTCTGGGAAGTGGTGTCAATAACGCCCATCTTTCCCACTGTCCCAATATACTCACTGCCAGCCTCATGCAACCGAATCGCCTCCTGAATATCAGCCTACTCTCCTATCAGCCCGTCTCCCAAAACCACTCCTTTCCCACATTGCAACTCACATCATCGCTTGGCTTCGCAACACTCACACTCCTCTGCCTCCCTCCTCCCTTCTCCTCAACCTCAATCCTAGGAGTCGGCCTTCCACTCACACTCCTACTCTTCGCCAACACCGTCGCCCTCTTCTCCCATTTCGCCTCCTCTTCCTCACTCCTCGCAACAACCGCATCCCCCACATCCGGCAACATGTCAGGTATATTCGTCGAACTAACTGCTCTTCGTCGCCCGAGATGTAGCCGCTCGTGGAACTTGTGTTGTTCGGATCCCCTTTCGTCGTCCGAGTGTGGGTGCTTTCCTTTTGCATCTCCTCCTGTTGCGATTCCTCTACCCTGACTGCCGGCATTGCTTTGTCTCCTCAGCCTCCCGAACACGCCATCCGTAGGCGACAGTAGCTGCCCCGATTTACGCTGCGGTTGAGGATCGCCGGGAAAGCGGGGGGGCTCAATAATCGACTGCGTGGTCGTGGTTGTGCGGAGGAAGGTGAATTCGGGGACTGAGGAAGAGGGGGAGAGCTGCGAGGATGCGGAACCATCGTTTTTGATCTTGTCTTTCTTTTTGAGAAGGTCTTTGAGCGTCATTGTGCCTGCTTAGGAGTATAGGATTATACAGTGTTCAACAGGGTCTAGATACCCAACTCTTGAGACTTGTTGGTAAAAAGGGGTAGCTCAGGACTTATTGTCTTTGGAGTTGTGATCGTTTGTGAGTCGTAGGTAGAGACAGTCGCAGCGAAGGAAAAAACACCAGACAGCTATCACGGCACGTGCAGGCTCGTTCCGTACCTCCTCGAGCTGTGAGTTCTTTCAGCTATTATAGAGGTGTGCATTGTGGAGCCTCTGCAGCTGGACATGGTCAAATAAGTTAAAAGGTTCTTGGAAAGGATGACAAGCCAACACAGGCGGTTGGCGGCGGTGCACAGCCGCACGCGTCAGCCTCATCCTTTGCATGACATGGAAGGCGAGGGCATCCGCGCATAGAATCAGATACGCGTAATAGAGGTATATAGGACGAATTCGTGCAATACTTTGATTCGGATCTCATAGTGAAGGGAGCTCTGGTGTTTTCCGCACTTGGGTCTGTCCAGCCGAACTACGCAACCGGTTATATGAAGAAGACGCAAAAGGAGAAACGATGACCTGCTCAATGAGGATGTTCTGACACCCAACGCCAGAAACGGCAGGATGACTGCTATGACTCTCTAAACTCATTACACGGCGTGTAATCGTACAGCCTTCGCTATGGCGCTCGCCTCCACTCCTGACTCCATAACCCTCTAATTATACTGCATGTACGTAGCCGTCGAGTTGAACTTGAGATTGCCCTTAATCACCTTGTCCACGGCCGCGAGGAAATCCTTCTCCGTCGCTACCTTCCTTCTGGCACGGATGGCAAACATGCCCGCCTCAGTGGCCACACTCCGCAGCTCTGCACCTGTGCTGTTGGGGCACAAGCGCGAGATGAGTTCCCAACGGATATCCCGGTCGACGCTCATGCTCTTCGCGTGAATGCGGAGGATGTTGGCACGGCCCTCCATATCCGGCAGGGAGAACTCGATCTTCCTGTCAATACGGCCAGGACGCATGAGGGCCGGATCCAGGGTGGAAGGTCTGTTGGTAGCGAACATGACCTTGATGTTGCCGCGCGAGTCGAAACCGTCAAGCTGCGTAATGAGCTCCAACATGGTCCGCTGTACCTCGTTGTCGCCTCCGGCGCCATCGTCAAAACGAGCACCTCCTATAGCGTCCACTTCATCAAAGAAGATGATGCATGCCTTCTTTGTCCGTGCCATCTCAAACAGCTCGCGAACCATCCTAGCACCCTCTCCAACATACTTTTGCACAAGTTCAGATCCGATGACACGGATGAATGTGGCGTCTGTCCGATTGGCGACCGCTCGGGCGCATAGCGTCTTTCCGGTTCCTGGAGGTCCATAGAGAAGCGCGCCTTTAGGAGGGTCGATACCAAGATTAACGAAGCGCTCTGGAGAGAGGAGGGGCATCTCCACCACCTCACGAAGTTTTTCGATCTGCTCCTTGCATCCACCGACATCTCCGTATGTCACATCCGGCTTGTCTTCGACTGTCATCATCGTGACAGAAGGGTCAATCTTTGGTGGTAACGGCAGCAGGATCTGGTATTTGTTCCGGTCCACCCTGTGGGGAATATCAGGCATTGTCCCAGGTATAAGAACATGGTGTCACGTACCCAACGCGCATACCCTCCTCAATGTCCGAGGGCGATACTCTCTCGCCCAAACTCACGACGAACTTTGCGATCTGCTTAACGTTGATCACATATTTGTTCTTCTCGGGGTCCTTCTCGTCCGCTATTATCTTGGTACATCGCGCAACCTGGAGGGGCTGCTCTTCTGACATGCGTTGTCGGTCGGCGGCGATATCCCAGAGGTGTGGCGGCGCAAGTCCGGTATCTGATTCCTATGGCAGAGTTAGGGCATGTGCCGGGCTGATAGGAGAAGCTCAACTACCTTGACACCTATGTAGCGATTAGCAGCTGAGATCACAGATGGGACAGATGTGCCACTCACCGATCTTTTCGTTTATGGTCTGCTGCTTATCCTTGATTTCCTTCTCGAGCTTCTTCAGCTCGGCTGCATATGGAGCTGCTCCATATGTCTTCAGCACTTGGATATCCCTATGGGAGCTTTAGTCTCATTCCATGCATCGACTTGAGCGCACATCTTACTCGTCGGTGAGAGGTGTAATCTTCTTCTCTTCTCTTTCATCGTCGGCGAAGTTCTTCTGGTACTTCTCCCAGTTCTGGCCCGTGGCGCTGGGCATCTTCACAGCTCAGGACGCTTCGATCTGTGTGCCACGAAGTTGGTAAAGAGTGAAACGGTATTGTCGAGGCAGGAGAAGGGGTTGTCGTGCGGTTTTGAGTGAGTTATCCGGTCGAGATGACGATGGCGGTTGTTTGGTGTTGTCATCAGGAAGCTCCGCTGCTTCCAGAGGCGGCGCCGGGGGAGTCGGCGCTTGAGGTCTTGGCGACCGACACCCTTGCGGGTCGCGCCTCAATTTGTTCGCGTCTTTGGAAATTCAGAGGCAGCAGGGAAGCAGCCAGGACCGCCCGCCAGAACCCCCACCTCTATCATCCTTGCCTTTCTTCACTCACAGTCTATATACTCAGCATGGCGACCCAGGTTGCGAGCAGTGGAGGAGGCGGAAATGCTACGTTCAAGGTACTTTGGCTGACTGGAAGCTCTGCCAATATGTGACTGACGCAAGCTTCAGGACAAGGACAAGCCTAGGGCAGTCCGGATAGCAAACATTGTCGCAGCGAGAGGTCAGTACAGCTTCCAACGTCAGCTAGCCTATATGCTAATGGATGTGGTATAGCCGTTGCAGATGCAATCCGAACCGTATGTCCCGCTCGAGTTGTGCGGGGGAGGCAATGCTAACATTCAAAAGTCACTTGGGCCGAAAGGAATGGACAAAATGGTATGTATAAGGTACATATATGCAGCAGTCTCAAACTGACGTATATCAAGATTCAAACCGGCAAAGGCGAGACCATCATCACCAACGACGGAGCAACCATGTTAAACCAAATGGCCGTAATGCACCCCTCCGCAAAAATGCTAGTCGACCTCGCACACGCCCAAGACATCGAAGCCGGAGACGGAACAACCTCTGTCGTAGTAATAGCAGGAAGCCTTTTGGGTGCAGCAGAACGGTTACTACAGAAGGGAATCCACCCCACAGTGATTTCGGAAGCGTTCCAAAGAGCTGCCGCAAGGGCTGTCGGGATCCTCACAGATATGTCTATCCCCATATCATTGTCTGACCGGCCAACCCTGCTTAAGACAGCGACTACGGCGCTCTCCTCGAAGATCGTGGCTCAGGAGCCAAAACTGCCTATCATGGCGGTGGATTCGGTTCTGAAAGTCATTGACCCCAAGACGGCAGATAATGTCGACTTGAAGAACATCAGGATTCTCAAGAAGCCAGGAGGAACCATCGACGAGAGCGAGATGATAGACGGCCTCGTACTGAACCAGCCCGTTGTCAAGAGCGCTGGTGGTCCCACCGTGAAAGAGAAGGCAAAGATTGGCCTGATACAGTTCCAACTCAGCCCACCCAAGCCGGACATGGAGAATCAGATTGTGGTGAACGACTACAGACAGATGGATAAGATCCTCAAGGAGGAGCGGACATATCTGCTGAACATGGTCAAGAAGATCCAGAAAGCGAAGTGCAACGTCCTGTTCATCCAGAAGTCGATTCTGCGAGATGCTGTTAACGACCTGAGTTTGCACTTCCTTTCGAAGCTCAAGATCCTCGTGGTCAAGGATATTGAGCGTGACGAGATTGAGTTCATCTGCAAGGTACATCTATTTATCAGAAGCCACTAAAACAATCTAGCTAACCGGCCCCCAGAGTACCGGCTGTAAACCCATCGCCGACATCGACTCCTTTACCGAAGACAAACTCGGCACCGCCGACCTCGTCGAAGAAGTCCAATCCTCCGGCGCCCGCTACGTCAAAGTGACAGGCGTCAAGACCTCGGCGCAAACCGTCTCCATCGTCTGCCGTGGCGCAAACTCTCTCATTCTCGAAGAAACAGAGCGCTCCCTGCACGACGCCCACTGCGCCATCCGCTCACTCGTCAAGAAGAAGGCCCTTCTTGCCGGCGGCGGCGCCCCCGAAATCGAAATTGCGCACCAACTTGCCATGGAGGCGAGACAGCTTTCAGGCACCGAGGCGATTTGCTGGAAGGCGTTTGCGGACGCGCTTGAAGTCATTCCCACGACGTTGGCGGAGAACGCGGGGCTCAATAGTATTAAGGTTGTGACGGATTTGCGGCACAGACATGCGCAGGGGCAGAAGAATGCCGGTATCAGTATCAAGAGCGGGGGCGTGAAGAATGATATCGCGGAGGAGAATGTACTGCAACCTTTGTTGGTGAGTACGAGTGCGATTGAGTTGGCGGCGGAGACGGTGAAGATGATTTTGAGGATTGATGATATTGCGCTTTCCAGGTAGATGGGTCAGTGAGGCCTTAGATTGGCGTCCATTAAGAGATGAATCAGATGAATCATCGACAAGAAAATATAACGGATAGCGTGATAACATGATAATTCCACTTGAGATAATCCTCTTGGAATGACTGCTTCCTATGTCTACCGCTTAGCTGGTTCCCTGGCTTCACTAAGTTTCCAAAGCCCTCTCTAGGGGGTTAGGAGAGTACAAAGAGCTACCTAGGTGTGTCAGGCACAATCTCCTACAGCGAGGCTCCTAAAGACTCATTCCACCTTTATTGCTAGTTAGAATCTTTACCTAGCCCACGAGCTTCCCCAGAAAAGGTTTTAAACATGTCCTACTCGGACTGCATGATACAGCGAAGGGCGAACGACACGCAAGCACTTTCTCAACACACTATAAGCGTCGCAACCACGGAGCTATGATTCTCTCAATTATCTCATTCTTTTAATTGACACTAAAGGTACATCCTGCTTCTTGTTTCTGCTATTAAGAGGCCGCCCTTTGCTGGCTGAATCATTTACATGAAAGGAACTCTGACCTTGAGTGGCAATGGATATGCAACACCAAGGCAGAACAAAATAGAGGAAGCCCGTCTTCCTCATGAAGACGAAGAGGACGAACCGTGAGTGGGTATCAATATCCGCCGTTACTCCGCAACGCCAGGAGTCCATCTCCCGGTTAGTCAAATCTGATCTGGACAGAAGCAAGGTGAAGCAACATACTGATCATGTTGGAACCTTGAAGAAGCGGAAGAAATCAGGACAAGAAATGTCGAGGACAATCAGGAGCACCTACCAGGTTACCCCATGAACCTTTGCAAGGACACACTGGGCTTTCAGTGCGAGGAGAATCTCCACATCAGCCCAGCGGGATAAAGTCGGCCTGTTGGGTTAGCGCATGTGCGTCGTCATAGCTCATGGCCTTGTCTTTTTGCTCATCCTCACGATCCGAATCATCGTCCTGGTTCTCATCTCCATCTTCCTGTTCCTCGTCTGTCGTATTCCACTTTGACTCGGCTTCTGCGGATTCGCGTGCCTTTCGCAGCCGTGCGGCGTGCCTAATGTGAGGAAGTCGGCATCCGCCCACCTCGCACGATCCCTTGTTAGCAAAATCCGGGCACTCGAATGCGTGTTGCTCAGCACATTCAGCGCCCTTCTCACAGTAACCAAGTCGCGCAAAGGCCTCGCATATGGGCGCGTCTGCACCGACGTGTACGTGGGCATATGGACAGTCCTCCTTACTACAGTTGCCCTCCTGGAAGTGAATGCAATGTGGGGACCGGTTGGCGGAAGGTTTATGGGACAGCGGACATGCTGAGCCCTTTGGGCAATGGCCTTTGAAGAGAAATGGTTTGCATATAGCCGTCTTGTCGGGGTCATGGATAAACGCGCACCGTGAGCGCTTGCAAATACCTGTAACCATGTTAATGCCTCCAAGGAGTTGGGGGAGAGACCGGTGTGATCCTGGGCTCGAAGGCCATTCTTAACAATTACCTGTGGACGTGAAAGCGGGACATGGTTTGTTCATCTCCATGGGCAGTTCGTTCTCCTGCCTGGCTTGCACATGGGGTATTGCGGTTGAGCTAACATGCTCCGGCTTTGGAGAAGCGCTGACTCCGGCCGAGTTGAACGTTGCTGTACGATTCTGGAAAGCCTGATGTCCGAATCTTGGGTGCGGATAAGGATGAAACGCGCGAGGATAACCTCGTCCTCTGCCTCCCCTTCCCCCTCCTCGGACACCGCGGAACGATCCGCGAGACGCAGCACGCTGTTGCTCTAACCGAAGTCGTGCATTGTAACCTGAAATACGATTAGCGAAATGTGCTCCGGTCTACAGCTTGTTCAAGTTTTGTGACACTCACTGGACCACTCTGCAATAGCTCTCGCCTTCTCCTCGTCTGAAAGCGCCTGTATTTGTTCTCGCGTCAGGAAAGGCCTCGGTGGCGCTGGCGTTGCCATCGTTGCTGTTCTGGCAGGGGAAGAGTTTTGGAATACCAGACAAGAGGTGAGAGGAGAGTAAAACTGAGTGAGGGGTTGTTGCGGCGGTGGGCCAGTTCCAAAGAGCTGCAAACGATATGTTGCACAGACCATGTGCTGAATAATACTGCTGTGCCACGATAGAGCACCGCCACTCTCACCTGATCACGTGCCTCTACTAACCCAGTACTTAATCCATCTTGAAGAGATTCCTGCTAGCCTCAATGCCAAATCTCTCAGAGGTCTGGGCTCGCCATTGTAAGGAGTGTCTTCATATCTGTCATCGTGCGGATATTTGATCAGTTCATAGTCGAGTGTTCTGAAGCCATGTTGCACCACTTCAATTCAACATTGAATTGGGCTTCTGATCCCCAATGGCCGCAAGGCTAATGGCCGCAAGGCTTACAGTGAGCAGAAACTGGCAAATGTATGTAGGTAGGTAGGAAAGGGCATGGGTTGGAATGTCTTCAACTGAAAAGGGGATATGGAAAATAAGTGCGGTCAAGAGGGCATTCTCTTTCAAAACATCAAACCTCATGGCAAGGAGAACCATCTAATTTAATAGCAGGTCGAGATATTTTCTTGTTCACGGTTAACCCAGGAGTAGGTACTGCCGCTGTGCAGGTCCGACTGAACATCCCTCGCAGTTCCTCTGTAGGTGAGATTCGCTACCCCGCGCAAGTCTATTAGCTGCTGTGTACATCTAAATAATGCAATAAGTAGAATTTTATTTATGAACTTAATATACGTACATAGAGCTAGGCGATTCAAAGCTAATTGCAAAATCTATAAAATTGCTGCACTTGCAAGCGGTTTACTTGGATGGGGAAAAGTGCAGTACAGAGGAAGTGCAGGGGCGTGTTCGGTTGGATGTGAACAGAGGCAGCAAAGTCGTCGTTACAGATCGACAATGTGGATCTATTAGTAGGTCTACTAGTCATGGTTGGCGAACCATCTACCTACCTAGGTTCCCCCTCCGCACTTACCAGTGTCTGATTTTGCTCACCTGCCGAAACGAGGTTAGACTTTCGATCTGGCAGATTTAACTTTAGAAAGATTAACCAAGTCTTCTCACTTGACTGGGACATCTGACGCTGCCTCGAACAATACGAGTTTTGGCAAAAACCTCATCCAACCTCAAGGAAACACCATGTCTCAGGAAAGTCAACAGTGGCTTTCCAAATACTCCAATAATTACCATGCCTGGAAATCCACCTTATTCAATGGCCGGACCGTATACCAGAGGGCCTTAGGTCTCGTAGAAACATCTTTCGATACAGATGGTTCACACTATGGCGGCCGCGCAGACATGAATGCCCTCTTCACCGTTGAGATCCGCCATTCTCTCTCCCCGGACGAATTTCGAGAAAGGATAACACTAGTTTGGGCAAATCTTCGGTTGCACCATGTCCTCCTGCAAAGCAGAGTTGACGAGATCCATGGAGAAAGAAACTTCACTATCGAAGTCCCAAATAGTTATGAAGAAGCAATTCAAGAAACACAAAAGTGCATTGTTTGGATCGAGGATCTGTACCCTCAAGTCGACGAAAACGAGCTCTACAAGCACTGCTTCAACGTTTCCCGAATTATCGACCCTTCCCGATGCCTTTCCCGCCTGTACGTCCTCCCTCCCATCCAGCTACCAAACGGGAATTTCAGTCTACGGTTTCTAGTCATAATGGCGCATCAAATATCAGACGGACTGTCCTCACATAACTGGTTCTCCCACTTCCTTCGCCTCCTCAATGCGCCGTTTTCGAGGATCAGAAGTGAAATCAGCGAAGCCCTGAACCCAAAAGCCATCGCGTCCAGACTCCCGCTCGCCCAAGAAGATCTCTACCCCAAAATCCCCGGCAGCAAAGCCCGACAGCGCTGGTTCTGGGCCCTCCTCCGCGTCCTCCGACATGTCCGTAACACTCTCCCTCCGACATTCACAAACCCCCTTCGAAGAGGAGCGAACAACTTCGACTCCAATCAACCACCTCCCCTTCCGCCCAAATTCTCCAAGATCTTTGTTTACTCCCCCTCCGCCCTCCCTCCTCTCCGTTCCGGCCATTTAACCGTCGCCCTCTCACCCACTGCATCGAAACACCTCATCTCCCTGTGCCGCAGCGCCAAAGTCAGCATTGGGGCAGGCTGCTTCGCACTCGCGGGCCTCTCAATGATGGAACTAGAAGAGGCACGTAATCCACACATCCCGCCCTCGCAGCGTCCCGCATTTGCAGCATCCTTCCCCTTAAATCCGCGACCATTCTTCGGGTATACCGGACTAGCCGATTCCTGCATGTTAGCCTTCAGCGATGGAGTCGTCATGCCGTTCTTGCCGAAGGAGCTACCCATAGATGGAAGATTTAGGTTGGTGGCGAAACATGCGAATCGTGAGTTGAAGGTCTACCAGAAGAGGTTGAAGGATTCGAAGGGTGGCAGGTTGAGCCTGGAGCCGCATTCCCCGTTGCGCATGCTGGCAAATGGATATTTGGGCCTGCTGGAACGGGTTGAAGCAAAACTCCCACCTGAGCGAAAGACAGGGGCGAATCCTCAGGGGAACTTGCCTGCGAAAACGTTTCAATACGGTGCGACGTGCGGAGTCAGCTCCGTTGGTTCGACGGCAGGCGTCTTTCGGGCCGGAATGTACGACCTCGATGCTGTAGGGCAGGATGGCAAGGACTTTGCTGCCGATTACAGGGGGTTGAGGATTGGAGTCAGGGCGAGAGACAACGAGTTCTTGATAGGCAGTTCGTCGGACTATAGAGGCATTGTGGGGTTTGGTGTTAGTTATGATGCGTCTGCTATTAGTGAGGAGGCGGCAGAAGCATGGGCGCAGAAGATACAGTCACTGTTGGAGAAGGAGGATAGGCCAATGTTGTGAAGATGGCATGGCAGATAGAACAGAAATCGAACGGATACGGAAGGCGACAACGGGGTATATTTACATCTAAGACTAAGTCAACCCTGACTCTATCACTTGGGTCATCAGCTGCCCAAGATTCCCCAAACCAGACTCTTCTGCACTGAAGATGCGCTTTGGTATCTCGAACTCGATGACGGGCTCCTTTTTCAGCTCTCTGTTCAGCTCAGCATCAAGCAGCTACAAGCTAGTTAGTAATGTACAGCAAGTGAGAGCAAAGAGGGTTGAACATACAGCATTGTAAGACTGGTCAAGAAAGTCCTCCAGATTGTATGACCGCTTTGTGAACTGCTCCGAAATGATTCCTGCCAGAGTGGCTACGTTCGGATGATAATGCGATTGCAATGTTTCAATCTCCCAAATACTGCTGTCAATTGCGCCTGTAAACATGGGATCTTTTTCATCCATATCGAAGGGGTCGTCCATGCCTTCCTCTTCGAGCTTCTTCTTCAAGGTGGGATCTCGCGTCTCCCTGTGCATCATGAAAGTGCATGCAGGATGCCGCATGAACATGTTATATATCCACGGTACAACAGCAACGATTCCTGCCGGTGGTGCATTGAGCGCTAGCCTCGACAACCGCTTAATAAAACTGGCAACAAGAGCGGCCGGCAAATGTGTGGAGGACATGAAGGTATCCAAAAGCCTGAAAAATCTTGACCTGTGTTTTGAATGTAACAAGCCATCATCCAGTAGAGAGTAAAGCTTCGTGTAAAACGACGGGTAATCCAAGTTCTTCTCAGAAATCAGGTAGTAGAGGCCTGAGAGGGCGAGTAGTGACGTGGCTCCCCCGACATCGTAGGAATCGGTAAGGAAGTCCATGAGCATTTCAGGCTGCGGGAACCAGGGCGCGATCTGATGGGAAAAGACCCTGAGTATAGCCTTCCGTTGTTCCTTATTTATTCCGCCGCGGAGGGTAGCAAGCCATGCTTCTTGTGCTCGGGACTTGTAAGCGGACAGGGACGGCACTGGACTTTTGCCTTCATTGGATGGCTCCGTCAAGAAGTTCTGTACATCATCTTTCGAGGTCGGGACCTGATCCAGCGACATCAAGAGGGACAAGCTGTTCGAGGAAACAAGCTGCTTGGAGGTCTCCGTAAGGTCGCCATCAAGGACGTTCGTTACAGTCTGGAAGGTGTAGAAACGGACGTCATCGAAGGGCCTGAAGTACTTCTCCGCGAACTCGTCCAGTACGCCTCCTTGTTCAGGCAGGTGCAAAAGCATCTCTACCAGCCTAGGAAGGTGGCCATGTTTCCAGTTGTACTCTCTCTGCCCTTTCGATTCCTCCTTAACCAGGCGCATGAGCAGTGTCAAGCCCACCGACTGGGTAGGTGGGTTATCACTGCGCAAATAATCTCCAAGAAGCATCTCCTGATATTCTCGATAACGCTCTTTCAGCCACTGTACAATGACAACCTCTGACTCTGGCATTCCTTTGCTCTTAACCATGTCTCCTGCAGAGAGCAATCGTGAGAATACGCGGCATAGCGCAACGGCAGCGAGAACAGCGCTGTCATTTTCGGTCTCATGCTTTCGCGCGAGCTGAATAAGGGTGACAATATTGTTGTAGTGGCGGCGAGATTCGACGATTTGCGCTTCCAGTTGCAATATTGTCGCTTGAGGGTCGTCTACTTCGTCGCTCGAAGACTGGCGGCGGGCCTTGACTTTGCTTTTGCTCCGTTCTTCTTTCCCAGATTCCCTTTTCCTCTTGACTCCCGCTTGCGTGGCCGCCTTAACCCCTGCCATCTTTTCCCTATGGTGGACTTTTTGTGGTTGAAGGAAGATGGTCCTCGGATCGTGGTGGTGAAGATCCCAGAAAACCGGACTAGCGGCTTGGCGGCAATCCTCTCACATCGGAAACAGCTCAACCATCACGACGGTTATTCCTTGACACCTCCTCAATATCATCCTCAGCAATGGCGTCCCGTCTCGCAAGGAGCGCATTCGGTAAGTTGACGCTCACTGGGCGATTTGAGACACCATTGACCCACCTGCTCACGTATCAAAGGCGCCGCCCGCCTGCGACCCGCGCTCCCTCTCCGCACGCTTCCTGCAATCACCACACCGGTCCGCTCTGCCTCCAATGTTCCTACCGAGGAGCCCGAGAAGAAGGCAAAGTCTTTGATTGATGCCCTCCCCGGAAACAGCCCCGTCTCGAAGGCTGCCATCCTTTCGGCTACCGCTGGTTTGAGCGCTGCGGCTATCAGCAACGAGCTCTATGTCGTGAATGAGGAAACCATCGTCGCCATCTCTCTGATCACCATCTTCTGGGCTGTTGGAAAGTTCGCCGGTCCCGCTTGGTCTAGCTATGCTCAGCAGCAGGTTGATAAGATTTCGGGCATCTTGAATGCTGCCCGTGCCGACCACACCGCTGCCGTCAAGCAGCGCATTGAGAGCGTTCAGGAGCTTAGCGGCGTTGTCGACATCACCAAGACTCTCTTCGAGGTTTCCAAGGTGCGGAAAGACCAATTCCGAGAATCATCGGATATCCGCTAGTCCGATCATGGCTGATGTATGAGTAGGAAACCGCCAGGCTCGAGGCTCAGGCGTACGAGTTGGAGCAGAAGACCGCCATTGCACATGAGGCTAAGGCTGTGTTGGATTCGTGGGTGCGCTATGAGAGTCAGGTTAAGCAGAGGCAACAGCGTGAACTTGCCGAGACTGTCATCGCCAAGATCGAGAAGGAACTTGAGAATCCCAAGACCCTCAAGCAGATCCTTGACCAGAGCGTCGCCGACGTTGAGAGTATGTATCGCATCATAGAGAGTGTATATCATAGAGGCTAACAAGGACCAGGGATCGTCTCGCAGAAGGCATAAGCGGGCAAAAAGAATCTCCTTTACCAATTATCCTTGTTAAATACACTTGTGCAATAGTCGATCTGCTCAATAGATTAGCGTGGGCCGCGGACACTGGCCGGTTCTCGTTTCAATTGAATCAAATCCTCCTGAACTCCTACACCTTAGTTTCCGTGCCGCATGAGAGTTCGCCTTAAGCTATGGTAGCTCGGTAAGCATCCATTACCTGCTGACAGCATAAATCGAATACACACAACGTTATTCCAAGCGGTTATTCGAGTCCCTCTTTTGCAGTAGCCCAAGCTAGGTTTGAAGTACTCACGTGCGGCTATACCGAATCTGCCCGGTTGCTACAATTGCACTTCTGACGGTATTACTGAAGTGTATCTATAGTGATTTCTTGATGGAGAGACTAGGGTTAAGTGAGACAAACAAGCCGTAAGAAGTCAATCAGGGAAAAGGAGTATATTTAGCTGTCGCTCTATTGCGAGGCCTCAACCGCCCACTGCGGAAAAGGGATAATCAAATTGTATATTGATTGTACCGCTGATTGGTGTTTATTCATTCACGCTATCGGTGGACTGTCATGATGGTACGCGGATAGTAAGTGAATAACATATCCTATGGTATAAGAAGTGCTAAACAGCCATCTGGTCACCTACTAACTAAGGGTTTATTTAAGGGTTTACTCCTTTATCTCTCACTGTGATCTCAATCAGCAGCTTGACGCTCATGGACTCTTGAAGGGTTTCGGGGAAAACCGGAAGCAACAGGAATAGGTTAACCGAAAACAAAGGAGTAGACGTAGAGGGTGTGTTGAGTGTAGCCTACCCTAGGGCAGCAGCTCACTCTCCCTAGGCTTTTGATGTAAGAGACGGGAGATAATGCACATGCGGTTTTCGAGAAGTCATCATCTTATTTTCCTTATAAAACTCCGGAACTCTCCACTGCATTTACAGATCATCCGTACCGGTGAGCAGGAACATTGGTTCCTGCGGGTGTGGGTGGGGGACATGGGCCGGTTGGAGATGGTGAGGTGTCCGCGTAAGAGTAAGTCACGTTGAATCCCCTTGGGAACGGAGACATATGAATAACTATCACCCATGGTTGAGGAGTTGCATCATGTTGGAAAGAAACCGTCAAGCTTGCGTTTAATATCATGTCACATGGCTTGCTGAGGGAAGTGATAGGTCTGCGTTGGTGGTTCCAGCGAAGGCGCCTAGGCTTTGAGTTGAGCGGTAAGGCCGTGCTGACAAAAGCTTTTCTAGTAGTATCCTAGTCACTATACTCAGTCGCGCACTTTGTGGGTTGAATGCATGCGAGTATTAACCTGGCAGCTTCATCTCAGTCTATTGTGTTGATAGACATCCATCCACTGCCCCTGGAACGCACTTCGACCGACCTGTTTACCAGAGTGTGGCCATCTGGGTGCAGATCATGCTTGTGCTGGAGTAGTGCCTCATCTCAACTCATGGGATGCTCTTACTCGATTCAGGAGTTTGCTCAATCTCCAGCTCTTCTCCTTGCGCTTGGAATTGAGCACTTCCTAAGCCGCTCCTTCCATTTGTGAAGCATAGAATTCCTTCATATCTGTTAGCATTTGGAACCGCATCCTATAGATCGCAAGCGCTCACCGGATATTGCCTCTGGATCATCGTAGCCACCCTCTCCACCTCCTCAGCCATCCCTTGAACATTTGCATCCCACTGCCGCAGCTCTTTGCGTCCCGTCTCCACATGGCCGGTCTTTCGCTCGCCACTACCTTCGCCCTCGAAGAAGATCCAACGATCAATTTGATCTATGGATCCAGCTAGGCGGCCTTGCTCAAGCATCTTTGCTGCATATTCCTCCGCTTTGTCAGCATCGGTACCAAGTAGCTCCGCCAACCGGTCAATGTGTATATTCTTGTAGATCTTCGAGACACCAAGAACGTTGTGTTCTAGAACGGCCTTCTCAAGCACAGTAGATCCGTCGGCCGTCTTCGCAAGATGATGAGGCTGCAATTTGGACGCGAAAGCCTTCACTTCGTCAGGGCTCATTATCCGATCAAAGAAGATCTTTTCCAAGATCGCAAAATGTTCCACTTGGTGTGCACGCTCGTCTTTGTACAGTTTCGAGAGCATTTTGGCCCGCTGTGGACCGGCGGGAGCGAGGATGGCGCACACGAATGCAGCAGAAAGCGTCCGGAGTCGTTCCTCCTCGTCTATAACCGCTTCTAAGCTTACATTGTAGTAGGCTTGTGCAGCATCGAGGAAAGATCGCTGTGAATCGTACATGCGGGCCTGGCTAAGCTGGAAAAGCAACTTTGTCTCCATGTCCGTAAGACTGTGTATGACATTCTTGATCTTATTGAGCTGCGTAAAAGCGTTCGTCGTATCGTCCTCCTCGAGGTAGCATCTTACGATGCGGATCCATACTCGCGCCTTGTCATCGTTGGAGAGCTGCTTTTGTGTGGAATCAAGCGGTATCCTCTGAAGTATTTGGGCAGACTTTATGTATTCTCCCTGCTCTTCATATGCGTCTGCGATGATCCCTTTGATCTGACTGTCCTGTTCCTCGAATTGTGCACCCTTCCCAGCCAGTAAATCGACCACTTGCATTCCGACATCTGCCTTGACTTCCGGGCCCTTGATAGCCTTGATTTGTTCAATGAAGTTGGTTATAAGCGGCCGCAGTACAACCAGACCTAGAGACTCCTCGAGCAGGGCTTGGGCGTAGGCGTTGAGGTCCGCGGTCAAAGTCTCTATGTTGCTTTGTGAGAGGATCTGGTGCAGGAGGGCGGGGTACTGTGATTGCTTCTCTCCCGCGGAGGCCGATGAAATAGCCGATAGGCCTGATGTCACTGCATGCGACGCCATTGTGCCGTAGGTTGTGAAGTGTTTTCGCCGGAAGGTACAGAGGATGCGATGAGGGTGTTTTCCCTATGTGAAAGGAAGCTCCAGGTGGCAGCTCCCCACGGGAGTTAGTACGCGGAATTGTGGGTTGTGCGTAAGTGGTTATGTGATGAGCCACTCCTTGTACGCAGTCCTAAGTTCAGGCGAGCTGTAAGCTATGGTAGTTTGGAGGGGAAGGCCTTGTGCAACAGGGAAATCGAATGTCTGCAATAGTTCAATGTTGGATGTAGTCTACGGAATTCCGACGAGGGAGCTCACCCCATAGCTTATCGATAGCAAGCCACTTGCCGCTAGTATTCTTCAGTCCTAGCGTCTGAGCCCCATGCTGCCATGGATGCTGCCTTTCATCACCATTCACTTCGAGGATTCCCGTTTCTCCATCAAACAGCCCCATCCATCACCTTCACCGCCCACCCTCCTGCTACTTCCACCCCCCGCCCCCTTACGAAAGCCGCACCACGACGACCTTACCTTCATATCTACAGGTACTGGCTGCCAGATCAGATCCCTAGCGAGGTCCAGTTCGCGCGGCACCTCAAGGCCGAGCCGCACTGTGCAGGCGGCAGCTAACGCGCGACTTCTCCTCAACACATTCTCTAGAATAAGACGCTCTTTCAAACCGTGAATATGAACGGCCTCAAACTGGAACCGGGTCTCAAAAGAGACCCGGACGCCATCACCCCGTCCGGCAGCGGCTACATGGACGACGACTTCTACGAAGACACGGGCGAACTCACCCTGCCGCCAAAGGGCGAGTCCAAAGACATCTGGATTACGCGCATCCCAAAGTGGCTCTACGAAGCCGTCAGCAACTACGACGAGCTCGCCGACGGCCGCGACGACGACGAAATCGTCATTGGCGAGGTGCTGATGAAGGTGGATCCCACTCGGCCGGGCAAGGTCGACAAGACAAAGCCGCTGCGAATGTTCTTGCAAAACAATTTGATCGCGACGAAGAAGTTGCCGCAGGCGTTTGAGTTGCAAATGGCGCAGACGGCGGGGAAAGAGGTGTTGGGGAATACGTACGTATTCACCGAGAAGGACCTGCCGGGGTATAAGCCGAGTGGGATCTTTGTGCCGGGCAGACAGGGAGGCAGAGGGAACTATGGCGTGCAGGATCCGAATGCGAAGGTACATAAGCGGAGTAAATACAAAAAAGCCGTCCCAAGTATGCACCTGTCTCCATCCCGGTACCTGCGAAGACGCAAGTGCTAACAGAACCACCAGAACAAACTACACTTGTCGGCTCCGCAACCCGCGAATACACCGCCATCCCCCTCCGCACAAAAGAGTACCTCACCTTCGAAGCCTCGCGCATCCGCAAAGCCATCCAAGGCGAACAAACCCACACCAACATCCAAACCACCATCAACGAGCACCGCAACGCCGCCACCCTCCAGAAGCAGTTCGCCTCTTTCGTCCGTCCCGCCGCCGCCCGCGCTCCACAGCTCAACAAAGCCGCCCGCATCCCCAGGAACGAGCTCATCGACCTCCTGCACAAGTGCTTCGACGACTACCAGTATTGGCATATGAAGACGCTGCGCGAGACCACGAGGCAGCCCGAGAGCTACTTGAAGGAGGTGCTGCAGGATATCGCGCAGTTGGTCAGGTCCGGGCCGTACGCCAGTACGTGGACGAGGCAGGGCGTTTTCGAAAGTGCTAGGGATATGTCGGGGAGGAAGCAGCAGGTTGCGCCGGATGAGGAGGGTGGTGGTGCTGGCGGTGGTGGGGACGACGACGAGGGCGATGAGGAGATGGAGATGGAGGATGTGATTTAACGTTCAATTTTGTCATGTGTTGAAATCACGTTGCTGGATGATCTGGTCGGGATTGAACAGTACTTTGGAAGGAGGGAATCTGGTTGCATTAGCGAGGCGTTACTGGTGGGAAAATCATGTCTCGAGATATCGAATCCGGACGATATATACATGGCTCTTGTATTTGTTGACTTGAGGTCTACCCAAACAGTGGTCGGATTACATACACAATCACCAACGGCGCCATCGCGAAGGAGGAAAGGGGGTAGACAGCGAAAAACACCGTTTTTACATCTACTCGATGGCTGGTACGGTAAATGCTCTGTCTTGGCCCAAGACCCGTTCCTGCCCACAAGACAGCCGGGTCAGTTTAACAATGGAGCATACTGTGTTTCTATCTGTCAGTATATGCCTGAGCTGGAAATATGCCTTACAGTCCAATAACAATAGTGTGAATGGGACGTAAACAATAACATCTCCATGCTACAAGTACATGGTAATGACCGCATGAATAAGAGCACGATTCGTTAGGTAGGCTTGGCAGGTGACTAAGCGATGACCCCACGCCAGCAAGTGCGATCGATCCATCGAGAGGTACCCAGACACCGGCTTGGAACCACCACCCGCCCATACTACTTGTATTCGTCTTGCTCTCAACCACTCTGACTACTCCTCTTTCACAACACTCCGTCGCTGTTGGTTCTCATTTGACTCCGCCTACCCCGGCACTCTCACCTGTGCACCTCTTACTCGCCCACACCGCAGCTTCACCAAGCCTTACCTGACGTCGACGTCGGCGGCGCCAACCTTTTCCCAGTCGTAACCGCCCACTGCGACCACTTTCAACCGTACATCTCCTCGAAGAATCTGCGCCGGCCCTTCAGACACCCAGTCGCCTTGTTCCGTGCTCAGCGTTGACGACCCCGCCTCTACAGTGCAAGAATCATGGTAGAGGCAGAGGGCAATCCCACGTGGAAGTTCACTCAGTACGTTTGACTCTGCTGCTTGCCCCCTATTCCACTCTGGTGATTCTGGCATCGCCGCTTGCTGCATCTCCCCTTAATGAGGGTTCATATCCCGCTCTCGTTCTTGCAACTAATGTCTGCAGATGCTTCGGTGACAAAGGAGACGTTGAGGACATAACAGAAGGTAGGAACTCGGAGCTTCTTCCATATACCATGAAATTATGTGGCAAGCGCTTGTGCTGACCCGCCTCTGCGCAGCTGACATCATTTCCACTGTCGAATTCGATCAAACGGGCAATTATCTGGCCACCGGGGACAAAGGCGGTCGTGTGGTACTGTTCGAGAGAAACGAAACGGTATGCTGCACAAATGATTGCATGCCCTGGGTCATCTAGCCGGGACTGACATATATACCAGAAAAAAACTTGCGAGTACAAGTTCCACACCGAGTTTCAGTCACACGAGCCCGAATTCGACTACCTGAAGTCGCTCGAGATCGAGGAGAAGATCAATAAGATCAAATGGTGCCGTCGCCAGAATGCCTCCCACTATCTGCTCTCTACCAATGACAAGACAATAAAGCTGTGGAAGGTCTTCGAAAAGTCGTTAAAGGTTGTGGCGGAGAACAACCTTTCACATGAGCTCACCCCAGGTGGAGTTCCTGGAGGCGGCGGACCTGTGAGGAATCCGAACGTCCACTTCCGCACAGCTGCAGACCTAAAGCTTCCCCGCTTGACCCATCATGACACCGTTGTCGCCGCCGTACCCCGCAAAACCTACGCAAACGCACATGCTTATCACATCAATAGCATATCGGTAAATAGCGACGGCGAGACATTCATTAGTAGTGATGATCTTCGAATCAATCTCTGGAACTTGAATATACAAGACCAAAGCTTCAACATCGTGGACATCAAACCGGCGAACATGGAGGAGCTTACCGAAGTCATAACCGCCGCCGAGTTCCACCCGCTGAGCTGCAACTGGTTCATGTATGCTAGCTCTAAAGGAACCATCAAGCTGGCGGATATGAGAGAAAGCGCTTTGTGCGACCAGCATGCAAAACGTAGGTGTTGCATTGAGTACGGACCAACAAAGTATTAACGGTTGCGCAGAATTTGAACAGGAAGAGGACCCCACGTCTCGATCCTTCTTCTCCGAAATCATCTCCTCGATATCAGATGTCCGTTTCTCGCACGACGGCCGCTACATACTGTCACGCGACTATCTGACCGTCAAGATTTGGGACGTGAATATGGAAAGGACACCAATCAAGACCATCCCGATCCACGAGCACCTACGGCCGAGGCTATGCGACACTTATGAGAATGACAGCATTTTCGACAAGTTTGAGGTGGTATTCTCAGGGGACGCGAAGAATGTGATGACGGGCAGTTATAATAACAACTTCATGATCTACCCGTCTGACCCTGATAAAGAGACTGAGGTTGTCCTCCAAGCGGACAAGTCGGCTTTCAAGGCTAAGAAGGTCGGCATACCAACGCCGATGAACTCGTCAACAAGCCCCACCGGCAGCACGAGTAAGAAGGGTGGTTCCAGAGCTGGAAGCCCTGCTGCTGGGGCTGTTGGCCAAGGCCAGCGGATGAGGAAGGAGACCGACGCAGACCAGATCGACTTCAACAAGAAGATCCTACACATGAGTTGGCATCCGTTCGAGGACAGCATTGCAATCGCCGCAACGAACAATGTGAGTGACTGCACCTTCTTCCGAGTGTGCCAAATGCTAATGTCCTCAGCTTTTCGTCTTCTCAGCACTGTAAGGGAGCCTGCATCATGGTCGGAAGCACATCTTGTCAGAGGCAATCACAACTAGAGGCATTTTGGAGCCGTGTTAGTTGGGCATTCTTGTGCTCTCTTATCTTCCTTTCCTTGCAATCAGCTTAGGCTATACGAGGTGCAGGCCGATGTGCTTTTTGTGTCAAGAGACTGTTTATCAATGGTGTGGCCAATACCAACCTGGTTCAGATTTGAATGACTGCGGGGAGAGGATGAGGAATTGCACTTCATTACGTTATGCTGTAGTGCAATGCCGACGATGCTGAACGATGCTAAGAGACTCAAATAATAATCAACTGTATCGAAACCACTGTTTCCCCTATGTATAATGAACACTGTGACAATTATGTATTGGCATAAGCGTGTCCCTCGACCAGACCCCTGCTCGATCTCAGCCCTACGCCGCTAGTGCGGGCAGTTGAGCCTCATTTCAAATCTGGCAACATCATGCCCAGCACCACGCCCTCGCCGTCGCCATTGATCTTTGCTGTTGATACTGTTCCGCGCACAATGGTTTTGTGAATTGCGCCGGGTTCTGAGTAGCCTGCTCTCTCCTAGCCTTTTTGCCCACTCACTTTTCAAGGCCGATTTTCAGACTAGAACCTGCATTGCAAAGTCAACATCACGTTTATCGAGGGCGTCCGGTCTATTACATACCGGCTCCTACACTTTTGTTCCCCGTTATATAAGATTTGAATGCCGTCCTGACAATTCCGGAATGGCCACAATTGCCCCGCTCGCTGGAAGCTTTGCGCTCATTTTTGGAGGATGTTGTTCGAATGTAAGTGTGCATTTGGGAGACTCGCCTTTACGGAATGACACTGACATGTAATAAGGTTTACTGTCTTGAGGCCATTGTAAAGTATGAGCCATCCTGTTCTTGAGCACGTGGCGACCTTCTGACACTAGCAAGACATGAACCCGATAGCGGTCTTTTGATCACTCTCTTCCAATTTGTCTTCACGTGTCTATCGACTCTCCATTACCAGTTCGACCCAAGGTGCCGGTACTTCGTCAAGCCTTCCCCAGTCCCGTTCCGGAAATGGTGCATCAGCGCAGCGTTGTTTTTTACTGTCAACATGATGAACAACTGGGCTTTCGCGTTCGATATCTCTGTTCCCGTCCACATCATCCTTCGTAGCTTTGGAAGTGTCACCACTATGGCTGCTGGTTGGATGCGCGGGAAAAAGTACACTCCTGTGCAGATCTTCTCTGTGGCGGTATTGACTCTGGGAGTCATGGTGTCGGCCTGGGCGGATGCAATGTCGAAAGTCAGTAGTCATTGATACGCTACCATCTGAGCAATGGTCTAACCGCTGTAGGGCAAAACAATGGATACCTCCGGCATCGACCTCACCAGCTCGAATTTCGAGCTGGGTCTCCTTGTCCTCTTGATCGCCCAATTCCTATCCGCTTACATGGGCGCCTACGTCGAGGACATCTATCTGCAACATGGGAACCACTGGCAAGCCAACTTGTTCTACTCACATCTGCTCTCACTTCCTCTCTTCGCGAGCTTCGCCCCAATCCTCTACAACCAGTTCACTCGGCTCCAGTCGTCCCAACCTTTCCAAGTTCCGCCATCCATCGCCGCCAACCTCCCTCCAACGGTCAACAAAGCTCTCGCTTCCACCTCCCAGCATGTCATCTACCTCACCGCAAACGCAGTGACGCAACTGCTGTGCATTACGGGAGTGAACATTCTCAGCGCCAACACGTCTGCTGTCACGGTCACCATTGTACTGAATATCCGGAAGCTTGTGAGCTTCTTGCTGAGTATTTGGCTATTCGGGAACCAGATGAGTGGATTGATGAAGGTAGGGGCTGCGATGGTGTTTGGCGCTGGGGCGCTGTATGGGTGGGAGACTTCGTATAATATCCCGAAGAAGAGAAGGGATGCTGCTGAGAAGGGGAAGAAGAACCAGTAGATGAGCAGTTGGTAAACGCTGGTATGAAATGGTAGATAAGTCATATACATCTTCTTATTTCGTATATAGCTTGTCTCGGGCTTGTATGAGCCAGACCTAGGGTAGACCGTTTTGAGGCTAAGTTGCCTTGATAAAGCAGGAGCCATAGAACGCATCGAGTCATCACATTGTATCTGAAGGTATCCCATTTGCATATTTTCTCAAGACCAACAGGAGAGCAGAAGTCTGTATAAGCTCCAAAAGTATGCGTCACGTGCTGCGCCACACTGTGGCGCACACAAGCTGACCACACTTCCTGTTTGGTGCAAGGGGGTTCCAAAAGATTACGTTGTCTTATAAGCTCCCGCTGGACAACCACCACGACGGAGGCTTCGTCCTTCTGATATCAGTGCTTCGACTCGATCCCCCAGCTTGGCGCGGGTACGTTGCTCGCCCGCACATTATCCAAGTCTTGTGCTGACCCCAATTCTAGCACTACCTCCAGCAAGCTGGTCCACGGGTGCGCACCATGTCTTCCCCGAGCGGCGTGCGGCATCGCGGTCCCAAGGACAAGAAACGACCTACTACCCCGAACCCTGAGGTCGTTGCCGAGAAGGCACATGAAGTTCTGGACAAGGTGAAGCCGAGGTTGGTGCCTAAGAAGAACGCGGAGTGGGATTATCGAATTGCGATTGCGATTATCACGGTGCTCGCTTTTGTTACACGATTCTGGTTGATTACACATCCCACGCAGGTGGTTTTTGACGAGGTTCACTTCGGAAAGGTAAGATCAATTGGTCTCAATTACAATTGAGTTGAAGCCGTATGAAGCTAAAAACGAGGCTAACCGTGCGTAGTTTGCTTCATACTATCTACAACGAACCTACTTCTTCGATGTCCACCCGCCTCTTGGAAAGCTCCTGTTTGCCTTCGCCGGTTGGCTTGTGGGATACGATGGATCCTTCTTGTTCGATAACATCGGCGATTCCTACATTACCAACAACGTGCCGTATGTTGCGTACCGCGCCATGCCCGCTACCCTCGGAGCTCTCACCGTCCCGACCGTCTTCTTGATTATGTGGGAGTCTGGATACTCCCTGCCGGCGTGTGTCACGGCATCCGGTTTACTTTTGTTCGATAATGGTCATATTGGCGAGGACCGTCTGATCCTCTTGGACGCCTCTCTGATCTTCTTCATGGCCACCTCCCTCCTGGCATATGTTCGATTCTACAAGCTCCGACATGTGCCTTTCAGCCGCAAGTGGTGGAAATGGCTCTTGCTCACCGGCGTCTCACTGAGTTGTGTCATTTCCATCAAATATGTCGGACTTTTCACCTTCTTTTCTATTGGCATCCCCGTTCTCATCGATCTGTGGGACCTTATGAACATCAACCGTCGCCAGGGAGCCCTGACGCTGCAAGAATTTGGAAAGCACTTTGCTGCTCGCGCCCTTGCACTCATCATCATTCCATTTTTCCTTTATCTGTTCTGGTTCCAAGTGCATTTCTCCATTCTCACTCGGTCGGGACCTGGGGATGACTTTATGAGCCCGGAGTTCCAGGAGACTCTGAGTGACAACGTTATGACATTGCAGTCTGTTGGTATCGAGTATTTCGATACCATCACCATCCGCCATAAGGAAACCAAGGTCTATCTCCACAGCCACCTTGACCGCTACCCCCTTCGTTATGAGGATGGCCGTATCTCATCCCAAGGTCAACAGGTCACCGGATACCCTCATAACGACACCAACAACCATTGGCAAATTCTTCCCGTCAAGCCGCTTGAGAAGCTTCAAGGTCAGCGGGTCAAGATTGGTGACCAGATTCGTCTACGCCATGTTGTAACAGACTCGATGCTTCTGACCCACGATGTGGCTTCTCCCTACTACCCGACGAATCAGGAGTTCACCACTGTGAACATGGAAGAAGCCAATGGCAAGCGCTTCAACGATACACTCTTCGAGATCCGTGTTGAGGGAACCAAGGGCAAGCAAGACTTCAAGACCATGTCTTCCCACTTCAAGCTCATCCATGTCCCCACCAAGGTGGCCATGTGGACCCATACTACTCCACTCCCTGACTGGGCCTACAAGCAGGCTGAGATCAACGGCAACAAGAACGTGCAGCAAACCAGTAACATCTGGTATGTTGATGACATTCCCTCGTTGCCTGTCGACAGCGAGCGCAACAAGAAGGAGCCGCGCCAGGTGAAGCACATGTCCTTCCTGAGGAAGTATATTGAACTTCAACGGGCCATGTTTTTCCACAACAATGCTTTGACAAGCTCCCATCCCTATGCATCATTCCCCATTTCTTGGCCATTCCTGCTCCGTGGTGTCTCCTTCTGGACGCACAATGACACCCGCCAGCAAATCTACTTCCTCGGGAATCCGCTTGGCTGGTGGCTTGCATCCTCTCTGCTGGCAGTCTTTGCCGGCATCATTGGCGCTGACCAGCTGGCTCTCCGTCGTGGCATGGATGCCCTCGACATCCGTAAGTATACACTCGATTTCCAATCCCTGTCACATGTCCACGAGCAAATCGGAATATACCTCATCGATTAACTACTGACTCGGCTTTCTCGTCCAGGTACTCGATCACGCTTGTACAATTCGACAGGCTTCTTTTTCTTGACATGGCTGGCCCACTACGTTCCCTTCTACCTCATGGGCCGCCAGCTCTTCCTCCACCACTATCTCCCCGCACATCTAGCCTCCACCCTCGTAACAGGTGCTCTTGTCGAATTCATCTTCAGCATGGAGCCCCCCGAGATCGATTCGCCTCCGGCTGGATCCGCTCCTGGAGCTGTCAAGGGACACCGTAGGACAAAATCCAGACCTGTGCGGGAGCGCGTCTCTTCGCAGAGCTTGCTTGGCAGCTGGATCGCGACCATTGTCATCCTGGCTGCGGTGTTCTGGTGCTTCCTGTTCTTCGCGCCGCTGACGTATGGGAAACCGGGGCTTACGGTACCGCAGGTCAATGCGAGGAAGTGGTTGGCGTACGATTTGCACTTTGCGAAATAAACTTCTTGATGGACTCTGCCACCATTGTCCGAGCTTTGCGGTAGGGAGGGTGGATAGAGCGGAGGTGAATCGGCCTTCTAGGCGTAGGCGTAGGTGTGACAGCTCTCTTTTGTCTTGTCTTTTCAGCTCTTCTAAGATTTTACTTCCAATAGCAATGACATGGGGTCTTTGACCTCTCAATCTGTTTTCCTAGCGTTGGCGTGGGGGTGGAGGATGGTTGGGATTAGCGATGAATGTATATTAGTGTAGTGAGATGACAATTATAGAGGTAATGCAAGGTCGTGTAGGTGGAGTAAACGTCGTCTCTCCGTATAACAGATGTGAACCGAAAAGCGATGGCGAGCGCGGAAAGTAGCGCGCGTGGGACCAGTTTTGCCGTCAAACGAAGGGTTTCTTGGGCAGGGTGCGGTTGTCAAGAAGCATCAATCAGTGTACAAGAGGATAGGTGGTACTGATGATGGATACACTCACGGTACTGGTTTCCGAGAGGAAGGAGGTGAGAAGTTCGCCTAGGATGGCGAGGTGCAACGATTGTTGGAACTGCTGGAGTGCGGTGAGCTGGATGAGCATCTCAAGGAGGGAGAGCGAGGTCCGGATTTCTTGTGCATATCGAACGAACCCGACTCTCATGCGCGCCTCGCGTCTGACATTCTCCCGAGCCACGTGCACGGTGCTGCTTTCCGAGAGGAAGAAAGTGAGGAGTTCGGTTACGGTGCTGCGTTCCAAAAGGACGAAGGTGAGCAGTTCGTCTGGGATGGGGATGGCGAGGTGTAGGGACTGCTGAAATTGCTGGAGGTCGGTGAGGCGAGTGAGCACTCGAGGAGGGAAGTGCGGATTGTTATCCAGATGGAACTCTCTTGCCGCGCAAGGCGGTGCGGGATTGTTGGAGTTGCTGGAGGTTGCTGAAGTGGATGAGCATCTCGAGGAAGGAAATGCGGATTTCTTGTACGGACTCAACTTCTTCGGCAAATCTTTGGTTCAACGACGTGTTGAGGATGGGGAAGAGTTTCGACACTGGGGGAGGCTAGCAGAAAAGCGAGAAAGCGGAAGAAAGAGGGACAGGACAACGACCAGCGAGAACAGGAATGTTTCCAAGGGATCACTCACCTGTACGGGCACTTGCAGGGCCACTGCGGCGATTCCGGCTTCGTGTCTCAACCCAACATCTGGGAGCTTGCTAGTAAGTAGCCTTACCTAACCTAGAGGCCCCTCTGTTCGAGGCCACATTAACTTGTGTTCCTTTTTTGTTTTTTTTGTTTTTCTTTTTTTTCTTTTTTGTTTGCGCCTCTGTTCGAGGCCTACATTAACTTGTGTTAATTATCAGAAAATATCGCCTTCCTAATCCAAATCCAATACGGCCCGGCTAACAGAACTTGAAGACAACCCTAAGAAAATCTCTGTTTGTATCTTTAGGCTTAGAGACGCGAACAAAGACTAGGCTGGCTATAGAGTTGTTGTCGTCATCTACGGCAACGCTGGAGTAGCCGAAATCATCCTCGACGTGGAGTGCACTGGAGGCCGTAACTGGCTCTTTGAATGGACCTCGAAGGGCGTGTTCTAATTTTTAGATTACAGATTATAACTATAGCTCTATAGCTAGAATAGTTGTTTTTTATATCTCTGCGCTTAAAGATACAAATAGAAACCTTCTTTAGGTTGTCTTCTAGCTTAGTAGCAGGCCTATAGCAGTTGCGGATAAGGAGGCGGTCTCTAAGCTTGGAGATACATGGCCTAATTCCATCGTTGGCTACCATTTTAGCTGGCTCTGCTCTCTCCCAACCACAGAATGCTGAGTAGCAGAGACCGCTGGGCACATTAACGGGCCCAGCACCCGATTCTGTCGTCTCTCAACTCGCATTGCTCTTTGAAGACATCCGACGATAAAACCAGCGTCATATAGGCCCATGAATGTGCTTAACACTATGTGTCCAAGCAGACTGCTCACCACCCTAGACTAGGAACGCCAGTAGCTTAACCGGCCGACAAACTTTCCCAGCCAATATCGCGGATCGAGATGAATATCGGGTGCCAATTCGTGCCGCTTGCATATTTCAAACAAATGCTCGCTCTTCAACTGTTAGGAACACTACTATCCTTATCCGCAACTGCTATAGGCCTGCTACTAAGCTAGAAGACAACCTGAAGAATGTTTCTATTTGTATCTTTAAGTGCAGAGATATAAAAAACAACTATTCTAGCTATAGAGCTATAGTTATAATAGTCTTTGTTAAGTATAGAGTCTTTTAGTGCCCTCTACATCTACGTTTATCTCCTTTATGGTTTCGCCCTCTAGTTTGAATCGTAGATTTCTGTTTGTATCTTCAAGCTTAGAGACACACACGACGACTGTGCTAGCTACAGAGCTTCCTCCGTGCAGCCTCTACTACACGAACCCTCCCTTCCCCTCATCCCCGACCCGACGAACCAACCCCCTATATCCTCGCCACCCCATCAAAGCTCCACAACCCCCTCCCCTTCCTCTCCGGATCCCGCCTCACGAACCCAGACCTCCCCACAATCTCGCCCACCCCACTCGCCATCTCCCTCAACGTCTTCTCATCCGCATGATTCGCAAGGAACCTCCTCCCATCCTTCTTCAACCTCCCCACAACGAACCCCCTAGCGGGCTTCCCATCCCGCGCAAACTCCACCGTATACGTCTCCACCACACTCTCCCCCTCCGCCTCAGCCACCACCTCGGGACCTTTAACATCCAACTTCTTCGGCAACGGATTCGCGTCCGGATACGCGCTGCCATCCTTCCTAGGGTCTTTGCTCAGAATCACTACGTGCTGATAACTCAGCACCCCGCCATTACACAGCACGAGCCCCTTCCTGCCTTTCCCCTGGCGAACCTGCCTCGCCATCTCCGACAAAGCGTGCATGCTGTAGTTGTTCCCCGCGCCGCCGAAACTCGTCAGGCCGCCTAGCAGGGTAAGCGGTTTGCTTCTGGGTCCGGTGAGGGGTAGGCCGAGGTGGTGGGCTGCGAATTTGGGGACAATGGGGAAGCACGAGTAGATGTCTAGGAGGTCGATGTCTGCGGGCGTGAGGGAGGTGAGGGCGAGGGCGGCGTCGAGGGAGGCGGAGATGCTGGGCGAGGAGGTGAAGTTGGGACGGTGCCAGAAGAAATCTGGGTCCGAGGTGCCGGCGCCGCCCAAGGGGTAGATCCATTTTGACGGGGATATGCCGAGGGTGCGGGCGGTGGTGGTGGAGGTGACGAGGAGGGCGGAGGCGAGGTTGACGGTGTTGAAGGCGTTCATTAGGAGGGGGTCTGGGGGGCAGGTCAGTTCTGGTTGTATAGAGTCACTGGATGCTGAGGATTGGAAGGAGATACTCACAAGGAAAACAAATCATCCTATTCTTGCCCCCCACCCTTCCAATGACTTTCTCGTCGTCCCTGCGTCCATAATTCCAACTATACGGATGCTTTTCGGACACGGCTGAGAAATCGGCATACAGCTTTGCGCTCTCTTTGTTGTTCTCTTTGATGCTTTGACCCCGGTGGGCTCGGAAGGCATTCTCATACAGAGGATAGACGTGGATCGGGGCGCCGATACCGTGGATAGCGCCTAGATCTGGGGAAGGGTGTGACTAAGTGTTACAAGGGGTTTGGGGACTTAGAATGGAACTGGTCAGGGGAGGGCTTACTGTCACCGAGATCACGGCCCGTGGGCGTAAAGACCGAGTTCACATCTTGCTCGGGTTTGGTCCAACCCGGAGGAGGCAATTTCTTCGCTGCAGCACAGGCAGACACTAGACAATTGTTAGTGATAGCTCCGTTCACCCCAGATCGCACTCCTTCAACCTCAAGGGAGAGAAGGGGAATCAAATCACAAGGACTTCAAAAGAATCAAGAATGCACACTCAACACATAAACAGAAAGAAATCTAACTCACAGCTCGCCAACGCCTCCCCCCCACACACAACCGCCACACCCACCTCCCCCCTACTCACCCTCCTACACGCCTCATCAAACAACCTCCCCGGCTGATGTCCCCCATGCTCACTATACTCCCTATGCCTCAACGACCCGTCCTCAATTCCCAACTTCCTCGCCAACAGACCAGGTAAATCCGTATACGGCCACGTCCACGTGCGCACCACATCGATGCTGTCAATCGCCGCCCGTAATCTTTCCGGGTCAGGAGCACCCGAGTCGGCAATGGCGGCGAGGATTGCGCGGTGGATCAGGACGGCGGGTTCGTGGGCGTCGGCGAAGGAGAGGGAGCGGTTTTTGATGTCCGCCACGCCGATGAGGATGGGCGTGGGCATCTTTTTGGGAACGAGGAGGGAGTGAGGGTTGGGAAATCCAAGCTCAATTGATTTCTCAAATGTGATTAATCTGGGGAGGGAGAGGGAAGTGTAGCCACAGCGGCTCTTGTTTTTCGAATACCATGTTGTCTATTTGTAGCCATGGCTATAGAGGGCAAACTCGCTATACCAGTGATGTAGTGGAGAGTCATGGCGGGCGAAGGAGCCATTGCCGAGGTTCGTTGGAGATAGTGTAGTTAGATCTGTGGAGATCCCGCTTTGAGCGGAGAAGAGCTACCTGCTTAGCCATGATGAGTGCGGAGCTTCTTGAGGTCGGGAGTGTAGTGAAAAGTGTCGTCTGCGATTCCTCGCTATTGTACGCACGTCCGACTACTTTCACGGCTAAACCTGCCTTTTCGGACATGCAACGCCGCACACATGCATATCCCCAGATTACAAGCGACTACAAGTGCATTGCATCATTCAATGTACATAGAATACAAAAGAAAAGAAATTGCCAAAACACTTCTTAGTACGTTCTCTTGAAAGGAGGAACAGGCTTGCACTCGTTCTCATCCAGCGTATTTGCCTGGACCGCTCTGTAGCCCAGCTCCACCTTGCCATGCGGCGTCTTCTGCCATGACAAGGTGTGCTTCATCCAGTTCACGTCGTCGCGCTCCGGGTAGTCCTCACGGGCATGCGCACCTCTCGACTCCTTGCGGTTCGCCGCCGCTTCTGCCGTCTGGACGGCGCAGGTCAACAGATTACGGAGCTCCAGAGTCTCAACAAGGTCCGAGTTCCAGATCATGCTACGGTCCTTGATACCAACATCCGCAAAGGTAGAGTCGACCTCGCGAATCTTGCGGACACCCTCGTCAAGAGACTCTTGAGTGCGGAAAACGGAGACATCAGTCTGCATAACCTTCTGCATGCTAAGACGGATCTCAGCAGTGGACTTGGGTCCCTCTGACGTGCGAATCTTGTCGATGACGGAGATGGATTCAGCGCCGGCATCAGCGGAGACAGGGTCGGCCTTCTGGCCGGGGGAGAAGTTGTCACGGATGGTGTGAGAGACGGCACGGCCAAAGACGATGAGATCGAGGAGGGAATTTGCACCAAGACGGTTGGCACCGTGAACGGAGACGCAGGCAGCTTCACCACAAGCGAAGAGACCGGGAACCACCTTGTCGTTGCCCTTCTCGTCAACGGTGAGAACCTCGCCAGTGTACTTCGTAGGAATACCACCCATGTTGTAGTGGACGGTAGGGAGCACAGGGATAGGCTGCTTGGTAACGTCGACGCCAGCGAAGATAGCGGCGGTCTCGGAAATGCCCGGGAGTCTGTCGCGAAGGATCTCGGCCGGCAAGTGGCTCAGCTGGAGGTAGATGTGATCCTTTTCCGGCCCAACACCACGACCCTCGCGGATCTCCATGGTCATGGAACGAGAGACAACGTCGCGGGAGGCCAGATCTTTAGCGGTAGGGGCATAACGCTCCATGAAACGCTCACCCTCGGAGTTCAGGAGATAGCCACCCTCACCACGGGAACCCTCGGTGATCAAGCAGCCAGCGCCGTAGATACCGGTAGGGTGGAACTGGACGAATTCGAGATCCTGGTTGGGAAGCCCGGCACGGGCAACCATGGCCATACCGTCACCAGTGCAAGTGTGAGCCGAGGTGCAGCTGAAGTAGGCACGGCCATAACCACCGGTGGCAAGAACAGTGTTCTTCGCAATGAACCTGTGGATAGTACCGTCTTCCTGGTTGTACGCAACGACACCCTTGCAGACGCCGTCCTCCATGATCAGGTCGGTGGCGAAGAACTCAATGAAGTATTTGGTGTTGTGTCGTAGCGATTGGCCGTAAAGCGTGTGGAGAAGTGCATGTCCGGTTCTGTCGGCAGCGGCGCAGCATCGGTATGCCTGTCCACCCTTGCCATATTTCTGTGACTGTCCACCAAACGCACGCTGGTAACTGGCTGATGTCAGGACCGCACATAGGAGGAAGCGAAGTGAGCATACATCTTGCCATCGTCCGTCCGCGAGAACGGGCATCCGTAGTTCTCAAGCTCAATGACGGCCTGTGGCGCCTCGCGGGTCATGTAATGAATAGCATCCTGGTCTCCAAGCCAATCTGAACCCTTGACAGTGTCATACATGTGCCACCGCCAGTCATCCTCGTGCATGCTGCAATCGTTGTCAGTATCGACACTCGGTCATTACAGTCAATCCCTGGGTCCGACGTACTTTCCGAGAGCGGCATTGATACCTCCCTGAGCTGCTACAGTGTGCGACCGAGTAGGGAAAAGCTTCGATATGCAGGCAGTGTTAAACCCGGCCTCAGCGAGACCAAAGGCGGCGCGAAGACCAGCTCCACCGGCGCCCACCACGACAGCATCGTACTCGTGGTCTATTACGGGGTATTTGCGGGAAATGAACCCTGAAGCCTCCTTGGCCCTGAGGTTCTCGGTAGCAAATATGCGGGCAGCGGGCCGCGTTGACGAGAAGGCACGTGTGGGAGTGCGGAGGCTCTTGGTGAGCTATTGGGAGCGTCGTTAGCCATTGAACAAACCTCGAAGGATAACGCCAGCGAGGAGACGCGAAGGAAATGACCCCAATTCTCATGTGACCAACCCCAGAAGCTATCCTCTGTCATACGAATTGACGTCTGGGGAAGTGCATTGTTGCGGAGAAGGCCGGGTGGGAAGGATGATATCGATGGCGCATGAAGGGGGGTAGAAGAGCTCAGAGGAGCTTAGGGAAGCTTACCTGGCTGGCAAACTGCGAGCGGCGCATCCTGAGACAGCTCATGTTGGGCGGCAGCCGGGCAATGGCAGAGGGGTGAGGGTGGAGTGTGTGATCTCAAGTCCGCACGATGTGGTTGGCAAACTTCAATGTTCAGATCGCTGGCTTGCGCTTGGATAATCCGCGCTTCTGATTGGTTCTCATCAAACCTCGGCAGCCGAGACCGAGTTCCGGCTTTCATCACAATTCCTGTGCATCGCAACATGTAAACATCAAATTGAATATCACATTTTGTGTGCAACAATCGTCAATAATGGAGCAATGGCATCGTGAAGGGGATGTTTTCTCAATGACCACGCAGATGCTGTAGGTGGGCTTGCCTCCTAGCTACTTCACAACCGGATGACCTCCGGAGGTCCGCCGGCTTCACCAAGCCATTCTACTACCCTGCCTACAGCAAAGCGAGAGACGTCCGACACATAGTCTAGTTCTTTTCTGTTTACCTTTGATGGTCAGAGGTATCCGGCCCACTGTTTTCAAAAGTTGTGTTCCCTTTCCTCTGGATCACTGGGGGATATCGTCATACATGTGACGTGCTATAGGATGGCCCCGGGGTGCGGAGCATAATAAGACTAAAGGGCTTGTCCAAATCTTTTGTTGGAAACTGAAATTGCAAAGGTAGAGCGCGTTGGGATATACAATAAGACCTTACTGTTTCTCGGTTAACCTCGCTCCATTGGAAGAGGCAAGTTCAAGAGTACTGGGATGCAGATGATGCCGTCTACCATTTCTTTATCTCACCTGCTCCAGTTTGAAATCAAATGCCTAAACAACTGTCATGTTGTAATCATTGATTTTGGTTACTGGGAGAGGAAGATGTCCAAAATGCATACCTCGCCAAGACCAGTAGTTCGTAGTCCCCTTCAGACATCAGGGTATGCGCTGACTTTACGAGCGGTGCGCACGTTACAAGTAGACGCCATAAGTGCACAAATCACAGCAGTAGCGTTTGCATTGGTTTGAAGTGGGAATCATTTGAATTTTTCCTTAAAGGTCGCTCGTCATCACCAGCCTGGTGGAGACCCATGCCGTTCGCCTATTAGCCCATGAAGAAAATGCACCCCAACCGCCACAGCCCCTCTAAGAGGAAGAAGCAAGATCCTTCTTGAGAACACCGACAATCTGCCTCTTCTCGGCCGGAGTCTGGAAGGCACCGTGGCCGAACTTGGAGGACGTGTCGATCCATTTGAGCTCAACCTTCTCCAACGCCCTCCTGCTCGACTGCGTGAACATCGACTTGCGGAGCGTCATGACTCGCTTCTTCACACCGGGGCAGGAACCCTTGAGAAGAACGAAGTCGTTCTTGACCTCACCATAGCGGACGAAACCACCCATGCTGAAAGAAATCGTTAGCATAGCTCCCAAAAAAGCGTGAGGACGTGACATACGGAGTGATCTGCTTCTTGGAGACGTCGAATTCGGTAGATGCGTTACCCTCATCAGAGCCCTTGCCAATGCGGTAGATCTTGTGGTTGACCGAGGTACGGTGGTGGTAACCCATCTGACCAGCGCGTGCAACAGTCCACTGGACGTGGGACGGATGCCAGGCACCGATACAAGCGACCTTGCGGAGACCCTTGTGTGTCTTGCGGGGAAGCTTCTTGGTGCCCCAACGAGCAGTGACACCGTTGAAACCGTGGCCCTTGGTGACGGCAATGACGTCGATCATCTCGTTCTCCTCGAACACGGAGTCGATCTCGATGGGCTTCTCGAAGAGACCGTGGGCGAAAGCGACCTTGTCGGCAACGCTGCCACCGTTGACCTGAATCTCCATCAAGTGGGCCTTCTTCTGCTTGAGGGGAGTCTTGGAGATCTGAGTGTGGGCGAGGACACGGACGACGGTGCAGTACTTCTTGATGCGCTCGAGCTCGCGGGTGATGGACTGGCCGTTGTTCTCGGAGTGCTTCTTGGCGTACTTGGTGAAAGCCTTCCTCTTGCTCTTGTACCAGTTCTTGTAGAATCGGCGCTTGACCTCGTCGCTCAAGTGCTCCGCCCAAACAGTGGTGAGAGAACGCAGGCCCCGTGGAGTCTCGATGTAGCCGACCAGACCAATGGCAATCATCGGAGGAGTCTCGATGACGGTGACGGCCTCGACGATTTCCTTCTTGTGGAGTTTGGCACCCGGACGATCCAGGTCGCGGACAATGGTCGTCATGCCGGCCTTGTATCCCATAGCAGCGGTCAGGTGGACTGGCTTCTTCGGGTCATCCTTAGGAAAGCTCTTGACCTTTCCTCGGTGGCGCGAGGCGCGCTTTCGCGGCAAGAATGCCAACGAACCATGGCGAGGCCTAGAAAAAAGTTAGAATTGTGAAATGAACGCCAGGAAACGCAAAACATCCGCTTCGAACTTCCTATGACTCATGATTGGCTCGTTTCAATCAGTTATTGAGCCCGGGTATGTTGCCGACGATGTGGTTGCCCGGTGTCGACGTGGATGGTCGTGGTGTTGAGGTTGAGAATGCGACCCGAGATTCAGAATTGGATTGTGCGCGCACGGCAGCTACGCGGATGACTAAGCATGGACCCCTGCCAACTGCCCCACCAGCCCCTTCCCCAGCAAACGATCTTTGAACATCGCAGAACAACAGTTTGCTTCATCATTCCGACCAAGCAAACTTCTGCTATTCCTCTGCAGATTTCCCAGTCAGCGCCACTGGTCTGGCAACTACCTAACTTGCGATAAGTAGAGCGACGTCTTCGAACGTGATATGATATAGAGAAACGCGCTCCAAAGCTAACAGCAAGTTCAATGATACCACTGCACCTCCCGGCTGTTCACTTGGACGTGAAAACCAGCAGTACCGAGGAGGTGCAGGTGGGGTGTCTAGTCCGATGTAGGAGGCAGTATGTGATAGAAGAAGAAAGATCTTGTATTGGATACCTTCGACTAGAAATCCATCATCCTCCCCATCAACCTCGTCCTCTCCGCCTCAACAACCTCCTGACACCTCACCACGACCGCAGCGCACAACCCCCTCGCCTTCTCGTCCTCCTCGCTCCCGGAAGGCAGCCCCGCAAATACCCCTTGCACCCAACTCAAAGTCTCCAACAACTCCGCTCCCTGCTCCCTCGCAAGCCCATCCCTCCTCTCACCATTCACCTCCAAAAGCATCAGGAAAGCAAAAAGCAGTGCACTCAACACCCCCTTATCACCCACCGCCACCCCCCTCACCAAGAGCAGCACTTCCCAGAACTCGCGCGTCATCTGCGGCAGCGCCAACGTATTCGGCCCACTCGCATGTAGCAGCAACGCCAGCGTCTGCAGAAACGGAGGCAGTAGATGAGGACTCGTGTACACACTGTCTTGCCCACTCGCAATTCCGAGATGCCCAGAAGAAGATGATGATGAAGCCTTCACACATATCCACCACCGTCCCGTCAACGGGAAGAAGAAGTTATCCGCGACGATCTGGGCCAGCGCATTGGGAATGGGCTTCGTGCGTCGCTTCTCGACTTGCATTCTCGAGCTGAAGGTGCGGATTTTGACGACGTTGGGGCCGGTGAGTTGGTCTGCGGCTGAGGCGGCTAGCGGGGAGAGGAGTTGTTGGGTCATTGAGGATGTGAGTTTTGCCACGGGGTTGGATGTACTAGAGGAGTAGAGTTTATGTAGGTGAGGTGGGAGGTTCTTACTTGGGAAGTCTGAGGTAGGCGGGATGAGGTCATCTGTTGATGCGTCCTTCATGCCGGCGAGTTCGCGGGCCCCGAGACCGAGGGTCGTGAGTATGGCGGTGCGTTGGACGATGGAGTAGTCGCCGGAGAAGAACGTGCGCGCGAACCACTGCGCCATGGGCGCTGGTTTGGCGAGCAGGACGGCGATGAGAGCTTGTTGGCGATGGACGGCGAAGTCTGGGAGCTCGAAGTTGTCTTGCAGACCAACGAGCAAAGATGCAAGTTCCTCGATGTGATCGACGACTTCAGTGCCGAAGTTGGCTTTGCGGCGAATGAGGGGACCGGCGGTTTGGAGGGCCAGTTGATGTCGCTCGTAGTTCTCCTGGTCGCGGAGGCCCGCGATGAGGTCCCGGATGTATACCGGGGCGACGGGCTTGTTACGGTTTATTTCTGTGGGATCTTCGGTATCATCCTCCGGGTCAGAGTCGGGTTTTGCGTAGGGAATCAGGTCGGAGTCTTCGTCTGAGTCGCTGAGAACTTCCACGATACGTGGACCGGTGATTTCGGTTATAGCAGGTGTCGTGGTGGGCTCTTCTGCGGATTTTGATGCCTTTATGGGTTTCTTGACTCGTCGCGCGTCGCGTAGAGATTCGACGTCCCTGTCCTTCAGCTTCAAGTCTGCAAGAGAGCCTATCTTGTCGTCCACTTCAGTAAGCCTCTGGTAGAACAGCGCTTCGTCAGCCTCGCTCCCTTCAAGGTCAAATTTCAGCTGTGAGTCTGGCTTATCAACCATCCTTGATATAGCTGTGCCAATTGCCATGCCCAGGAAGCGGGCTTTGGGCGATGTGGCTGCTATCCGGTTTGACATTCCAGAGACGTGATACGACGACTTTGCCATCAGAGTGAGAAACATCGGCTGTGAACGTTGGACATAGCCACAAGTTATGGCAAGTGTTTGCGCGAGGGCTGTATGGTCAGCGAACTCGTCTCAAGGTCGAGAGAGAGAAAGCTCACCCCCTTGCTGTAGGAGAGGTGTATGTGAGATGTAAAACGAATCTCCAAAGGTCTTTAAGCAGTGTTCGAGCAATGTGTGAAGCTTCTCTAGTACAACGGTCAGCCATCTGAGGGAGACAAATCATAGAAAACATACCCTCATCCTGTGCTAGTGCCGCTATGACGCTCCGCCGCGCTGTAAGAGAATCGTCGAGAACACGGATGCTAGAGCGCGCAAGTACCGTAACAAGGTGATCTCTAAGAAGCTCGTTGTCCTTTATGATGTTGTGGTACAGACTTGCTGCCCCCGAAATAGACGGAGTTGACTTGAGAAAGGCTTCGTCCTTGCTCTCTACGGTCTGTCCAAAGAATTCTTTAGTTGTACTTGAGATGAGTGCATCAAAATATTTCCGTTGCTCGTATGCTTTCATTTTTGGGAGAAATTTCTCCAATATTGTAGTGGTTTGTTCCCTGACCACGAACCTCACAATAGGCGTGACTACATGCTCTAATACCCGTTAGTGGTTGATCATACTGCAACTGCGAAACACCAACCGAGATACCCCAATGATAGGACTTTGGCACAGAGACTTGTGACATCTGAAATTAAGGCTTCTTCCGCAACGGCATCCTTCATAAACACTGCCATGTTACGCCCCAGCCAGGAAGAATATTCCTGACCATTTGCTAGCCAGGATGCTTTCGGCGAGGACCCGTGCTCTTTAATGGCATTCTCAGCCTCCGCTACCGCTGCCAGTACCCTTCCCGAAGCAACCTGGGAAATATACTCTTTCCACATAAGAGTCCTCTGGGTCGGGTTCTGAGCATGCGCGCGAATATCGTGCCATATCTGAGATGAAATTCTGTCGCCCGCAAGGATCTTTTCTAAGATCTCTATGAGATCCTCAATATATGATGACGGATCCCGCGTATTGTTCACAGGTTTCTTTTGCCGGCAGTCCACAATTAGCGGCCGGAGCCTGCTAAGGATCGCTCCTAGTCCGTTCGCGTTCTGCAGACATTTGACAAGCTCTTTCACAAGCCTGTTCGTCTCTTTCAGAGTCCGCCAGTAATCTGGGATGGTATTGTTGACCAAGGTGTCGACTATCTGAGCAGATACAGGAGTTGGGGTAATGAGATTGAAGGCGTTAGCGCCTGTCGAGGGTTTTTCAAGATGCTGCAGAATTTTTTGCAGAATCTCAAACCCAGGCTGGCTTTTCAGAGCTTTCAGAACTTCATTCGGATTTCCTGGGTCAACCTTCTCGGCATTTTGAACTGCATTAGGGGAGATGGTTGTCTCGCTAAATGAATCCGACTTGGTGGGTCGTTTCACCGTTGTGGTAGACACCGAGATAAGCAGATCGTCCATGGCAAAGGTTCCATATCCAGAAGCCAATTTCCCGTTTATTTTGGATTAGAGGTTGTTAGAGTGAAAGGTTGATGTCAAAAGCATTTGAGGATGGATCGGAAGAGCATCAACGTTAACAGCACCCTACAGTGAAGGTAGTCTTACTAATCAATTATAGCGCCTTGGCGACGCCTACCTTGACGACGACGCCTCCTACGAGCACACAAACAATCAGAGCCTGAACACAACGGTCTGTATTTAATCATGGCCGAAGCCACTTCTGGTGCAGGCGTATCTGAAAGTCGGGCAAGATGGTACGGAATTTGCATCATGAAGTTGAGCCGAACTGACCAGTGGCACAGGAAGTACTTGGACAACATACTCCACCGGCCCGGTCCCTTCACAGACGAGGAGTGGACTCCTGGAGAGCCGCAGATAGAAACTTTGTCTAGAGCCAAGATTCTGTATGCCTCTCTTGAAGAAAAGTGCATGAGGCTTATACTGACATAATCGTTAGGGTCATGTGAGGGACAATCCAACAATGATTGTTGGATCTATACTGACGAAAATGAGCCAGCGGTGCGGGAGGTCTGGGATGCGAAATACTCAAGAACCTTGCTCTTTCCGGCTTCAAGGACATCCATGTTATCGATATGGACACCATCGACGTCTCCAACTTGAACAGGCAGTTCCTCTTCAGGCACGCAGATGTGGGCAAGTACAAGGCCGAAGTTGCAGCCAGGTTCGTCGAGAAACGAGTGAAAGGCGTGAAGATCACCCCCTACTGTGGCAAAATACAGGATAAGGATGAGGAGTACTACATGCAATTCGCCCTGATTGTGTGCGGTCTGGATAGCATTGAGGCTCGGCGCTGGATCAACGCTACCGTAGTTGGAATGGTCGATATGCAGAATCCAGATTCGATGAAGCCTTTAGTCGACGGTGGAACAGAAGGCTTGAAAGGCCAGGCGAGGGTCATCTTTCCGACAATGACCAGTTGCATCGAGTGTCAGCTAGACATGCATGCACCACGTGCAGCTGTACCTCTGTGTACATTGGCAACAATTCCTCGACAACCGCAGCACTGCATCGAGTGGGCGCACATCATAGCATGGGAAGAAGAGCGCAAGGATATTACACTGGATAGTGACGACCCAGAGCACATCACCTGGCTCTATCAGAAGGCTCTGAAGCGTGCACAGGAATTCAACATCCCAGGAGTTACATATTCCATGACACAAGGCGTCGTCAAGAACATCATCCCAGCCATTGCTTCAACCAATGCCATCATTGCGGCAAGTTGCTGCAACGAAGTGTTCAAGATCCTCACCAATACCAACCCGTTCCTAGGATACCCTGGTACCGATAACTACATGATGTATACAGGCGACGAGAGCATCTACACTTACACATTCGAGCACATGCGGAAGCCCGATTGTCCGGTCTGCAGCGAAGAGAACCTGGCAAGGCCGTTGCAGGTTGATGCAAACTCCACTTTGCAAGAATTCCTGGATGGTCTCGCTGAGAGGCCGGAGTCGTAAGTAAAGCGTGAAATATGCACCCTACGCTACTGACTTTCTGCCAGACAGCTGAAGAAACCAAGCATACGTAGTGAGGAGAAATCGCTATATTATCAATTCCCTCCGGATCTGGAGCAACAGACACGGCCGAATCTGATGAAGAAGCTGTCGGAGCTTTTGTCGGATGGGGAGGAAGTTGCTATTACTGATCCAGCGTTCCCGCTCCAATTCAAGTATAAGCTGGTATTTAAGAAAGGATGAATCGATGTTGCGACATGGATGGGTAGATAGATGAAGGCTGGCATGCAGACTTGGGGAGTCTCAACGATACGGAATGAAGTTGAGAGATGAGGCAAAGTAGGCCATAGCAGCTGCCTACCTACGCAGCTATCTGACAGGAGAATATAATCTTCGTCCACAGTTGTGATGTATACATTCAAATGTACAAAAACCACCAGCACGAGCTGTGATATATCGATATATGAACAGGATATGGTACAGTTGATAGGGACGTTTTTCTCACTCTTATGCTCCGTGCATTCCAATAATGCCGATTCTCCTCTCTAATTTCCCAGGTTTCTTCACTACTGGTTTCTCTCCTTCGAAAAGCTTCTTCCCGGCTTCCAGGAGCCCCAGCGCCGCGGGGCTGCCATGTGTGTACTTCGGCTCATATGTGACGGGATCCCATTCTTTCCTCTGCAGTCTCAACAGCTGTTTGACCATACCATCTGATAGCATATCCTCCTCCTTCATCTCAGTCCGTGGGCCGGACGAAGCCTTAACAGCGCTCTTTGCCCGTTTCGCCGGACCTGCTTCTCCCGGGCGTTGTGCTCGCGAGCGATTCGGCGCACCTTGGGGTCGTCCGCGACCACCCAGATTGGGTCCAGCAGCGTTTTGACCTGGCGCCCTGCGAGTGAGACGGAGCTGGGCGGGCGCGCGAACCATTGTGCCGCGAGGCGGAGAGCGAGATTGTGAGCCGTCTGGGGTGGGATCGACTCTCCGAATGAGAAGCCGGCCTGGTGTCCCCGAGGTATTTCCAGCTTGACCATTTTGCTGTTGGCCGGAGGTGCGTAGTCCGGGCCGTTGCGCTTGTCGCGATTGCATGTTGAGCACCTGGCCGACGACAGCTCTATTGCGGGTAAGGCGAGTCTGTCTCTGCTCCGCTGGCCCTAGGAGAAATATATTAGTTCTATTCCGCAGAGAGTATCGCAAGGCACGTACTGGCAGGGACCGATCCCGCAGTGCTGTTGTTCTCCTCGCATCTTTGCGGCGAGATATGGAAGAAGCGGGGTGAGCCCCGGTGCAATGATGCTGCCTGGAAGGAGGAAGGCCGTATTATGGCGCCTGCCGACGGGCAAAGGCGCTGTTGGTACATGGCCGCAATTGACAATGCACGTCGCGATGCCGTCGTGAACCCTCGCTGATGGGAAGTTGAATCGAGTCTTGGCGTGGGGACCAATTGGCGCCTCACGTGAGTCCTTCCGGATACCTAAGTATCGAGATCTCGTCCAGCTCAATCTTCACCAACACCACCCATTCTACAGTCGCTGCTTTGGGTTCCGCTTGGATCTCTTTATTGTTATTTGGCTTGACTGATACATCCGTTTTCACCGTATCTGCTTCCCATCGTTATTACCATCCGAAATTATCGGTGCTCATCATGCTCCGCCGCGCACCAACAAAGATCTCCTTAACCGCCGCGGATGTTGAGCAGTTTGAAGCGACCCGTCTACGGAATCGGGACCACCGAATGCCGTCACAGCCTGCGAATGAGGCTACAGCCGGCCAGCAATCTATCAAGGACGAAAAGAGCAAGAAGGATCGCATCATGGGGACAGGGCGCTGAGGGACCTGGGGAGGGTAACATGCCACCTGGGAAGTGATGGATAATCTGCTACAATAGAGGCATTGAGTAACCAGTTATAAGAGGAAGCGGAGGCCAATCACACTGCCATAACCAAGTTCAAGGTATAAGTCTATACACTCGTTGCCATGCAAACACTAACCCCGAATCTAGCCATGATATCATGACTTTGTGTTAATGAAAGGGATCGCCTGTGGGCGATTCTATGCGTGTTGCTTGCAACCCATTCAATGCTTCGTTCTGGAATTCGACGCGTCGAACCCATCTTATGAGTGCTTTTGTCCTCCGCCTTGCATGACTTGTGAGAGCGAAAAGCGCTATGTTCAGGCATCTGTTCATCCCTTCCTTTAACGGCATGCGAGCCCATTCTTCTTGCGCGCTCAGGAATGTTTCAGACAGCAGGGAGCGGCCGCACCCTCAGGAATGTACTGGATGAGTTTGTCTTCATTAGGAGCCGTAGACGTCAAACAACGACCGATCCTGTCCGGGGTTTCCATCATCGCGGATGTGTCAGACGTTTACCATAATGACTCGTACAGCGCGAGCACTTCTTCTGCTACACGTTGTGCGTGTATTTTGTTTGCCCCAGGGTTATCCTTCTGCCGATTATGAACTATCTTCGTCTTATCCCCTTGATCCCGAGCAGTATCCCGAGCAATATGACTCGAGAGAGGATATTTACGATTCGTTCGAGCTCGGCTGGAATGGTGACGATTATTCCGCGCCAGACGAGGAGTCCTATGCCGTTCCAGATGATCTCCTGCCAGAGGAGGAGCCCGATCCCGCTCCCACCGACTTTTCAGACTCGTATGAGGGACTGAAGGACTTCATCGATAACTACTTTGCTCTTGCCAAGATCTATCAAGGTCTAGATGAGGAAGGGAAGGCAGAATTTGTACAAAAGCTCGAAGAAACCGATGTGGACTCTCCAATAGTCGATTCCCGGGTCTATCACAGGCGACAGGCGCCTGAGCGCTTCGAAAAGCAAATAATAAAGACGCCCTTGGCTACTACAAGTTCTTGGGACAAAATCTTCAGCACGCTGACTCAGGAGAAGCAAGCCAGTTGCGCCGCTTTTTGCGCCTCTTCAGGAAGTATCGAGGCAGGGCCCAAGATCCCGAGGATGGCATGTCGTCTTATGTCGACTATATGACCCAGTGGCAAGACCAGCTCTCCACCTTTGACGAAGCAACTCAAGGCGCAATTGTGGATCTTCTTGCTGCTGGCGAGCCGCTTCCTTCTGATGCTGCCCTCGGATTGCCTCCTCGTCCTGCTCGTGGACCCCTTCCGTCGGTACTGCGCCCCAAGTCCAACGGCAAGCTTCCCCAATTGTATCGACTTCCCCAACTCTGGGAGAGTTTGGATGAGTCGAGCAGGGCAGCCATCCTTGCTTCCATTGCCCCAACCCGACTTGCTCGTCGCCAGGAGCCTCCGGAAGACCCGAGTCTCATTGAGATCGACGTCGGAGCTCCTGCTGAGACTACTGCTTCCGAGAGTACTGCTGCTCAGCCTACTGCTGCTAAACCACCTGCTGAAGAGACACTGGGCCCTGAAACCATCGAGCCGACTCCTACCACCGACGATGGCCCCGGGCCGGACGTACCAACCGTGACAGTAACCGTGACGATACTGCCAGAGGATTTGCCCGTAACTGGTGAACCCACCGTGGAAGTTTCCACCATTCCCGACGCCACCGTCACGGTACCCGCTGAAGCTACTCCAGTTTTTGAACCCCCTCCCGAGGACCCCACCACCGAGTCAGTTGTTGACCCTGCTCCCACTGACCCAGTTCTCGTTGACCCCATTCCTGTGGAGACTTCCTTGCTCGAGCCCACCCTGGAGGCTCCCATTACCGGGGCTACTGCGACTGACCCTGCTGCGCAGACACCTGTTAAAGAGGCTCCAGTTGAAGAGACTCCTCTCACTGAACCCGCTGTGGAATCTCCTCCCGTCGACGTACCGGCTGCAGAGACCTCCGTCACAGAGCCCGCAGTCGAAACGCCTGTGGAGGAGACAACTACCTTGGTTGAGGAATCTACGGTTGAAACACTCATTGTGGAACCGACTCCCATTGTGGAGCCTCCAATCGTGGAGCCAACTTTGCCACCCACATCGGATGAGGAACCTCCGGTCGTGGGGCCTACCTTGGAGCCCACGTCCTCTGAGGAGTTTCCAGTCGTGGTACCCACCGAGGTAGTTGTGGAGCCCACCTTGGAACCCACCGCCATCGTAGAACCTCCCATCTCAGAAACGACCACCTCGACGCCTCCTCCTGTCTCCACATCTTCGCCTGTTTCCACAACTCCTCCCTCCCAGAGCGCCAACCCAACCACCTTAGGCCCAACCACCTCAGCACCCACTACGTCTACTCAAAACCCACCGCCCAGGTACATCAAAGCGACCGTCGCCGGCCGCGCCCGCGGCCAACTCCGTCCCACACCTATCCCCGGACTCCCTGCAGTCGTCAACACCTGGCCTGACTGGGCGCTCCCATTGGCGTACGATTGGCCCGCCTGGGCGGCGAGATTTGGCCGCTGGCCGGATTGGATGCCTTGGGATTATCCTAGGGGAGGGCCTGGGTGGAGGAGGCTGAAGGCTGATTTGAAGGATTTTGTTCTCGGGAGGGAGTAGGGGTGGGAAAGTGAAGAAGCAGAGGAAGAGATGTGGATGATTTGCGAGGAAGTTCACGGGCTCTGTGTGATGAAGAGCAGGTGTGATCTCAGGCGATGCAAATGGTAGTGTTTGGGGAAAGGGAGCTCGGGTAGGTGGGGTCAAATTGCAACTGTTGGATGGTTTAGTAGTTAAAAGTAGAACATGCAGAAATGGGACAGGGAGGATGATAAGTGGTGGGTGGTTTTGAAAATTCCTTACATAGTGGGCTCTACTCATTTGTTTCGTACTTTACAATGATTCAATGATTCAATGATTGAATGATGCTTGCATTATCTTGACGTTCGCACAATATCGTGGCAGTCCACTCACGATGCTGGTTCTCGTTTTGCTTCCTGTATGGTTAAAGCGTTGCGGTGTCCAGAAACCTTATAACGTCTATTACATCCAGTCCAGGTTTTTGAATATGCTGAAAATGAAAGCTGAGTTATTCCTCTTGGAAGAATAAATGTATATGCATATTGCCACATGATTCGGATTATCTCCCTCTACGCTTTCACAGCTTCCGATATCAACATGTGCACAAGCACATTGCCTTGTTTTAATAGGCTGTAATCCACTTGTTTCGAGGACGGCGAATGTCCGCCGTTTGCAAAAATTTGGGCTTTCGGGCATCACTGTCTGAGGTCGAAAATGAAATGGCAGAAAGTGAAAAGCCTGAAATAAGAAGTCCATCTCACGAAACTCTTGAGCAACACATGCACCTGTTCATCCATAGGTCTCTCAATCGACCATCTATCATCTATCATCTATCGCGGTCTATATACCCGCCCTCAACAAACCTCATTCTTGAACCCCACACCAGCTCTCTATCGTCCTTCAACCTCGTCAACCTACAAACACCTACCCCCTAGTACCCCCTCCGCCTATCCACCTCATTAACCAACTCCCTCCCCTCCCTCCACCTCCTCAGATTCTCCGCCAACACCATCATCCCCCGCTGCGCATACACATCCGTCAACCCGCTCACGTGCGGCGTAATGGCCACGCCCTTTGTCCTCCACAGCGGGTGCTCCTTGGGCAGGGGTTCCGGGTCGGTGACGTCGAGGGCGGCGCCGGCGATGAGGTTGTTTTCGAGGGCCGAGATGAGGGCGTCTTGGTCGAGGATCTTGCCGCGCGAGATGTTGGCGATGTAGGTGCCGTGGGGGTTGGAGGCGTGGAGGGTCTGGAATTCGGGGGTGCTGAGGAGGTGCGTGGTTGCTTTGCTGGGTGGGGAGTTAGTTTTTGGGGGCGAGTAGGATGGGCTACTCGGGAGGGGAAAAAAAAAGGGGGAGCCAGAGGCAGGAAAGGAAGAAAAAAGAGGGGACGGTCGGGGAAAGAGAGAAGTGGAAAGAAAGGAGGGTACAGGCAACAAACATATGCCACGTCCCCATCATCCCGCCGTCTCTCCTCTCACACTCTCCCTTCTCCTCTCCAAACCATCAACCCCCGGGGACAGATAGGAAAACCACTCACGTCAACGGCACACTGATAACCAACAAATCCATCCCCTCGCTCAAAAACTCATGCAACTTCTCCTTCTCCAACCCACTGAACCACTTCTTGGGGATACTTCCATCCGCATCGCCGGTGCCGGGCACAATGAATCCATTGTCGCGGCGGGACTCGGGGGTATCGCGCGGGGAGGCCGTGTATGCAATTACAGTGCTGCTGAGGGCATGGGCGAGGCGGGCGACTGTAGGATCGCAAGTTAGTGAGACAATGGTATATGCATATTTCTCAACAATCTCTCCAGAGGTGAAAAATAACTGTCCATATAGGTATCGCCACTTATCCCTCGCATTCACATTCCAGGTCCAGGACAAAAATTCAATGTATCCGAGGGACCATGGACGCGGAAAGAAACAACCAGGGAGAGGAGAGGGAATAGGATTGGAGGAAAGAGAGGAACTCACCCTGCCGCCCAATACTCCCATACCCCAGCACACCCACCGTCTTGCCCACCTTATCCCGAATCTTCATGCCCCTCGCCTGGCTCCACTCGCACCTCTGCTGCGCCTCGTAGAAGTCGAGGTACTTGTGGCTGTGGATGAGATCCATCATTATGACCCTAATGAAGGTGAGCGTGGGGAGTTAGCTCGATGATTATGGGGGCATGCATGTGAGATGAGACCATTTTCTCATTGGACGCATATTTCTTCCGTGAAGTAAAAGAGACAAAAAACTCACCACTCGGCGATCTGCGGCCCGTGAATCCCACTCACCGTCGTCAGAGGGATATTTGTGGTTTGATAGATCGGATGGGCGGCCAGGTGGTTGGTCCCCGCGCTGAAGCACTGGATGAGTTTGAGGTTGGGCGCCTGCTCGGGGGTTTTCGGGAGCCAGGAGAGGGTTGCGAGGACGACGGCGCGGGCGGTTAGATCTGTTGGGTAGGTGTTGGTTTTGTGGATTTGAATAGCGTATCAAGCGTGGGTGGAGAAGGGATGAGGTGGGATGCTTGTTGAGGAGGGTGAAGATTGGAGATTGTGAAGGGGATGGAAGTTTTTCTTTTGCGGAACTGCAGAAACGTGACGGAAAGTTGGAGAAAATTGAATCCAGCATAAGGATATAGAGAAAAAGAGAAAGAGAAGTCCCCGTCGTCCTTAGCCGTCAATTGATATCGAAAAACAACATACCATCCGGGACCTCGAACTTGCCTCTCTCACTCTCCTTTTCTGCATGTTTCTCAAAGAAATACTGAGGTTCCAATTCTGGGAACTCCTTTTCAATCTGCTTAAGAGAGTCCCTTACTTCCTCCTCCGGCCATGGTAGAACCGCGAGGAGAAGGCCTTTGGCGGGGTTGGAGTCGCCCATTTTTCTATGCGGTGATGTGAAGGAGGGAATGATGCGAGAAATCTTATTTCAGGACAGCGAATTCGCAGATCGTAGAACAAGTAGATAACAGTCTAAATAGTAGGTGGAGGTGCACTGTGTAACCTGAACGACATCGACGGCACAAATGCATCTATCGCACGTCTCCTCCGTACCTCGGAGTCTTTTCCTCGGAGGGGCAACGAAGTGGGTTATCCAGCAGCCGACCGACCAATCCGCGGCTCCTGCCTCCTCCCCGACAAACGTGGCGACATAGCGACATAGCGACATACCGCCTGTCTTTACATCGGACTGAACACCTCTCTCCGCTTCCTCTGTACTGCTGTTTTCGACGCATGATTAAAGAGGCAAGAGGTGCAGCAGTAAAACGGACCTTGCAATAAGCTTACTGGCGCCTCTATCTACGTAAATTAGCTCCAAAAGCATAGCTCTACCCACAGCATTATTGGGTAGTAGCTAATTAGCTTGCGCAGACTTGGTAATGTCGCCTACAGAGGATTCCCCGGGAGGTGTTTAGTCAAATATATAAAGCAGCAGTAGAGACAGGATATCTACGAGTGCATGGGCATCAAGCGCGAATGAACGAGGATGGCATGGGTTTAAACATTTGTATCTGAATTCCTCTCTGCAGGACAACACATAACGGGGGTATATTGCTCTCGCGTTGGTATGCAGTCTACAAGTTTTCCAGTAACCGTTTCCAAAAGCTCTTCCTCGCGGGCACCCTCTCCCCGTCCTCGCTGTGCAAGTACTTGTCCTTTGCATCCAAATCCTTCCGCATCCCAGCATCCAGGTCGACCTCGTGGCTTCTCCAGAACCTGGTCTTGAACCAGAATTTGTAGCCAAGGTAGATGACGCCAAACAGGGGGAGCAGGATGTAGGCGTCAACGAACGTGCCCGCATCAAAGGGACTCAAGGTCGTCCAGCCTTGGACCAGAGCGAGGAACACGTTTGCAAAGACACCAAAATACGCGTTCCAAGGGTAGGCAAGCGACTGGAAGGGGAGCTGGTCCGGTGCTCTTCCCTGCGCGGCCCAAGCTTGGCGGAATCGGATGTGAGTGAAGGAGATGGCGCCCCAAACCAGGAAGGTGGAGACGCCGCTCAGGTTGATGATGTACGAGTAGGCCTTGCCGCCTCCCGTGCTGATGTTCATCAAGGAAAGGAAGCCAAAGAGATTGGTGAAGATGACTGCGTAGACGGGCACGCCACGGCTGTTCGTCTTCCCAAGGAAGCTGGGGGCCATGCGTTCCTGGGCCATGAAAAGAATGGTGCGAGATCCGATATAGATGGAGCTGTTGGCAGCGCTCAAGACGGTGACGAAGATGAAGGCATTGATGAGGTGCACACCGCCTTCCCAGCCAGCATTCTGGATCGCAATTGTCATGGGGCTCCTGAGTGCGCGGCTGGCTCCGTTGGCTAGCCCGTCTGCGTTGGAGGGACATGTGAGCCCGAAGAAGAAGGCCACTCCCATGTACACGAACAGGATGCGCCAGATAACCTGTCTGATGGCTCTCGGAACGGCAACGCTAGGATTCCTCGTCTCCGTCGCAGCGACCGCAACAGCCTCGACTCCAGCATAGAAAGTGGACGCAAAGACAAAGACCTGGGCTACCCCGCGGAAACCATTTGCCCACGGACCGGGATCGTGCCAATATCGGAACCCAAGCGCCTCCTTCTGCCCAATCAAGCCTCCGGAGGCGTAGATGATGGAGAAGAGGAAGTAGGCGAGTAGGCCGCCAATCTTCAGCAGGGCCAGCCAAAATTCTGCCTCACCAAACGACTCGACACCCAACATCTGAAAAGCCAAGAAGGCAAACCAAAAGATGAGGAAATAGCCGTAGACCGGGACCTTGTCGCTCCAGAAGACGAGGAGCGAGGAGATGACGTTGTATTCGTTTGCCAGAACGCAGGCCCAGACGAGCCAGTATTGCCAGCCCACGGCGACAGCAAAGGCCTGGTCGACGAAGCGATCCGACAGCGTAACAAAGGCGCCTCCGGTGGGATACAGGGTGGTCATTTCGCCCAGGGACTGGGTCACGCTGAAGGCGATGATTCCAATGATGCCAAAGCCGATGAGCAGAGAGGCGGGACCGCCATTGGCAAGGGCGCCTCCGGTTCCCACGAGGATACCGGGACCGATGATGCCAGCCAGGGCCATCATGGAGAGATGACGGGTCTTGAGGCCGCGCTTGACACCGCTCGGATCCATGCGGTCGAAGTCATGGTCGTTGCTCAAGCTTGCGGTTGGCGAGGCTGTTGCGGGCCCTCCTTTCGTGTCGTCCAAGGCCATGGTGAAGGTTCAGCTGCCCCGAAAAAAAGCAGCTGGATAGGATGGACAGGGACCTGCTGTGTAGGTAGAAGAAGATGCTGCAGGTGTTATATAACGTGGTACATCAGATAAGCGATCCCCAGGGCCACGGTTGGGTCGGCTTGGCATCAGCGTACCAGCCCTGAACAGATGGCCATGATGCCATTCTTCGGCGGATTGCGCGATACTAGGGCTGGACTGTGTCCAGCAGAACGCCATGATGGACAAGCAACAGAGCAATTCTTTTCTTTTTGCTGACGGTAGGAGTTGTTGGAGGTCACAGCGAAACCGAGCTGAAGCCACAGCGCGGTGATGAGATATTGGGGATACTTGCTGTCATCCTGGGGCAGTATCCCGGTCTTGGGTGAGTGAGGACGAGTTCCGGGCCAGAAGGAGGTCTCGAAACGATTTTCCGGGATCAAAACAAGCTTCCGAGCCAAGAGCTCGGTTAAATCTTGAAAGATCTTCCACGTGGCACACGTGACCACCACGAGGGCTGCGTAACAAGACGAACGAACCTGCGTACAATACAGACTGATTATATCAGCAAAAGTGTTGCTACAGTAAAACCTCGCAATAGGGAAACTGGCGGTTGCTGTCAAACCTTACCCTATTCCCAAAGGTTTCCCTATACTAAATATGCTTATATAATCTAATTTTATTAGTCATCAGATCCTGTAACCTTAGGAAGGCAATCTTACCGCTAAATGCGGCATCACTAGTGCTAAATATAGCTAGTTAGGGGCACTAATTAAGGAGCATACTAGTAAATAATAGAGGGTATACTAGTAAGCCTAGGAGGCCTCTCTAGGTATAGTGCTTACGCTAGTAGATGCTAGTAGAGTGCTAGCGCCTAGGCAACTAGCCTCTTCCTATTTTTATACTGTAATCTTGAATTCTACAGTATTATTAGCACTGTAAGAGTATTGTAAGTTACTGTTAGCTATACTAGTAATAGTAGTAATAGTAGTAATAGTAGTAGGTAGCAAATATCTCTAGATTCTAGTATAAAGTAGTAGTTTTAGTGGGCTAGTTAGATATAAAAGCTTATAAGGTTTAAATTATATGCAATTTCCTATAGAATTAGGACCCCTAGATCTTATAGAGATAAAGCTGCAGATATCTAAGATAGATAAGAGGGAGGAGGAGGTTGTCTAGGTAATAGAAAAGGGGGTGCTAAGGAGGCTAGGTAGTATCTCTAATGCAGAATTTTTAGCTACTTCTACTAAGTTTATACACAGAACTGTATAGTAATTTAGTACTAGAATCTTGCAGTTATATCGCTGTTATGTTGCTTAAAATCTTGCCTAAAATATATACTAGTTGTGCTATTCCTAAGGGTCCTAGAGTTATATAAAAGCTATCTAAATCTTCTATAGAACCTCTCTATCTCTTTCTCTCCTTAAAAGCGATCTAAATCTTCTACAGATTAACAACTAGAGTAGCTGTATTAGAGGATTGCTTCTAGATATAGCCCTTAAATTTACCGCTAGGAAGTTGTATAAGTTATAGGATTAGGTATTAGATAGTTAAATAGGCGCTAAGTTGTTAAGTAGCGATTTAGATAGTAATTACAAGGAGGATCTTAAGAAGGATCGTGTGGAGGATCGTGTAGAAGATTGTATAGATGATAGTAATAGAGATAGTAATAGAGATAGTAATAGAGATAGTAATAGAGATAGTAATAGAGATAGTAATAGAGATAGTAATAGAGATAATAATAGAGATAAGAAGGAGAAGGAGAAGGAGGATTATAAGAAGGGCTACTAATAGCTAAAAGAGCGCTAAACTACTAAAATTTATTGTTAGCGCATAATAGCCTTTAAAAATGCTAGAAACTCCTATTTCTCCAATATTAAAGAGGCTAAGATGAATTGCTGGAATTCTTTCCTAGAAAAGGCAAAAGATAAGGAAATATTCACTGCCCTTCACTATACTAAGGAGAGAACTACAAGATGTATTCCTCCTTTAGTATACAAAGACAAAGAAGGTGTAGCAGAAGAGTTTAAGGAACAATGTAAAACTCTAAGAGAAATGCTATTTCCTTTGCCTCCTGTTACCCCTCCACCTAGGTGGAGAGACTACAAGCCTAGGGATTGGGAATGGCCACCGCTTGAAGAAGCTGAGGTTAAACAAGCTATTGAGACTAGCTCTCCTAAGAAAGCACCAGGGCCAGATCAATTATCTTTCCTAGTCCTTAGGGAGGTCCTTGCTGCTATAGAGAGCTTGCTTTACCATCTCTATAAGGCTTTATTTAACCTAGGACACCACCCTAAGGTGTGGAAAGGTACGATAGAGGTTATCCTTGCAAAGCCAAACAAAAAGGATTACTCCCTCCCTAAGTCTTATAGGGTTATCTCTCTTATTAATTGCCTTGGCAAGGTATTAGAGAAGATAATCGCTACTCATTAGGCTACCTAGCAAATACA